ATAGATCTTATTAAAATTTAAACTATATAAGATTAAGAGATTCTGAAGATTGCTTATAATATTAAAGCTTTTCTAAAATTTATTTATTTCTATTAGTAGTTTTTTAAGAATTAAAAAACTTACTTAAAGTTCTTAATATAGCTTATAAAAAAAAATACTAAGTTTAGTTAGACACTAGAGACTTAGAAGATATTTAAAATTTTTAAAAAAATCTTTATTATTACTCTTATCCTAGTGTATTGGAATCCTGAATAAAAGATTTTAGTAAAAATTAACTTCTCTAAATAGTATATAGAGGAAATATTATTCTAGTAGAATAATTAAAAAATTTTTTATTCTATAATATATTTCTTAAAGAGAAATCTATCTGTAGAATATAATTACTAAATTTATAATAAAAAATTATTAATAATTATCCGAGTCTTATAAGAGTAGAAACTAAAACTTATTATATTCTTTTATTTTAAAATTCTTAGTGATTATTGGAATCTAAAATATTTTATAATTTAATAATAATTTATAGAATAATAAATATATTAAACCTAATTTTTAAATTATTTTAATTTTATAATTAATTACCGCCCAGAGATAATAAATATTTAATTTAATATTTTATTTTATAAGTCTTAGAATATACCCGAGAAAAAAAATAAGTATATTATAAACTAAAAAATCTAGTTATTTTATTTTATATCTAAAGAAGGGCTCAGCTATGTAATATTTATTAAAGAAATCTCTAATATAGAGATTCTTATTTATTTAGAGCCTATAGAGCTAATACTAGATAATTTATAGAAATAAACTAAATAAATTAATAAAGATTTAAAAAAATACTAGGAAGTAGTAGCTAAAGATAAACTTAAATTTTTTAAATAATTAAAGCTAAAGGTTTCTATTATAGAGTATTAATTAGATATAAATTAGTATTTATTCTTTTAAAAATAAGTTTAGATCTCTAACTTAAAGTCTTTATAAATCTAAATTATTTAAAAAATCTATAATAGTGTGATCACTGGACACTCTAAATAGAATTAAATTTATAAAATAATTATTTATTACTATTACTAATTAAATATAAATAAGAATATTTACTAATTTTATTATAACTGCGATAGCTGTAGGGCTAATTATATTTAAAAAAATTATAAATAAAATTTTTTAAAATTACTATTAATCTTTAATTAATTTTAATAAAATATTATTATTAACTTCCTGGTAGATCTCCCGGAGTCTTAAAATTATAAAAATATTATAATTATTATTAACTAGTTAATTAAAAGTATTATTATCAAGACTATTCTAAGTATGGATATAAAAAGCTTCATAAATATATTTATTTAAATATTTTATAACTATTATAGGATATCTTAGTTAGTGATTTTAGACTATAATTCTTAATTTATAAGTGAATTATAGACAATTCTATATAAGACTTTAAATATTAAATAATATTTTTTTACTGTTTACTATCCTGAAATAGATAGTATAATAGAATAATAAATTATAATTATTAAAATTTTTTTATAATATTTTATTAATTAATAATAAATTAATTAGTAAAAATTACTATTTATAATATAACTAGTTCTAAATAATTAAGACTCCGCGTTAATAGGAATAAATTTTTTTTTATAGTATAATTTTTATATAAAACCCCTGGACTTAAGTATTAAAATAAATATTTTAAAATATTATTAAATTAAGAATCTCTAAGAGTAGGTTAAGACTATTCTTAGTAAACTTTAAAAAATTTAAAATATTATTAGTTTAATAATAATAGTAGTATAAGAAGTATAAGAATAATATACTAACTATCAATAAAATCTTATTTTTTATTATAAAGAAAATAACAAGATTTAGTTAGATCTAAAAAATATTATAATTAACTAATTTAATAAAAAACTAAACTAATAGAATATAAAATTCATAGTACTAGAACAAATTAGAATATATACTTATAAATTAGATATACTATCTAAAATTTATCTAATATTTTATATTAATTTACTCTAATCTACTACTATAGACTTTCTATCTACTTAAAAAATAACTAATTAGTAATTAAAAGTTATTATTATAGAAAATAACACTGAAGAATATATTATTGAAAAAATCTTAAATAAGAAGAATATATTCTAAAGAAAATATATATATAAAAAAATATTTCTAGTTAAATAGAAGGGATATACTATATCTATATAAAAATTAGTAATTAAATTTTATAATATTAAAACCTATGAACGCTAGCGTAATCTTACTTATCTAATTCTTTAAAATTTATAATAGGCTAGCTACATTATAATAAAAAAAATAATAATTAAAAAAAACTAAGCCCTATTAATTATCTAGAATTAGAATATCTATATTCTAATTTATCTAGTCTTAGATCTCAATCTAATAATATCTGTAAAAAAAATAGAAATCTCCAGAAAAAATAAGAATCTCTAGAATAATAAAAAAATTTACTAATATTATAAAGAAATTTTTTAAAAAGAATTATCTATAAGTAAATCTAATTAGTCTATAGATTAGATAATTCTTTCTCTAGTAAATTTAATTCTTTTACAGATTATCGTACCTTACGTAGTCCACCCGGCTTCTTAGCCCGTCACACACCCTAATTCCGCCGCATATGCGATCCCCCAACCCCAGTAGGTTAGGGTGTTTGTGACTACGCGGACAGCCATAAGAACAAAGTATGCCAACCGTATGCTACAGTAACAGGAGCAGCCTGCATGAAAGCTTTACTTAATGAGTGGACATTTTAACTCAGTAAGCATCTAGTGCATATTTATTACCTACAGTGTAACAATAGAATTCTTAACATTCTGATACTCAGTCTCATACTGTTAGAAGATGCTTTCTAATTATATTATGAACCCCACTGTCATGTTGGAACTATTATTTTCTAATACTCAGTATAAAGTATTAAAAATCTATTATTTTAGCTGGAATAACAGAAGGAGCTAACTAAAAAGACTCATATATCTCTTATATAGGCTATAGTAAAAATAAATATTAATACAGATTACTGGCTTCCTGTGGCCGTTTAGGGCTTATTTGCGGGAATTAATACTAGATAACTATATTAGGCTACCCACGGATCCCGATATAACTTAACTTTTTATTTTTTATATCTTTATTTATTTTACTTCCTTCCATATTCCATCTCTTAATATCTTTAACCTGGATTTAAGCAGACTCCAGTGAAATAGTTCTCTACTAGAAAAGAAATCTGCTGACTATAGAATTCAACACCCTTGTTAATAAATTACTTGAGAAATAGTACATTCCAGGCCTGGCTATATTGATTATGCATAGTTCCAGTATTTATATAAAGGTACCACCACCATCCAAGATTACCATTAACCTAAGAACTATATAAGAAAAATAAACTTAAGCCTACGGTTACACCTCCTTTCCCTCCACACATATGACCACCATATCTCTATTCTCAACCTGCAGCGCCGCAATGTCTTTAGTAATTGATAATAGCTAATCCACTCCGCATCTAATTTCCTAGTCTACGCTTGTCACTTTTATTATTTGTAATAATTTTATTCTTTCTACTCCTTCTACTACCATTAACACTATAATTAAAGATATCTTATCGTATCATAGTAGGCTCCTAGGCTACTTCTTTTCTATTAATCTCGCTTATCTAAATGAGACTTTATGTACCGAGGTCTACAGGCTTTAATGGCTACTACTAGTTTTTCCACCACAAACTATATTCAACTATAATAGTTATATGTTCATGGCTGCCACATATTTATTAGAATATATAAACAGAGAGGACCTTGGAACGACGCTAAAAAGAAAAATCTAGGACTTACTTGATATAAATGATATATACTTCTCTACTACCGAAGTGTAAAGGCACCTGAACTTATTAAAGAGACTAGCTAAGGGCTATACCTGGAATCTGGAAACACACATTTATTATAAAGAATAATATATTAATTATACTTTAATTACCAGAGCTGGTTCAATGGTTTCTACTATAATGGATTATATAAAGTGGCTGCGCGCTATACTTTACTAGATACTACCTATCTTGAAAGAGGGGCAGTGTGTATATCCAGGATAGTTATTATTAAGTTAGATTAGAAAAATATGCTTATTCCGCCTGGTGCATACCATCTTTATATTATAGGATGGTTTATATATAATTATTATAGAGAATAATTATACTGGCACACGGGTAGCTGGGCTGGATGTGGGATAATAATTAGATTTTTATCTGCTAAGGACTTTATGTTTTTTATGATAGAAAATACTTAAAATATGAAGATTGCAGAGTTAGAGTTAGACTTGTATCTTATTAACTAGTTACTAGGGAAGAGTGGAGCCGACAAAGAGACCCATATAAGAAAACTGAGAGTAAAGTTTAAGGAGATAGAATATATATATAATAAAAGTGTTAAAAGTGTGGTAGCATGGTTGTATCTAGACTTGAAAACAAGGTTACTACTTTCGTTGTTGCTGGGAGCATATACAGGGACATATGTGTATTCTAGATATAGGGAGTATAAGGTGTGTGAAAAGAACGGCAAGTTAGTTATTGATTTGAGAAAGCGTGTGGGGAGCTGTAGTATGCGGTTTTAGCATGTCAGTGGAGAATTCTTCATCATCAAGTACTATAATCCTGAGGCCGAGGCTGTGGGACCAGACTATACGAAGGCTGGGTTTTATGTTGATGAGCAGGGAGTAGCGAAGAGCTTGGGGTTGGATTTGGAGTCCGTTTTGGGGGAGAAGATCTGGTTTAAAAGGATGGCGTGAGAATCATTGCTACTAGCAACAATGCCACCGCGCGAGTATGAGGTGAGAACATCAATGGCCGTCCAAGTAGGACTAGAAATCTTTCTCAAGACAGCAAATGATAATGATAATATCTTGTCCGCATTCAAGATGTTACAAGCAAGACTCTTCATACAGACGCAACTCGTATATGCCAATCATGACAGCAAGATATGTCACAACTCAAAGCCCTCTTCATACCCACCCATTAATCAGTCCGATATACACTTTCTATAGTGAACATCTAACCCACTCTGAATCCACCCACTTCGAACAAAGCCCATCTACTCTCTCCACTTCCCAACATGCACCCCGCCCCTCTTCGCCAACTCCCTGTCAAACTCGCTCTCCCCACCCGTCGCATTCATAATCTTATTTAACATCGTATTCAAATCATCAGACGTGATATTCTCCGTCGCACGGGTCCATCCAAGCTCCTGCGGTAAACGCTCATTTTCTGCTCAATGGTCAGTCGAAATACCCCCCAAAAATAGAAATAGAAATAGAAATAAAAAGAAGAAGGAAAAAAGAAAAACGGTCTCAATGCGAAATCCGATTCACAAACTTACCGAAGAGATACTCTACGAGCGACCGATTGACCATCCCGGTGGTCTTGTCACCCAGTACAATGATATAAGCAGCCGTCTCACCATAGCTGAAAGAATCGCCCAGCTCCGACATGGTATAATTCGGATTGGTAGCCATGGAAGTGTTCACACGTGCTTGGCGGGACATAGCAGCCTGCTTCACGTCGATGATGGGAGAGGTCCAGTATGAGCGGGTCTCGTCGAAGATAGTCTGGTTGAAGTCGTGGTTGTCGCCGAAGAAGGCATCCTGACGACTATCAAAAAATACGTGGTGAGATGAGTGTCAATGGTGCTATAAAGGGGAGAGAGAGAAAAAAAAAAAACCATACCTCAAACTAGCATCATGTTTGTGAAAGGAGATCATGTGATCTTAGACCTAGCCACCTAGTCACCTCCTCCTCGTGTAGTTAGCTAGGTAATATACATACTTAATATCATTAATATTACTGTCACAGGTTATGAGCCCTCATAGTAATAAATTATTAAATATTTATTTTTCTCTATTATTTTTTTATTATTTTTATATGTTATTTATTAAATAGCATCTTTCTTAAGATTTTTTATATCTTAAATTACTATTATACATAGTTTTATAGGTAAGAAAACCTCTACAGTAATCTATTTAACTTAATATCCAGACTTAATATTTATTAATTAACTAGATCTTTTACCACGCGAGCAGCGTGGCTAAATACTTATAATAATATTATCTAAAGACTTATTTAATATTAATATCTCCAAAGCTATTCCTAAGCTTAAAGGCTAGACTAACTAATTATTATAGTAAAAAAATCTATAAAATTATTTATACTTGTATAATCTAGACACATAAGAACTATTTTAAAATAAATATACTTTTCTAAAAAAACTAGTTCTTTATTCTAAAGATGAAAATAAAAATATATATATACTAATTATTTATACTAGTAATAGTAGTACTCTATTTATTTAATAAAAACTAGAACATAGTATCAAGTAAGCTAAATAATATAACTATATTTTATTTACTATATATAACTCTGACTATAGAAAATAGAAGTAATTAAATTATTCTATATTTATAATTTTTAATATTATATATAAAGCTAGTCTTATAGTGTGTTTCTAGAACTATAACTCTGTATTAAAAGTATATATTCTTCTCTAAAAAATATATAAAACCTCTAATTTTACTATAGTTATCTGTCTATATAATAAATAAATATTTATTTACTATAATAATATAAGTAATTAAAAATTTTTTTTTATATATTATATAGATACCCTCAACAAGTTTTACAATACTAAAATTATTAATAATTATATTAAACTCCTGTAATTCTTTATAATAATTTAGAATATATTTATTTTATAACTATTTATTATAAATCAGTATATAATACTAATAAAAAATATAATTCTATTATCTATATATACTTAATTTATATAGTTTAAATATATATATAAAAATTAGTTCTTTTAATTAATTATATACGCGGTTAATAACAAGCCTTAAAATAATATTAATAATATTAATAATAATACCTAAAGTAGTGATTATAATAATTATAATTATAAATATAGGTATAACCATGGATATAATAATATCTATAATTATAATAAAAATTAAATAAATATTTTTATATAATATAAAAAAAAGCAACTTGATACTACTAATAAAAATATTATATAATATATTTTTTATAAATATTATAGAAATTATTTTCTAAATAAGTACTCATTAAATCTAAATAAAAAAATAATTATAAATATTTAAATTAATATAATTACTATATTTATTTTACTTATACTATTATCCGGAATACTATCAGCCAATATAATTAATATTAATTTTAATTTTTTTAATATTTATACTATATTGGTTTATTTTAATACTATTACTATAATTTAAAAAAAATGATATCTAAATAACTCGTACGATTGGATACTTAATTCTAGGATTATTAAAATAATAATTTATTTAAAATATTATTTTATATTTTTTACTTCCTATATACGTACAGCTAAAACCACTACTAATAAAGTTTTTTAAACTATTAACTATAATATTATTTTAATTGAATTAATAGATAAACAGAATAAATTTTATAAATTTTTAAAAATAAATTATATTTAATACATGCTAGCACTCTTATATAATCTTATTTTATATAAGTAATTAATATATTAAAATATTTATATATATATCAAGATTAAGAAAACTACTATTCTTATTTAATATAGTAAGTAGATTAGCTTTACTATTATTAAAGATATTTAATATTTTCTATATATAACTAGCACTACAAGCCATAAAATAATTTAAAATCTATATTTTTATAGTATTTTAATATACTTACTACTCTCTAACCTTATTATTAATACTATTAAAAAAATAGTTTTTTTATTAATTTTAATCTATCTTACGTATTACTATACGGCTCATATCTTTAAATAAAAAATTTATAACTCTATTAAATATATTATTAATTTTAATATTAAAAAAAATATTTTATTAGTATCCTGCAAGCCCTATCTCTATAAAAAAAATTAAATACTATTTATTTTTTATATTAAATTTTATAATCTTAATCTACACATTAGAAATCTTATTTATATAAATATCTATAAATTATTATCTATATATAGTTAAACTAATATATATTACTTTATTACTTTTATTAACTATACCTCTTAGTACTACTAGATATTCTTACTTAAAAAATATAATAAAATACATAATAAGTTTATTACTTTATAAAACTATCTTAAATACTAGCTAAATATTAATATTAAATATATTTATAGTAATAATATACCTGAATATTAATTACTTATAATTTATTATCAAGAATAAGATATTATCTAGAATCTTATTCTATATTATTATTTAAATCTCAATCCCATTACCAAGATTAAGAACTATTATTTAATTAAATCTTATATATTAGTTATAGCGGATAACCAGTTATTTTATTTTCTATAGAATTATATTATTCTTATAATTAACTATATATAAAATAGACTTATATATAGTACTATCAGAAAGACTTCCTATAAAATCCTATATAAAATATAATTAAATATTTTATAGTAAAAAATCCTTAACTACTATTACTAGTATCTTATTTTTAAAAAAATTTATAATAAGCTTAAGAATCATATACAGAAAAACTATTTTATTAAATATTTTAAATTAGTTTATAAAATCTATAATATTTAAACTCATTAAATTATATACGCCTGTAATATTATCTTTAATAAAAAATCTATCTTATAATTATTATTAATAATATCTATATATAATCTTAATTCTATATATTATAATAAAACTAATATAGAAACTTTAATCTAGAAAGATCCTTATCACTAATCACTATTTAATATATTTTTTTAATATTAATAACTTATCCTTATCTCTTTTTCTAATTATTTTATTATAGATGAGTAAGATAGTAACAAGAAACTAGACTAACTATTAGAATATAAATAAACTAATATACTCCTATTTTTATTTATATTTAATAACACTATTTATAATACTATATTTAAACTAGTAATTATCAATAAAAATAATAAGTCTAGAGATTATCTAATTATTATAGATCCTCTAATTATTAATACCTCCCATATAGAACCATTATTAGTAATTAAATAATCTCTATATTATTTTATATATATTTATAAGCTTTCGCACGCTCTTTTTAAATTCTTAGAATTATATATTATTAGTATAAATAATAATCTAGACATACATACTAATATCTTTTATAAATTACTTATTAATAATTATCTTACTAGTATTCTATTTTTAAAAACTATAATTATACAACATCTAGCTAGTCTATAAACTAAAAAGAATATTTTTATTAAAAGATTAATATCTTAAGATACTAGCTATATTTCTATCTTATATACTAATACTATGGCCTGCGCTAAAACATCTAAATAATATAAAATAATATATTATAAAATATAGAAATAAATTAAATAAGATATTTTTTATATAGTTTTATATCTTTATAATACACATCTTTTTTTACTTAAATAAATATTCAAAATTAAATATAATAATATTTATAAGATTTATTTTATTATTAAAGACTTCCAGTAGCATACTAGCAAAGACTATTAAATTAAAGAAATATATATAACTATTATTAAGAATATTAGCTTTAAAATTTTTATTACTCTAATTATTAAATTTTATTAAATCTTATATCATTTTAATATTATTACAGTCTTTTTTAATATTAAACTATGTAAATTAATATATATTAAACTATTAAATAATTTCTAGAAAAATAGTATATATAGCAAGTTTTTTAAATTATTATATAATTTAAAATAAGTATTACACGAGTAGTATAACATGCTTTATAACTTTCTAATAATTAATAATTTTAAATATTTATATATAGATTACTTTGTATTCACAGAAAAAAATCTTTTTATACTTATTTATATTAATAATATTCTTCTACTCACGCTAGATAGTACTATAATTAGTATTTTTAAAATACTATTTACTAAACTTATCAAGTTTATTAATAATAGTCCCTATATTTACTTCCTAGATATTAATATTATATAAGTAGATAAAGATATTTATCTCTCATAAAAATTATATATATAAAACTATCTAAAGCGCTTTAATTTTTCTACTTATAAAATTTCTCTTATACTATATAATTTTAAGAATTTTTTATTAAAGTATAATGGAATAGCAGATTCTAATAATATTAAAATATATTAAAAATATAATGGAACGCTTATCTAGATTATAATTAATATATATTCTAATATTATATATGTAATAAGTAAGCTATTATCTTTTATAAATAATCTTATTAAACTATATCTTTAAATAATAAATCTTATTTAATATTATCTTACTAGCTTTCTTAATTACTATTTCTTTTACTATCAAGGCGGACTTAGTTTTATTAATTTTTATAATATTAATTAGGCCAGCCCCCACTCTCTTAACACGATATTAATCTCTAATTATATATTCTAATTCACTGGGGGGCTTATTTTATAAAATTTAAAAAAATAAATTACTATTATACTATTTTTAACTAAAAGTAAGTATATCGCGTAAGTAATAATAATATAAAAATTAATCTAGCTCTAACTATTATTTATTAAACTGGATATTTAGCGCTTTAAAGCTATATCTATTTTAATAACTCACTTTATAATTATTCATGTAGATAACTAGTCTACTATTATTTTAACTAAAAATCCTAAGTTTTATGTCTGTATGAAACATATCTCTATTAAATAATATTTTATATATTATAAAATATATATAAAAAATATTAAATTTATTTATATTAATATAACTAAATAAGCAGCTAATAGTTTTATTAAATTACTTAAATATTTTATCTATTTCTATTTTATCAAGTAATTCAATATAGTAAATCATATTTAAAATCATATCTAATATTTCTATATCTATATATCTTTTATTTTCTATTTAGAAAATATGAACAATCTTACATATTCTTTTTTTTATATGTAATGTTACTGACTACGTCCTCACTTATAGAAAATGTGAAAAAAGATCACGTAATCTCAGATCTAGCCACCTAGTTACCTTCTCCTCACGTAGTTAGCTAGGCAACACACACACTCAATATCATCAATATTGCTGTCACAATGTTCGAGGATGTCATGACGACTCAGATCATTGAGGGAGAAAGTAGTAGCGTTTGGGGCTGGATTGGTGGTGACTGCTTCCTGGTGGAGGTATTTGGAGAGTTCTGCGTCGATGCCGAGAGCGTTATAGAGGGCGTTGATGGTGTGTTGCTCAGTGATGTCCTTGCCGTTGTGGGGGAGATAACCGTGGTTGGCGAGGGTGTTGAGCATTGGGCAGGGGGCGCGGACTATTATTTCATGTTAACGATGGCTTGAAGTATGGAAAAATCGTGGATTAGATAGGGCTGCTTACCATCGTTTGGGCCTGGAGGGGACCAGGGTAGTGGGTGCGGTGCTCCTCCTTGGGGTGGGAATGCATGGGTTTGGGCAAAGGCCGCGGCGAGACATAGTAGGGGGATTGTCTTCATGATGGAGGTAGTCGTAGTAATAGCAGAGCTGAGTCTGTATTCTGGAGGATTGTTTCCAGGATGTAGATTTAGAGCAATTTATATCTGGATGTAGGCCTAGAGCCAAGCTATTAGTAGATTACAAATACAGGTATATTACTTGCCGTCGTCACCTTGAAGAAATGGCGCCAGCGCTGGTTTTATGATTGTGGAGTAGCAGTTGTAAGCCAGTCATGCGTGAAGATGGAGCAAGTTTCAGATGGCTCCGATCTGGTTAGGGGCACGATGACAGCCCTGGATAGGCAAGTCGCTAGCCATCTTGGACTGGATGTATACGAGCACGGCGGTGGCACCGTTGCGATGCATCAAGTGTACGATGATTGGCTACACTGGCAGCTTTGGAATGCTACGCAGAGCCAAACCCGCTGTACCCATGGACAACGACCTGGGACGCCTGATGCCAAGAACTTGCTATGGTGTAATCACTCGTCCCGAGCAGTGCTGCAGCATGCTCAATGGTTGTCAACACCACAATAGCAGCAGGGTTACATCCCTACATACCTACATGTCTAAAACTGTCACAGTCTGCTGCCTAAATAACGTCCCGTGGGAAGATGAAAGCCTGCTTATAATTCAGGCGGTCATATTCTGTTTTGATATGAGTGACAGCTAATAGGAGGATTATGCGGTGTTTGGATCTTGGGGCAATTTGGCAAACAAGAGTTGGAACGAGCTCCACTGCTAAGGCATCATAATAATGTGATTGATCGAAATAAGATGTTATAATTCGGGACGGGTAAAAGGTTTCGAAACTGCGGGAGGCATTAAGCCGCCCCGTGCCAAGGGATCGGCAGCTGAGCCACCGGCGCGGTCCGGATTAGGGTTAGTGTGATACTTCACGAATACGATGGACCGATTAGGAGAAGGACTTGCCTTTTTGAGACAGGCTATCACGGATACGCCACGAACTGAAGATATTGACCATCAGATTCTTCAAGGAATATATTTCCATACTAGAGGGGTAGCATCTACCATGTTTCGAGAGGGAGATAAGTCGTAAGCTGTGACTAAGTGTTAGCAGCCATAGCCCAGCATAACGCGAAAGGAGTGAAGAGAAGAAATATAGGATTTCCGTATAAATATTGTGTGATATAGCGTCCTGTTCTCGAATATGATCGACTTCTTTATAAACATTGCCAGTGTCCATCACTAACTTATGCTGCTCGCTTAGCTTTACCAACCAATCCAGATTGAACTTCTAAGTTACGTTAACTTGTCGCTTCCTCTCCTACAATCATGAGTGCATCAGGCCATGGAAGTTCAGAAACACAGACATACAGCAGCGATACATGCCATGCCTATGTTGATGGCGTCTTTACTTCATATGGCTATGTGCCCTCGCTCACCGCAGCCTCTACCTTTGTAGCCCTCTTCGGCGTCTCGATGCTAGGCCATGCCATCCAAATGGTGTGGTTTCGAACTTGGTGGTGCTCCGTGTTTTCATTAGGATGTTTAGGTCTTTCGACAATCACAAAGTCTATTCCATTTACGCTAACTGAAACGCAGTCGAAATTCTAGGTTGGGCAGCCCGAATTTGGTCTGCTAAATGTCCCTACGCTCAGACACCATATCTCATGCAAATTACTACCCTTATCATAGGTCCCATACCCCATTTTAGGTACTGGTACAAATCTAATATCCGTCGACAGTACTAACATTCTTTACCGCAGGAATCTACGTCCTGCTAGCCCGCTTTATCTGTATATTTGGTCTCCAATCATCCATCCTTTCTCCTAAGCTCTACCTCTGGATATTTTGCACCTGCGACATCATCTCATTAGTCGTCCAGGCAGCAGGAGGCGGAATGGCTTCATCGGGAGCTGGCGGTGGGGGTTCAGGCTCCAGCACAAGCTCGATGAGCGCCAGAGAAACTGCTTCCCCCTCCTCCGCCTCCTCCTCCTCCTCCTCATCGTCTCAGTCAACCGGAACACACATCATGGTCGGCGGCATCATCTTCCAGCTTGTGGCCATAACAGTCTTCGTTGCACTTGGAGCTGATTTTGCTTGGCGCGTGTTCTGCCGCGAAGTGCCCTGCCGCCGGGGTAATGCGCACATGCCAGTAGTGATCGCTTTATTCTCGGCCATGGTTTTCTCGGTTTTGTTGATATATATTCGGAGTATCTATCGGACCATCGAACTGCTACATGGCTGGACGAGCTCAACGATGCGGAATGAGAAATTGTTGATTGGGTTAGATGGGGCGATGATGGTGCCGGCTGTTATTATTTTTAATCTGTTCCATCCGGGGCAACTGCTGCGAAAAATTGAAATGCGGGCGAGCTCGGTACCTATGGTTAGCGAGCAGACACTAGTCTTGGAGGACTTGGAGGAAGACAGTCACGGGGATAAGTTAGGATTGCTGGGAAGGAAGGATGATTCAGCGAACAACGGATCTCGGTATAATTGATGCCGTGATGATTGGGCCTGGCGTCTTTTATGAAGGACCCAATGTTGGGCAATTTTCGTGTCGGAAACAATTTGATTTAATGCTGTATTTGGGGGTAACTGATTTCTATCATTATTCTTCTTCCGCTGCATAAAATTTGCTACCTGCATCCTTGTGCATTCCAATCTCCTTCATCGGCCATTGTAGCCACCGACGATCATCTTGACCCAAGCATTCCTCAATACCCCCCATGATATGCTCCGCCCAGCCCCGAGCAAACCACACTCCGTCATGTAATTTCATAAGCACGAGAAAGTAAGCCAGCAGTATCAGTGCTACTGGCTCTTTGTTCTGGAAGGCATCCAGTGCAGGCTCGAAGCAACCAATCCAATCGTATATAATCATCGCCAACCTGCCAGTATTATTCTCTCCCCCATCTTGCTTTCCCCCATGCGTCTCATCGAGCACGCGCTCCAACATAGCAATGGAATTAATATAACAGTCGCTCAGTTCCCGGGCATTCAGTTCTCCGCGCTGTTGGCCATGCAGAAGAATCCGCTCCCTCAAGGCCTGTAACAATCCCCGGTAGTTTATTCCTGACGCCATGCCTCCTTGATCAACTCGAGATGAGCCATTTTTGTCCCCCCGAGGCTTGATATCACCAGACATTCCAGAAAGTGTTTTCACTCCTTTCACCAAAGAAGGCCACTGTACCTTGCTTTCATGATCAGTGCCAATCGAAAAGAACAAATAGTCGCCCGGTCGCGGACCCCGAGCCATAGGCAGAAAACACAAAATGGTGGCCCCCGCCCACACTGCCGCGATGTTGTTGGGGCTAACTTGAGCGAGAAGAGATAATAGTTCACTTAGCCCTTTTGCAGAGTGATGCTCTGCTCTGTCTACTAGCCAGGGATCATTTGCTCCGGGATTCGAAAATATGTTGTTGGTGTCGACCCTGGCCTTGTGCAGCCCAGCTAGCGCTAGGATCAGATGTAGGATGAAGGGATGCGAGATTGCCATTTTGGGGGCTTCATCATGCCAGAAGTGAAGACTGCCGTCATCTTCGGCGAGTGTGTAACAGGTTGAGGTTAGGTAGTGGTGGTGGAGGGTGAAGTCATGAAAGTCAAATGTTGTAGGGGCGGGGATGGGTTGGAAAGAGGATGGCGAGGGAGTTGACTGACTGGATGATGAAGATGGGGAATATTGAGCGCTAGTTGAAGTCGGGATAACTGATCTGGCAATAGAGTCAGGACTTGAGGTTTTTGGTGGGCTTTGATAGAGAGATGGGACGAAGATCCAGTTGATGAGGCGGTCCGGCTTTGCTGGTAATGCAGACTGGGAGGCTCTTGCTGATAGCGGTTGCCTATCTAGTCTGGTTGAAGCAGAGTAATCACAATTGACTGAGTGGTTCATGCAATTAGAGCATTGTGGTCGTAATTCATCGCACTGAATTGGCCGTTAGCATTTCGCTTCTTCAGATAAGCATACAGGATCGGGAGGTGGGGCGGAAAACCTTAATGTGTCGTCTTTTGCAGTTGCGGCAGCCTAACCGCGACTTCTGGTGTGACCGACGCGAGGCCTTACGCTGGTCCAGCCTGCTGATTGCCATTGATGCGGGATTGTTCTGTGCCATTGCTATCGAGTTGAACATGGAGCTAGTTTGGATGGGAAAATGTCTCGAGGAAACATCTCAGGCAGCCCTGGAGCCTGGAGGGCCGCGCCAGCCTGGAGGGCCGCGCCAGCCTGGTGGCTGTGCCAGTGGGTCAAACTTGGCTAATCTGAGGACCCACACTTTGGCACAGGGGTAATATTTTGGGTGCATTCTAGAACCTGGATGGTTACATGATGGCCACGATATAGTCAATTATAATTATGGTAATCTTAGCGCTTGCTACCAGCAAGATATGAATGGCGGTTGTCACGAGACTGGAGCCACTTCATGATTCTCTCTCAGTCTCTGTTTCTTCCTTCTGGCGTACCCCTCAAGCCACTTCATCATCTATATATCTGATAGATTATAAGTTGAATAGGTTTGAAAACTAGTTGGACATATTATATTTCATTGAAAGTAATTATTATGCGGAATTCTGTCAAACTCTATTTTCTTACCGATTCTATGACTAGACGGTACTTAACGAAAAACTTCTATATATCTCACAATTAATGACTGAAGTTGGTACCGGAAAGTTTCTGCTCTCTTCTAGGTATCTAACTTTATTTTTTTGTATTATGAGATCAATACATCTTCTCGAAAATGCCCAGGCTTACTTACAGGATTTACTAAACTACCCTAGTCGGATACCTGTATCACCTTTATTACTATACACCAATAATGTTATCATAAAATAATAGCAAAGAGAGTTTATAAGATTATTTAAGAAGATGAGGCGTCCAGGGCCTTAAGCTACAGAGTAATTTCAGAAATTAGACTCCTGCAAAAGTGTCAGGTTTTGTCCGGCGCTTGCATCAGCCCCTTTGCATGAGCAGTATGAATTGCTTTCAACACACGACCAACTGTACGCGATCAACCCTTGCAACATGTTCAACGGCAACTACAATCGCTACAATCGAACCCATAGACCGGAAAGTGCTAAAAGCACTGGTCTCACTAGCGCTATCGTAGTCCTTACATGGCTTCTTCCAGCAGGTTAAGGAATCCCATGGATACCGAATTCTCCCATCTAATGATATAGCGGTGAGAGTTGAATAGTTCCTATTTACTTCAGGACTCTAGAAGTTCTACTTCACTTGTCCTAGCATGATCATTGAGACCGGGCAATGAAGCGAGCGCCCGCGGAAACCAGATCGCTAAGTCATCTTATGGCTACCGGGACTGGAGAGATACCGAGAGATAAGAACACACGGCACACACCTTCTTGTGGCGCCAAGGCTAGGACTAGATTCGGAGTCAATCTCGCAAATGAATGGATCGTGTACAACGTCGTCACCATGGTTATGTAGCCGTTTTCGCACGACCTGGGGGCTCGTGAGGCAGCGGCATCATAATCAAGCTCGTACAACAGACAAGGATGTGCCGATCACCTTCAACAGAATACCTAAACCCACGATGTAGCTTCGAAGGGCTTGAAGGCTGGGAGTTGCAGGAGAAAGAGGGCATGACACATGTTGGTGTCACAAGCTTGTGTCTTCGGAATTGCGGAAACGATGAAAACCTTGAGTCAAATTGTTCAATTGCAAAGCTGATTTGCCCAACTGCTGAATTCGTTTTCGGGAACCCCACGGTGTACCTGTCGTACTCCTGTCAAACCACCCGACCCCCAGGATATAAGAACGCACGTGGTCCTGAGAAGCCGCTATGCTCCTCAGGTTCCGACATCTCTTCAAGTAGTCATCTTTGTTATGTGCGCTCACATTCCTGAACAATTTGCGTTCAAGCATCGCTGCCGGTATCCTCACAGCATCAAATACACATGATTCAACATTAGTAGGGTCAGTATCGCGGAGAACAATACATGGTCCGCTGATACGTACGACGGGGTCTGGAACTTTGAACCCATCCGGGTACCTCGCCTTCAGCTCCCTTGGGCTTCGGACTAGGACCTCTATCAAGGCGGACAAGTAGCCCTGCTGGAGCAGTGGAACGGGGTCTTCTTCATTTATTATGCCCAGGAAGATTCCTGACTGGAATGGGTCGCGGCTTGGCGGGCGGATGGGGATAGTAGCGATCGGTGGGGTGCCAAATACAATGCAATGAACCCGTCGGAAGTCTGTTCATAGATGTTGAAATGTTAGCAATGTGCTTTGAGAGAGATTTTCAGGAACTGAGGGTAATCAGAGGCTCACTAGGTACTACGGTTGCGATGGTACGGCTCGAGGACTTTGAGGCTGCCATGGCATAGAACAGCTGTGCCATCCCACCACCAGCAGAATGGCCCGTGAAAAGGAGACCCATATCTCTTGGTGCCCCCGCTGCCACAAGAATTCCTTCGGCAAGTCGCATTTGCATCGCTTCGGCAACAGCGAGATATCCCTTATGATATCCGGCTGCTGGTTCTCCAATGCTCTGGCGGAATAGTCAGCATGAGGATACAATCTTGACTCTAGCGCATGGAGGATGATCGTTCTACCTGGGAAGGGGTTATTGGCTCGCCATTTCCATTCACCATCCAGTCCATTATGCTGGTTGATCCGCGAACTGTTACAACCAGCACAGAGTCCACTACAGTCCCGAGAATTCTCTTTGAGTCTCCCCTGGGCTTCAGCTCAAAGACCGGGGAGTCGGGAGGCAATTCGGGTGATTCAAAGTAACCATTCACTGACTCCTCGGCTGCTAGTTCAATAAGTCGCCATGTGTCGTCAGACCTACAATATGACGGATTAGCTGATGAGCTGCTGCGAAAGGTATTACATAGCACACGTTTTAAACGGTTCAGCGTTGTCCGTTTTCTTGACTTTATGAATTGGTAGCTTTTCAAGCTTGATACGGTATTCATCTAAGATGCATTCTTATGTGACGGTCATTGCTGTTGAACGGAGTCAGCCGCTAATTGAGCTTTTAACCAGGCTAACATGTGATCATCTAAGGGAGTACCCACGGTCGGGAGTTGCCGGAACTGTTTCTAGAAAATTCAAAGCCTCCGCGGCAGCCGTTGATGTACCGGTCAAGTGCTGGGAAGAGGGAGCACTACTCAAGCTCTGTAACCCCGCGCTGAATGTAGCAGCCCTCTGGCTGTTTTAGCAACCGGGCGCTTGGTTAACAAAAGTTTCGCTCCGAATCATCTAAGGGCATTTCCAGCCTTCCCGTATTTTGGTGTATCTCTTTTTGTCATGGTTGAGGCGTTTGCGATTGAGAAGTACGCTTGCTTGTCCGTGTCAAAGTCATTGTAGATGCGCGGAGTATAAATAAGAGTGACCCGCTGATATAAAAAGGACTATACCCCGTGGGCAAACAGGGTGAGGGTTAAAAGTGAAACCCACTGTTTCCTAACCTATTCAATCTTGTGCTGCCAACTCATTGCACAATTGGAAGCCTTGCAACAGCCTTGCAACAGTACGTGTACGTCTGAGTCTAGTGTCACCGGAGCCCTTCGAAACCTCTTGGGAAGTCTGGGCAGTCCGATTCTGAAGGCTCTTGCCCGAATATGTATGGATGCCCACGCCCCACCAACTTGGTATAACCAAACGCTGCTCACATTGAGCGGGTGTGATTCCGCAGCCAGCGTGTAGGCCGAGTGGGTGGCTGGCTGATGTCAGGTCGCTAACAGCCGGACCCACATATACACAACAAAGTAATAGACACTGAATCTGTCGATATTGGATGCCTTGTTTCCTTGTGGTTCCCCGAAGGTGTCTCGGAATGACCGAAAGCTGCCTACCCAAGCCCGAGTTTGGGGGTGATTCTGCACTCGTCGACACTTTCTTGCAGTGCTTAATGTGATATTATACAGCGGTTCCATTGTGTTTACCGGTTATGGGGTCCTCATGATCTGTGAGCACCTTGACGCAAATCCCAATCTCAATAACAGTCCAACGGACTCGTCAGCGCCCTTCTTCTCTGTCGGCACAGATCAACTGTATTTCTTCACCCGTAGCAAAATGAAGGGTGCCCCTGAAACGAAATACGAAAAACGGAATCCCTGCAACACTCAAGACCATCGTCAAAGAACTCAGGAGCCTTTATTGGGTTTCTGTACGGAATGAAGTTCAGAACATGATCAGATTCTACTGCGAGATGAAAAAAGCCGCTTATCAACCTCATGCCCCTCCCAGATTGAAATGTGATAACTTTGAGAAGATATTCAACATCTGGGGTAAGTGCCGCGGATCCTGACGTACCTATACTGCTTTAGGTGTGACCGTTCTTGCAGTTGGTAGTCAACCAAACTTCGACAAGGCCGCTGGTTCAAACCTCCACCACGAGACCTTGCGAAGAGCTCAAGGTGAGTCGTGGACAACCAGTATTACATGACAACGTTTGACATAGAACAGAGCACCTGAATAAGCCGGAGACCAATGATCATCGCTATGCACGCCTTCTCCTTCAGTCCTCAAGTGAGTCAGAGTGTAGCAATATTTATGGAAACGCTCCCTAATCAAGAAGGCCTTCTGGATATTGACATTATTTATGAACCTACTCAACTATCTCAAGACTACCTGAATATGCAACCGAATCTCCCCAATGGTAAGTAACCCCACGCGCCCCCCTTCTCTTCGCAACATTCATCTCACCAGGTCCTCTCAGTCAAGTGTGCCATAACGGACGACGCAGATGCAACCAGAGCAACGGGACGAAGACTCTACGGAACGTCATGTAGTACATGCGGTCAACTCATCCAGTCGAAGGTATACTACGAGTGCATGCAGGACTGCGAGCCTTACATCCGGTACGAGTATGAGCATACCAAGCATGAGTGGCAGGAACGCAGGTTCGACACAGCCTCCATGAACTCCACGTCACGTCTTCGGTATTTTTGTGCGCCATGCAAGAACAGAGTTGAGGTCTGTCAGCCAGGCCACCATCTCCGTCTGGTACACTATGAGGATCCAGATATTCCTGGTCAGCATTGAATATTCTCTGACTATACCCCTGGCTTATTACTAACTTGGGATATTTGCACGTATAGCTATCATAGAGCTACGAGCTCAACTGAACAAGTACATAAATATAATGAACATGAGATATTAGAAGACGAGAGCGAGATGGAAGAAGAGAGCGAGAGTGAAGAGGATAGCGACATGGGAGACGAGTGCGAGAGTGAGATGGAAGACGGGTGTGAGAGTGAAGATGATAGTGGGTTAGAGGATCAAAGTGGGACGAGTGATAAGAACCGCACAAAAGGAATCTACACGGGCAAGAAGAAACAGGATCCAAATCGTCCAACCGCTTCTAAATTCTCCTGGCGAGAAAAACTAGCCATGGGCCCATGAAGATCCTCAAGGAAACAGAGACGAAGGGATCCATAAGTAGCTGAGCTATACTGTAGTATCTTTTACTAGGTGCTAGAATAGTGTGCTATGTTTGAGCCATACTCAAGAAATAAAGGCCTTGGAAAGCCTTTCCTGGTATACTATATCCTAAAACTAGGATTTGATTTTTTCTTATGGAAGACAACCTATAAAGGAACCCAAAATTAAATACTATATTATTCATATAATAAATTATTTTTAAATCTTAAATACTGATATATACTACTCCAATACTATATTAGCACATAAAAAAATTTAAATAAATTTTTTATTATTATTATAATAAGGCTGGATATACCCTAGAATATAAGACTAATAAAAAACTATTTATTATATATGAGACGGCCGTTTAACACAGCAAAATGAGGTCGTTGTGATAGGATCTACTTGTCAGGGTAGAAGGCCTGTCGACTAGGTAAGGAACTGGCCACCAAACGTGTAGGATTCCACTGATAACGACAATGTAGCCTATATCCACAAATGGAGAGACTGATCCTTGAAGGATCAGTAGCCCAACACTGAGGAGCGTCATCTTATAGAAGATGGGTAGATCCCGAACCGTCACCGATGACCTCACGACTTCCATGACCATCTCAGTACGTCACCCCAAGGCCCCGGACCACACTGGTTAGACTACTACAGGACCAGAACACCGGTCGGGCCGGTGCCGATAAGATAAGACCTCCATCTGAACCGTTCTATCACAGTCGTATTGGTGTTAACTACTCTAGAACTTTAAGTATAAGGAGGAAAAAAAAAAAATAAGAAATATTATAAACGCTCACTAAAAAAAACGATAATAAAACAAACAAAATAAACATGGTCACATGATCTTAAACAGAGCCGCCGTCACACTGGGCTTTGCCGTCATATCATACTGTGGTGTGGACTCATGCTGTGCCGACCCTTTTACTAGCCCTGTTAGCTATATCGTTCCCCCGGTTATAATTAGCTATTGGTCTGTAGCACTGACAAGACGTAGCACCAACAGCAGATTGAGCGCCTTTCATCACTCTGAGGCAATGACCTACAGCCCTACCTACTCGGAATATCTATACAGCAGCCCACATATTCTACAAAACGACCCCTAGTAAAGAACCCTCGAATATACCCCTATCCCAGAAAATTTCCCGGGTCTCTAATACTTTCATGTTCCAGTCCGTCATTGCCTCACAGATACGATAAATATACCTTTCAGCCAAGTAAACAACTGCATTTTAACCAATAGCCGCTTGGAAGAAGGAAAATAAATATATTAAGCAACCACCAATTTGTGTCCATAACCCTGAGTAATTGATCTATCCATAAGGTTACAGAGCGCAATATAGTGCTGAGCCCGAGCGACTTCTGGCAAGTCAGCCTCAAAGAGAAGGCTAAACAGGTTAGACATCACAAGGTATTTCAAAACCGTAGCCTTGGTACCACAATACTAATCGGAGCCTGATCTCCACCAGCAATCTGAGAGTATTGAGATTGATTGGACAATTATCAAGGAGAAGCTTCTTCACTAAGCCAACCTGGTAGAGAAAGGCAAGCAGCTTAGGCTCGACATTTCTATTAGCTATATAAATATGATGCTCTCGACACTGAGCAAGATACACCCAAAAAAAGACTGGCCCTATGCATACTCCACGACATGTAATTCGTCATCTACTCAGGCTTCGCCCCTGTATTGATCCCCATGACTCATTGTGGCTTCACCCTTGAAAATGAAAGAGCTGGATTCCCGCAGAAAATCTGCATGTTCTTCATACATAGGCTTCAAGCCAGTTTCCAACGTTTCCTTGAAGAAATCTTCGAAAGAGATTCCTTCCAGGTCGGGGTAGAGGTCCTTACCGACCTGGTAGCCTAGATAGCGAGCGTATTCGGGTGTATTTTCTCCCATAATGTCGTATGACTTTTGGTAGGTGAACTGGTAGTAATCCATCATCTTGTAGGGATCATCTTTGGTTCTGGCAATACCATCATCAATCTCATCGGCGGTGCGCTACGAGGTGAAAAGTCAGTATCTAGCTTCTTAAAAAGACCATGATGATGATACGGAAACATACATATTTTCTTTCTATTTTCTCGCCGCTGATTTTCTCAACTGTATCATACAGCTCGTGCTGAGTGCGGAGGTCGGTATAGGCGAAGACCTTCTGGTTAAGGGTCCTAGGGTCGGCGATGAAACGAGCAACATATACGCCAACATCGCGGGAATCGGTCCTGGCACAAGGTACGTCACCGCTGCCTCCAATAGTACTATTATAGAGAAAAAGGTTGCGATCAATGCGGCCGGAGGGCAGGCGGGGAAGGCTGATCTGGTACCACCAACCGACGTCAATGACGGTATAAGGAAGGTGCAGCCTCTGAATATGGTCTAGTATGACCTCCTTCTATAGATGTGGGCAATATGTCAGTCATTTGAAGTCAAAGTAATGCATCGTTATGAGAAGGGTGGGGAAATGGCCGCAACTTACGTTGTCGCGCAACGTCTGGACGCCCCTGGGCATCACTGAAGCATAAAAGCATGGAACGTAGCGCTTTACCCCTGCCTTCTTGGCTGCATTAGCAAGGACAACTTCGTCCAGTAAGCAGCAGACAATAAGGATGTCGATGCCTTTGAGCTGGGCTGTGATATCATCCTCAGAGTCAGCAAGGCTAAATGACACTATGTTGATACCCCTCTTCTGTAGGTTGAGCACATTGGGCTTCTTTAGCGAAGTAGGTCGGACAAGGGCCGTGATATCCTGCTTCCAACAGGAAGATTAGAATGCTTGACAAAATCCGAGTCTTAAAACGCTATGGAGACCCACAAATTTGGTTTCTGTTGATGACAGCAGGCCATTGACGATAGAGCTGCCGTTTTGGCCGGTGGCCCCAAGGATTGCGACCTTCATGTTAAGGCTGTATAAGAAGGAAAAAGAAAATGTTTCTGAAGTTACTGTCTGAGAAGAAAGCTGTGTCTCGCATTTGTGACGGGGTGTGCAACTCTTTTATACTTAAAATGTCTGAAAGGTCCCACTTACCCATCTCCAATTACTCTATTCTTGTATCACAACTGCTAAAAGGCTTCCAATAGCTCTTGAGTCAATGGCTGCTTGCTGAGGCGCGTCGGCCGGCCAGCCAGTAGGAGGGGTTTTTGGGAGGGTAGGAAGACTAAACGATAAGTACGGAGTAGAGTTTACAAATCAATCAGAGTGGGGAACGAATGAACCATTCAGCTATAGTACTACGGTTCTGATGGGGGGTTTTTGGAGCTCCTCTATTTAGCCTTGATATGATTGGTGGATAATGCAACTGAGTCATTCTCGGATGTTCCGTGGCCCGGCATCCGAGCCAAACAGCCCAAGAAGCGGGTTATGTCAGCGAAAGCCAGGGAGAGCTGACTTCCGGCCCCGGCCCACTTTTTATTCTAAAACCGCGTGTTTCTACATTTTTGGAAAACCTAACTTGCATAACTCTTGGCATGCCTATTTTACTACGTCCATTAACCATGACTAACTAACTATAGTGAGAAGATGACTCATCGACAAATCATAGTTAATACCGTCACATGATCCTGTTATATGATAACGGCTCAATTACTGGAGTGGTATCACATGTATCTGAACAGAGAAATGTCATGATAGGATCCTGCATATGCAGAGGCAGATTCTGATGATTACTAGTTTCATTTGAGCCTGAAGACTGTTGCTCTCATCTGTGCAACTTGAAACCCTGCATGTAAGACGCTCTGGCTACTGGGTAAGAGCATTCTGGAAAAGCGCGTCGAGTCGTTTCCCCTCGCTATCTGCCAGTTCGCCATGGGTTTGAGCCGTACCGATGGGGTGATACGGGAATGGTCTATGTATTTGTTAGGGTATCCAACTGCATACAGCTAGGGTTGACCTACCCGTATTCCGGAACCCACGTAAGGCGGCAGTCCGGCTCAGTCTGCTGTCGATGTTGCACAATCCGCAGCCAGAGGCTTTCGAAGAATTGTCGCTCGGCAGCAAAGGCCGGGTGGAGCGGCTCGGGACACTGGGACGACTGCGTGGTTCCCATGCGGGCATGGATATGACGGACCTGGCGCATGTCAGATGGGGCTGAGGGTCAGGGTGGTACGGACGCACATGTGGAATGATGCGGGTGAGAATTTCCTGATCCTCCTCGCCCTGATCCAGGAGCCTCTCACACACCACCACCCAGTGGGAGATGTCGGCCGTCACTTGTAACCTGCAGATGCAGTGAGAAGGATGCAGGCACGGAAGTCATGGACGATGCTTACTGTGGTACTTTCTGCAGAATGTAGTCCGCCGCGTATGGGTTGAAGAGAGATCGGTTGCGGTGCGTTTCATGGCAAACTTTGCCTTGCAGTCCTTCCTCCTGTTCGACCTGGAGGGCCCGTTGGTAGAAGTACACGGACTCGTCCCAGGTCCAGTAATCCCTGTGCAACGTCAATATGCGCCGCGATTGGAAGTAGCTGGCAGATCAGGGGCCATACGCTCCGGATTGGGCATTGATCAGGGTTGGTTTCAGAATTTTGGCCAAGCGAAGTTGGTCTCGAAAGAAGTCGACATGCCGGTCTGGGGTTAAGCCTCGAGGGCGAGGCCCGACGTATTGTGGCCACGATGAGAACAGGCTGGTACAAAGTTAGGTTGTCTCGCTTCGTCGCGAGGAAGGGGCGGGACTGACAGGACGCTGATTTCCAACCCTACCTCGTCACAGTTGTTCTGTAGCAGCTGGAGCTGATCGGGAGTCATGCCAGCAAAATCAATCTCAATGCCCGCTGGACGGTCTGGAGTTAGTCCAACGCTCCCCGGTCCTGCCATCAAGATAGAGCTCACCATAGCCGTGGGCCTTGAGCTCGACGAACTTCTTCTTCCACTCCGCCTGGTCCGGACCGGGCTCAATGCCCCAGAGAGAGCGAAAGCGAGAAATCACCACCATGATGCCTCCTGTCCGGCAAGTGCGGAGAGTACTTGTAGCCTGTCCAGCACGGGCGAGCGGCAAACGGGTCGCGTTATGGGTTCGTGGGATGGCCTCTCGGCCCAGCGGGGATTTATATCGGACGGACCGAGATCTGTCTCCGCAGTCCTGACATCTCATCCCCGCAAATTGCGACATGGCGACATCTGGCCGGCCTTCTCTGATGTTCGCCTCGTCTGGCCGATCAGTTGGAGATGTTCCCGATCGGGTGATTTAGCCCGCTTCCCGCTTATCCATTTTCAGTTAGTCGGTGCCCGGCTGTCCCAAAAAGGGAATAACGAGGTCAACCCAGTCAACAACCCCCGGACAGATGCAATGAGTGACCGATTACTGCGGAGTGGGTTCAACTGAAGGTGTGGCCAGTATTTTCCACGCCTTCCTGCCCATGTCATCATGGGCTGGTAGCTTTCTCCGCACCGACCCCCCACCCCTCATCCCACTTCTCCGCTGCCACTTCCCCCACTTCTCGCACGCATCCGCCACTTAAGTACTCGGCAGAGTCCACCGCGGTAAGAGACCTGACAGAGTTGGCTGGCACATACCGGCTCCGTTGATTTACAATGGCCCCCCAGGCAATGAAAGCACTGAACTATGTTGGACCTTTCACGGTCCAGGTGCAGGAGGTGGCAATGCCCCGCTTGGAGCATCCCGACGACATCATCGTCAAGGTCACCAGTGCTGCCATCTGTGGTTCAGACCTGCAGTGAGTGCATGAGACGGTCCAAGAGGGGGTGTTTGTCGATACCGATACTCACCGTCCACAGCATGTACGAGGGGAGAACCGCCGCCGAGCCGGGCATTACTTTTGGTGGGTCCCCCATATGCCTATCATCGCTGAGTCTTGTGCTAACCCCAACGATATCTAGGTCACGAGAACCTGGGCATCGTCGAAGAGCTGGGGGAGGGAGTCAACCTGCTGAAAAAGGGCGACCGGGTGGTCATGCCGTTCAATGTCGCTGATGGTCGATGCCGGAATTGCGAGGAAGGCAAAACCGCCTTTTGCACGGGAGTGAACCCGGGGTTTGCAGGGGGCGCCTACGGTGCGTCTTGGACAATTGGTTATCATCCTAGTCGCTCATTGACATTGATAACAGGCTATGTGGCCATGGGACCGTATCGCGGAGGTATGCACCACCAATCCCAGTGAGGGGCCGGCTAACTGGGATCCAGGCCAAGCACAATATCTGCGGGTGCCCTATGCCGACTTCAATGCGCTGAAGCTCCCACCCGGGACGGAACACGAGGCCGATTTTATTCTACTCGCAGGTAGGCTGGTATAATCCTGTGTTTGAACTAGATCGACTAACTACAATTAGATATTTTCCCTACAGGTATCCCACCCATCCAGATACGGCCGCCGCGGACAGCGCCACTAACATGATCAGGATGGCACGGCATTGAGATATCCGGCTTCCAGCCCGGAGACAGCGTCGCCGTGTTTGGGGCCGGTCCCGTTGGGCTCATGGCCGCCTATTCCGCCCAGCTGCGGGGTGCATCTCGCGTCTATGTGGTCGATCGGGTCCCCGAGCGTCTGAGGGCCGCAGAGCGCATCGGCGCAACGGCCATTGACTTCACCAAAGGAGATGCCGTGGACCAGATCATCCAACTCAACGGCGACCTGGTGGATCGCTCCGTCGATGCCGTGGGATACCAGGCGGTCGGGAAAGACAACTCGACCGAACAACCCAACATCGTGCTCGAGAACATGATCCGCGTGACAAGGGCCTGTGGCGGGCTGGGCATCCCCGGCCTGTATGTCCCCAGTGACCCCGGGGCGGGCGATGCAGCCGCAGCCAATGGCATGATCAGTCTCAGTTTTGGCAAGTTGTTTGAAAAGGTAAATCATCCCGGTTGCGGTGGACATACCACGGGCTAATGCGGGCCTAGGGCCTCTCCCTCGGCACGGGCCAGTGCAACGTCAAGGCGTACAACCGACAACTGCGGGACCTCATCATTGCGGGGAAGGCCAAGCCCAGCTTTGTGGTGTCGCACGAGATCAGCATCGACGAGGCGGAAACGGCCTATGAGAAGTTTGATAAGCGGGTGGAGGGCTACACCAAGGTCATCATCCACCCCAATGGCGGATTCCCGAGCAAGAAGCCGCCAACGGTGTCGTCCACCTTGTGAGATACCATCCCACCTTGTGTATTAGCGAAATAGCAGCAAAGTGTAGATTGTCTCCATTGGTTGAACCCGTCTGATTCTACATGGTAATTTGGTACGATGGTGCTTATTGCCGATTGTGGTAACTTTCCCTTTCGGGTCGCAGCGGGGCCTCTTGCCCCATCCGGCAACTCCCGGTCCGCACAGGACCCACTCTCCCGTTGGGGCAGGCGATGCCGGCCGGAGTTCCTCCGAGTGGGATCGAAGTCCCCCCATCAGGGCAGGTAACCTTCCCCAGGGCGGTGGGAAGTGTCGTCGGCTTCATCATGAACGGAGTCGACCCGATCGATGCTTCCCCACCGAGCCGACTCGGGAATGGCGCCCGACTGGCCCTCGGCGTGCAGCTGACCCTCCCGAGCCATGTGCTCGCGAACAACGCTGGCCATGACTCCCCCATCGTAGGCGCCCTCCCGATGCGGCCACGATTCCAGCAGCTCGAGGGCGTGCTGCCGGGTGGGCTGATGTCGGCATTTCAGACACACCCAGAACAGCGAGGGGATGACCCCCATGTCCATGGCCACGGTGGGCCGACGACGGCCATACTCGGCCTGGAAGCTGGCCATGATCCCTCCGGCCAGACGGGTGATGGTCTGGTATTCCTCCAGATAGCAATCGTAGATCATCTCCGAGGTTACGAGACTGGTGTCCAGAATGTTGAGCAGAGCGAGATGCTGCATCCGCATCACGTCCATGCCGCGCCGCTCCTTGCTGCTGAGAGAGCTGATCACCTGGGTTCTGACAAAGTCGTCAAATCCCGCTATGTGCGCCATCAGCACGTCGCAAATCCGGCTCTGCTCAGCCATGGCCGTGGGGAGATCCCGGTCACCCGGCTCCCCGCGCAGGAGGGGCTCGCACGATCGGCGGAATCGCAGGATATTGCTCAGGATGGGATCGAGTCGCTGTTTGACGTCGACAATGCTGCTGATCGGAGGACTGCGGGTGTCGAGTCCCAGGGGAAGCCGGAGAAAAGGACCTTCCTGCCCGAATTGGGCCGAGTGGGCGTCGAGATGGATAAACACCTTTGCCAGCGCGGTTTCCGTCCCGGAGCCTCGGGGTGCCCAATGTCCACGGGTCACAGACCGGGAGTCATGTCCCAACATTGCTCCTGATCCCCAACGACGGTAGTCCAGCATTTTGGCCCCATTACGTAGGTGAATAAAGGCATTCCCGTAGTTTTGGCGGAACAGTTCAAAGCAAGTAAAGTTGATGCAGCACATCAGGGCCAGCTCGCGGACCTGCGGATCGTGCGAGGTCAAGCGTCGTCGCAGCAGAGAGATAGCCTTGCCATACTGCTCGAGCGCAAAGCGGTGGTGACCGTTGGTGAGATCCAGCTTGCGAGGCGGGTGGCCAGTGAGTTGGCTATCCTCATGGAGGGCACTCAACGCCACGACGGTATGGTAGACGGCGGGTTCCGCGTGGCTGAGTTGGACGACGATTCGCTGCCACACCTCGGAATCGAACCAGCAGATCATCATGGGCGCCGTATGGGCCATGAAGATGCCAAAGCAGCGCCGTTCATCGCTGCTGGCCCCGGGCTGCGGCGGCAGCAGGCGCGGCAAGGACGGTGGCCAGATGATCCGGGCAGGCCGGCCACGGGTGACCACGGGCAGGCGATTATCCTCGTAATGACAGTCCCACCCGCCGACGGTGCACCGGACACACTCGCCGGGGGTCTCGTCGCACTTGATCTTGCGGAGTCTGGGGGGATGTCAGTGTGAGGATCGTGGTGGTGGTGGTGGTAGTGGCAGTGGTGGTGGCAGTGGTGGTGGCAGTGGGGTTGGGAACGCACCGACATGTGCGGCAGCCGGTGCGCGACCGCTGAGTGTAAGCCCGCCGTCGCTTGATGTCTTCCATTATTTCTCAATGTCAGATTCGGGCTGCAACTGGTGAGTACAACGGACCTACCAGGCGTCTCGGCTTACGCGGAGGGGAAAAAGGGGCCGGTCGCAGGCAACAACACTACCGGCGGAGCAATGTTGTTCCAGGGTCATCCACGTGCCTGGCACCTCAGGCTGCTATCAATTGACTCGTGCATGGCAGCAAGACTTCAATTGGTAAACAGCTGCATATTAGGATATACGTGAAATTAAATAGTTATGGCGCCCGGCTCACTATGCCATGTTATATGTTGTGAGCTATGGCTCAGGGGGGTGAAGATGTTAGTTATACTTATTATCTAGGCTATAGCTAGAAAGAAAAAAAGAAGTATATTTTTAATAATAGTAACTAATATAATTAGAATATATAATCTTTATTTATCAATTAATTAGATATCTTCATATATTAACGAGTATATTTCTTATCTATTTATGTCACGGTGCCTGCCTGCCTCCCTGCCTGAACCCGTGTGGTTGCCTGAATCCTGCCTGAATCCCGTTCCTGAATACCCTCATATAGCGTGCGCAGTGTAAAGCCATTGGCTTTACATCCTAGTCCTTTTGCTGATAGTGCAGCGGGAAGTACCTGGAATGCGCACCCAGTATGCCCCGTGACAATGAGCTACGGCTTAGGAGATTGAAGATATTAGTTATATTTACTATCTAGATTATAGCCAGAAAGAAGAAGAAGAACGCCTTGGTGGTGGTGGCTAACATGATCAGAACATGATGTGATTCTCGCCTATCAGCCAACCAGGCACCTTAACATTATATATACATGGGGTCGCCCATGGCATCCTGCGGGTGCCCGGATATATATTTGTGCCGCCGGACAACCCTAACGGCCCATCGCCATGGTCCCATCATCCAACCTGAACCCCAGATACATTCATTTACAGTTAAGAAACACCTAGAGAACATCGATATCCCCCAAGCGGTCCAGGTTCCGCCACCCCGACGGCGTGTTCCACCCCCGCAGCCAGTACCCCCCGCCCTGCACGCTCTTCAGGGTAAAGGCCGAGGGCCACACCCCCTCGCGCATCTCCCGCACCAGCGCATTGACAAAGACCACCTGGGCCGGTCGACTGGGTGCACTGGAGGCAGCGGAAAAGTCCAAGGCGGAGAAATCAAACCCGGTCCACGGCGTCACCATCACCATCGGCGTGGTCCCCCGCCCCTGGATGTTGGGCAGCACGCGTCGGCCCGCATGGTCTTCGCACACCCGGAGATACGCCTGAATCGAGGACGGCGTGGTGTATCGCAATGTGGCCAGCCGCAGCCGGCCCGCCAGCGTAGCGACCGACTCCTGCTGGATCTGGGCCACCGTCAGCTTCTCGCGCAACAGCCCGATGCTGTTGTGAATCCAGTAGTGGCCCGGCGGCGGCGGCGCCACCACCGGCCGATAGCTGAGCGGGCCATAGAAGTCCACCGGCGCATTGCTCCGTGCGACGGTGCTGTAGATCGTTTTCAGGAACCAGGCGTTGATGATGTTGTTCTTGGTCGGCTGGGAGTCCCATCGAGGCTGCGGATCGGCCGGCAACATCGACAGCGTCTCCAACGCTCGTTTGCGCACCGCACCCACCCACTCCGCTGGCAGGTACACATATCGTTCCTCGAGATCCTCCTGCAGACCCAGGCGTCGCAGCAGCAGATTCCACGCCACGCTGACCAGGAGCAGCAGGACGGGCCAGAGCCCGATCGTGAAGTTGGCCAGATGCTCGGCGTAGCCAATGCGACGCACGGATGGGTCGGATGTTTTGGCGGGCGTCACCCGATCCGATAGTCTCTTCCCTTGGGAGTCGGGGGGCAGCAACAGGGCCGCAATCGGACGACCGGCCAGCAGATCACAGTAGGCCCGGATCACGTCGTACGAGGCCGTGCCGTCGGCCAGGTGATGGCTCAGGCCGAAGCAAAGCATGGTCGCATCGCGGAGCATCGTCGCCCGGACGAGGAAGACATTCGTGGTCTTCGCAGGCACGTTGAACATGAAAGTGTCGTCCAGTTCCTGCGGGCTGAGTTTATCCATGATGGTCGGTCGGGGTGCGCTCGGTGGGATCCCTCGTTGGGTCCAGTAGGCCAGGTCTTGATGGCCCTCTCGACTCTCGAAATCGACGATGGAGCCCGTGGACAATGCCCAGGGTCGATCCTACCGCCCGTTAATCCCATAGCTCTAGTTATGTGTTTGCGGGCGTCCATGACTGACCTTCCGGTATAGCTTCCCACCCAGCACGGGCCACGCCTTGACCAGCTCTGCTGTTGTCCGCCTCAAGATGTTTACATCGAGGCGCGCATCGATGATGAGTCCCGTGAAGACCATGGCCCGACAGGTGAAGGGGTGGACCGCTTGGCAGCGGTACTGGGTTTCCATCATGTCGCGAGAATGCTGCCCTAGTCGTCGTGCTGCGCTGGCAATCGGCCGTGGTATTGCCACGATGTCGCCGGCGGGGTGTCGCGGGGAATTTTGTATGACGGCCTAGCCAGGCCGGCCTTGGAGCAGCAGGGGGTGGCCGGCTGGGTGGCGCTGCTGCGTGTCGATCCCGAAGCTATCCGGCCCAATTCCGTGTCGATGGAGCCGGCCTGTGTGCCCCAGCACTCTTTCATGGTGGTGTGTTTGTGACACCGGGACAGGCTACAGGCCGCTCATGGACGAGACTTGGCTATGTTTCCAATGTCACCATTCCGGATCAATCGACAAAACCTCTTGCGCTGCCATGACTCTGGACTCGGGTATGCCTAAACTCATACGAGTGCGAGGCACTCTTCGTGCATCGATCCTCGGCACACTAGTGAAAGGGCCCGCGCCCGCCGCGCTCGACTGAATCTTGGGCGTGGGGCGCCGATCCTGCCGGAGTCCGGAGTAAATCTCGGATGGGCACCGCGGGTGACGCTATTCCCATACACCAACTCCGCAGTTCAAGGCCGGTTTGGCACAGAAGAGCCCCGCAATCGGCCCCAGGAACTGGGTATATGGGAAACCGATGCGGATCATGGCAACAAGAACCCAGGACCCGGATGGCGGCTCAGGATCATCCTCGGGGCCGACGATGCCGAGCCCGGTGATCGGTAGCTTAGGGCGTCGATAATGCGGCCGATCATCTGAAAACACGGTCGATCATGACACCAGTAAGATGGATAGGTCCCGTATGGTGATCGTGATGGGTTGTGCTCTCTGGTGTCCCAGGTCGAATGGCCATTGGTGGGCCTGGGAATCAGGGCGTGGATGCGTCCATGTCCCCCTGGTGCCCCCGGCTATGCTGTCCCGTTCATCTGTGCGGTTGGTGCTCGATTATGCCGCCGCATTGAGTGACGAGCGGATTTATGCAAGTCGGAACATTCCCGAGCATCTGCAGTCATGAGCAAGCTAGATCCAGCGTCCAACCAGGATCACATCTGGCATCGCAGCATGGATCGCTTCCATAAAAAATCACGTCCGCGCAACCACCAGGAGTGTCGATGGGCTATTCCTCCCCAATCTCCGCCAGCTGCTTGATTCGGTCCACCAAATCCTGCATCTTGTAGGGTTTATAGATGATATCATTCATCCCCGCCGCCAGCATCTCGTCCTTTTGGGCCGCCCGGACATTGGCCGTCACGCCGAGAATCGGGACCTGCGCCATCGGGGAATCCAAGGCGCGAATGGCCCGCGTCGCCGTGGTGCCATCCATCACCGGCATGACTTGGTCCATCAGGATACAGTGAAAGGTCTCGTTCCGGGCGGCCTCCACCGCCTCCTGGCCATTCTCGGCCTCCCACACATGAAAGCCGGACGATTGTAGCTTCCGGGAGAGGATCCGCTGGTTGATAACGTTGTCTTCGACCAAGAGGATGCGTTGTTGGCCGGCGGGCGGGGGGGTGGCCTCCCGGGTCGCGTCCTTCTCGCCCGGCCGCCCTGGTGTGTATGCCGGATGGTCCACCGATCGGGGTTGATCCTCGGGATTGGCCAGCTCGGGCGATGACACCTCGGCCGCGAGCTTGGCCGTGTGGTGCATGCGCTCGTCCCTGTCGGCATGCGGCGAGATCTCTTCGACGTGCGTGACCGGGGGCGTCAAGGGGATCCGGGGCCGGGGGTTGCGCGCGGCCACGCCGCTCATCTCGTTGCCCATGGCTTGAATCTGGCTACAGAGGCGGTCAATCTCGGTGGTCCCGTTGATCTTGGCGGCATCCTCGACCTGGCCCGGCGGACTGCGACGGACGGTGAAGAAGAAGCCAAAGGTACTGCCCTCGCCTTCGCGGGAGCTGACCCCGATCTCGCCCCCGTGCAGATGGCACAGCCGCCGGCTCACATTCAGCCCCAGCCCGGAGCCCCCGTAGATTGACTGGGTGCGCGGCGTGGCCTGGTTGAACCGCTCAAATAGCCGCTTCTGGGCCTCATCGCTGATGCCAATGCCTGTGTCCCTGACGGCCACCATCAGGTACGCGACCGGGCCGTCGCCCCACTCCGGTTGCGCGGTGGCATCCAGGTTCAAGGCCTGGGGGCCCGAGTCAAAGAAGACGACGTTGGGGGGATACGAGGGCGGGCGTTGGGTGGCAGCCCCGATGGAGACGCGGATGTGTTTGTGGTCGCCAGCGCGGGCTGTGAACTTGATGGCATTGGAAAGTAGGTTGATGAGAACCTGGCTCATGCGGTCCATATCCGCCATGACCCAATCGATGCCACAATCGGTGTAGGACTCGTCGAGCTGGTATTGGAATTCGATGGCATGCTTGCGCAGCTCCGGGCGAAACATGGCCAGCGCGGTGGCCACATTCTTCTGCGGCTGGACGCGGCGCGGGGACAGGGTCAGCATCGACGCGTCCAGCTTGGAGTAGGTCAGCACGTCGTCGATGATCTTCTTCTGATGCGCCACGCAGAGACTGATCGTGTCGGCCGCCTCGGCGATCTGCGCCCGCATGGCCGCCCACCGGTCCGGCTGATGGACGGCCTCGAGGATATCCTCGGTGCAGTGGAGGATGGCGGACAGCGGGTTGCGGACTTCGTGGCTGATCATGTCGATGAAGCGCTCCTGCTGTTGTTTGCGGTCCTCGGCCTCGTGGGCGATGCGTCGCTGGGTTAACTCGGCCGTCTTTTCCGGCGTGATATCGGTGATGGTGCAGATGAAGCCGCCATCGGGGCTCAGTCCGAACCGCCGGCGATCGTCCTCATCCTCGACGGGCGTCAACAGACACACGCGCCACAGACACGGCTGCAGCCGGGTGCGGTATTCAATGCGCAAGGGCTGCTGGGTGCAGGAGGCCTTGCGATAGGCGGTCGTGACGCGCTCTACGTCCTCGCGGTGAATGGTCTGGCGCCAGCCCTCGAACGCCTCTTCGGCCGGGCAGGTGGTCAATTCCAGGAACCGCTTGTTCACAAACACCGTCTGGTCCCGGTGGTTCAGCACCGCCAATCCAGTGGGCATCATATCCGCCAGCTGCTGGGCGGACACCGTGGGGTGGCTGGTGAAGCCATTCGGCCTGACAGGAATCTGCATGGTGTCGTTCCGTGGCCGGGGTCGGGGAGGATGGGAGGGAGCAGTGAAGGTTTTGTCTGCTAAAGAGTGGCAGCAGCGGCAAAAGCTGCCAATGACCTTCGAGGCGCAAAATGCAACCGGATGACGCCAGAGGAACGGTGGTTCGGTGGCTTTTTGGCCCTCGATTGTGCCATCATCCATGACGTCACGACGCCGAGCCCTATTCTCCTTCTTCTTCTTGTCTTCTAGCCTGCCTCCGTGCCTTGGAACCTTCGCTTCTCTACTGCTCCATTGTCCCCTAGTGGCTACTGTCTATCGGTCTTACCGACACCGCGCCCCTCCCCCAGGTACGGCACTGCCGCCCTCGTTCTGGACCCGGTGGCCACCCATTCTCCCCGCAGATCTCCATCTCATCAATCTCGTCTGGCACGATCCAACCAGGAGCCTCGTGGCCGGTCATCTCGGAGAGTTCCCCCCGACACATTACTCGCGCATACGCCATCAGATCCAGACGGCCGCGCCCAGTATGTACACCGCCAGATGCCATCCGATGCAAGATGGCCCGGGATGGGGACACTCGTCAACGTTATTGGATAGACCGGGAGTGGGGGATCTGCGGCGGCCAGAAGGACCATTCAGTCGTAGAGACTGCTGGCCGGGGTATTATGGTGGGATATGCTGTCTACCTGGGATTGATTTTACAGGGGGTATCGTGCCCCTCGCCACCCGGACCAGGGCCTCGCCAAGTGATATGCCCGGGTCTAGTCCTCGCTTACTGGCGCTGAACAGCCAGCTGGGGGATGCGGAGCGGGCTATTGACTCCTCCCAGTTGTCATATCCAGCGTTGCAACCACCGACTACGGAGGAATCAACTCCGAATGGTATGATGCCTTTTTCAATGGAACTCCTCATTGCAGGCTATGGTCACGGATAGCCATGCCATACTGATACCAGCATCCCTTCGCATGGTGTCTATCCCTACGGCACACATCACCGTGAGAGAGATTTCATTCCCACAGCCCACCCAGCCTGGTTGTAGTGACCGTCATCCAATATCGGGCCAGCTATGCCCGTTGAACACCGCCTAACAGGCTGCTTCCAACCCAGCTGCCATGTCTTAGCATGCAAATGAAGTCAATTTTTGAATGACGCTAGCGGAATGATGTACACAGAGCCATATTCCTCACCCCCCAGCCACCGGCTAGAGGTATCGAATCTGGCGGAAGGAGCGGAGCATCATATAGACCCCATGCAGGGTCGCGAACATGCCGGCGCCCGCCACGCCCCAGGCGGCGCCCTGCACGCGGAGGGAACTGAGGGGGATGTGGCCCGGCTCGGAACTGTCCTTGCGGTAGGTATCCGACCGGGCAATATAGCGGCGCCGTTGCGAGGAATCTGAGGATTCAGCGTGGAGGGTTCGGACAGACAGAGCAGGGAAGCGTACCCGCCGACTGCAGCCGTTGGCCGACGTTGCCAAGGGCTGGTCTGGAGCGGCCCAGAAGCATTTGATACATGGTGATATACAGAGTAGAGTAGACTTGAAGTCGGGATGCAATGGAGTGAAGTCACTAGGTCGGTGGGTAGAGCAGGGGGCCCCAGGCCATTAAGAAGGTCAAGCCGGGGGCGACATCCCGTCAGGCGACCGCGGGGGTGGCGAGACGGCTGGGATGATTCCATTCCCCGTCATGGATCCGGCTGGGGGTTCCATGGAAGGATCCCGATGTTGATGAACTCCAGACCAGTCAGCATATGAGGGAGACAAGCGACGCCAGGGCAGAGTCAAGCCACTCACTGGGTATCACAATAATCAGCTGGATGCTTGGATTTGTTTCGAGTTGCTGCTGTTTCTTCCTTTGTCTCTTTTGGCAAGGAAGATATCACAATGAATGTCTTCTTTCCTTCTGTTCCAGATGAGGGCATCCCGGATCAGGTGACGTCATGAACCCCAACCCAGTCGATTCGATCCCTCGACGAGCTTCAGTTTCATCCCTCCCGGTGGGTTGTGCATTACCCTGCTCCCTCGAGGAGAACCGCCCGGCTGATTCCTCCTTGTGCAGGATTCCAGCAAAGTCATTCCATCGCACTGGGCCAGTTCCCGTCCATTGCCAAGGGGAAGTGAGACGACGAGATGGTGGCAATCCGATGGTCCCTGACCCACGGCGACAATGTGCTCACTGCCAGAGTTCTGTCCCTCCTGAGCATGTCGCTGCATTATGCTTTCCACCCTCATCCAGACCTGGCCATCAACCATCCGACGTGGAGGTGCGTGGAATCACAGTCCGACCACTTCATCCCGCAGACAGGATGGACATCATCCGGGACAGCATTCCGCTTGGCCAGAAAGGGCAGACCTATTCGATGTATCGTCCAGGCCATCGGGTCTGTCACTGCCGATCGCTGGAGGCCTCCGATCCAGGACCAGCTCGTCCTGCACGGCGTGGACATGCTCCTGCCGGAGCTTATCAGGGTCTACTGGAGTGAAACGGGCAAAGGCGACGATTGCCGTTCTGTATGCCACAGGCTACCAGAAGCACTCCAGCGGTTTTACTCGATGCTGTATTCAATGCCCAGGGCCAGATGGAATCGGTCGGGTAATGGGGCATTCACCCTTTCTCTACCATCCAGCAAAACCACTGCCTTGACCCCTTTGACTCCAAATCGCATACTCTTGCTAGGGATATGCTCACCCTGAGGCTGCAACCAAGCTGGTATCCATCCCGGAGGTTGAAGCCGATCTGAGACATCCGTTCTGGCACGCTCAAATCTGCAGACCAACAACTCTGCCCTACGCGGAGACTGATTCCGCGCCAGCTGCAACCGCCGCTGCAGTTCACCTACCAGCTGGCCCATGACGCAAAACTCTCCGGAGGTTCCATGCCAGCCATCATGGCAGTCTCATGGTGGCCCAGGTTTCTGTCGGGTCCCAGTTGAACAAACTGCAGTCCTGATGGTTCGGAACCGTCACGATGACCAACCATCTGCTGTTTTTGTCAATCAATCAGCCATCTGGGAATGGTCTACCACGGACAGCATCATCCGACATCGAAGAATGCTCGACGATCGCAACCGTGTCGCCCATTTAACCCAGCTCCCTAGGTTGTGGGCCTCCCCGCCGATCGGCCACCCTGCATGCCCCGGGATGCAGCGGTCAACGCCTGATGTGCGCGTGGGCACTCATACCTGCAGCCGGGCCGTGTCACTTGTCGGTGTGATCAGGACAACAAAGACGCGGTGCATCAGTGCAGACTTCCGACAGCTACCACCATCCAATACCTTGTCACATATTCGACGCGGTTGGACTTCAACATGATATTAATAGTCATAGGAAGACATTTAGCCATCCATTCAGAATCGGAGGAATAAGAATCAAACTTCGAATGAAACGAAACTATCACGAACGCTGTTGATGTCGTCCTCAATGGATAGCGATCAGTAACGAGATACTCCTAAGCTGGCTACGTTGTCGGGTGAAGCAGCGCCTCTGGCAGTTTCTACTGCGTGTCGGGTATATCAGGGTCCTCTATATAGTTCAGTAATCCTACCATTCGAGGTGTAACGTAGTCACCGATAAGGAACCGAGACAACCATCGGAATGGCTGAACAGAACCCAAGAGCCGATAGTATGGAAGGCAAGGATGGCCGCTCCACCTGGCTCGAACTGCGCGACCACCCCCGGATTGTCCTCCTCTGCCTCTATGCCAACATCGGCGCCTTGATGTACGGCTTTGACAGCCTGATCCTGTCTCTGTCCCTGTCCATGACTGCCTTCCTGTGAGTGTGGGGGATCGAATCCGCGTGCTGTCGACGTCTAACCATCCATCCAGCGAGACATTCGGCAGCCTCGTCGACGGGGCCTATGTGATCCCCGCATACTGGCAGTCGCTGTGGAATGCCATCTCCCAAATCGCCTCGATGCTCGGAGCCACCGCTGCCGGACCCATCCAAGATCGCTGTGGCCGTCGGTCCGCCTTCCTGGGGGCCGCGTGTCTGTCGGCCGCCGGCATCGCCATTGTCTTCACGGCATCCACGCCGGGGGAATTCCTGGCGGGCAAGATCGTCAATGGGTTCGCGATGGGGCTGATCTCGACAGCGGGGCCGACCTATGTCTCGGAAGTTGCGCCCCTGCAAATCCGCGGCATCGCCCTCTCGGGGAGTACTTTTTTCTTCGTACGGCCCGACATCGTTGACTAGCCAAGGGAAACCCTAACCATGACTTCCTAGAACCTCGGCTGTCTGATTGCCGCCTCCGTGGCCCTGCCTCGCATGTCCATGTCGAGTGATTCTTCCTACAAGGTACCTCCCTCATCCTCCACCACGCACTCCTCTAAGCATCACAGGTCCTCTTCGCCTCGGGCTGGGTCTGGCCCGGGATTATCCTTCTTCTTCTCCCCCTCGTCCCCGAATCCCCCTACTACCTCGTGATGAAAGACCGCCACGACCACGCCCGCCACATGCTCACCCGCCTGGGCCACACCCCCAACCAAACCCCCACGCTCCTCAACGCCATCATCCGGACGCACGAAGAAGAACGCCGCCGCCGCGCCCAAGCCCGCGGCACCAGTTTCCGGGAATGTTTCCGGGGCGTCGACTGGCGCCGCACGCGGATCATCCTGTACTGCAACGCGATGGCCCAAGTCATCGGGTCGAGTTTCATCGCCAACGCGCCGTACTTCCTCTTACAGGCCGGCATGTCGTCGTCCCGAACGGGGATGATGACGGAGATTGGCATCGCGTTTGGGATTGCCAGCGCCCTGATCACCGCGTATGCGATGACGGTGTGTGGGCGGCGGTCGTTGGTGATGTTTGGGTTGGGATTGTCCACGGTGCTGTATACGGTGATGGGCGTGGCGGGGTGTTTTCCGGGGTGGCCCCCGGCGTTGTGGTCAGTTCTCCCCCCATTTATGATATACAGAACATGGTCTGATCTGGGTATAGGGTGGTTGGCATCTTCCTCGAACTCACCTGGTGGGTCTACGGCCCGGCCGTGGGCCCCGCCATGGCCATCGCGGGCGAAGTCTCCTCCGTACGACTACGGGCCAAATCACTCGCCCTCGGAGTGACCTTCAACAATCTATTCGCGACAGTGTGGAACGTGATCATGCCGTATCTGTATAACAGCGACGAGGCGGATCTGGGGGGCTTGATTGGGTGGATTTTCGCGGGGTTGGGGGCCCTCATGCTCGTGGTTGTGGTTTTTGAGTTGCCGGAGACGAAGGGTCGGACGTTTGAGGAGTTGGATGAGATGTTTGCGGCGAGGGTGCCGACGAGGAAGTTTAGGGGGTATACTTGTGCCACGGAGGTGGGGGTGCGGAGGGATGTTCCGAAGGGGGGGGAGGAGCGGGGGGTGTAGGGTCGACCGTATTATCTGGGTATTGGCTGGATGGATTGAGGCCTCCTGGTTTGGATTTTGGGGGTGTCTACTTGTTATTTGAAGGATTGGTAGGAGTGGCCTGCTTCATGGAGGATGGGGCTGGCTCGGCAGGTGATATGGCTGTGCCCTAGCTGAGCTGGCTGTTCTGGTATACCATCGAAATAACACGCGACTGGGACCATTGCTGTCCGATAAACCTTGCATAGCATTGGATTACATATGGACCAAGCATTATCTTGACCAGACAACCTTGGGGTGCTGTGGCTTGTTACACTCCAAGGGCAGTACGCAGTAGTACACAGCACCCTGACGGCTGGCTAAGGACAGCCGAGAATCTATTCAGACGTCTACTACATGGTCCAGCACCACACAACATCCCCCTGCTTGCCTACATTCTCAGGAGGTGCATTGAGCCAGTCATGATCGTAGGGGCATTGAACGAGGAGGCACAAACCATGTTATCCACCGAGGCATGCTTACCAGGTAAAACTCTCCTCGATATAGTCCAGCTCCTTCCCCCCCTGCCGCTGGCGACACGCCCGCCGGACATCATCGCTCAATCCCCCATGGCCACACACCAGCACCCCCATGGCCCCGACCTGATGCTCCACCTCCATCTGGATCAGCGTGTCCACATCCGGCCGTCCCGGGAACATCTGGACGGTCGCGCTCGGACTCTTGATCTCGCGAGGGTTCCGCGGACGCGTCACGAAGAGCTGAATCCGCAGGACATCGCGGCGGCCCTCCATGCTCAGCACCGTGGTCATCCACGGTCGAATCCAGTCCAGATGCTCGGGTGATTGAATAATCCACACGAGAGTCACCCGGCGGGCGGCCACCGTGCCGTCGCTGTGACCCTGCACCAGGTGGCGGATGAACGGCATACAATGGGTGATGCCGACGCCGCCCGCGAAGAGCAGCACCGTGCCGTAGGAATCCAGCGTGTGGAGATTGCCGTACGGGCCCTCGACGAGGGCATTGACTTTCAGAGCAGCCGAGGGGAATTCCGACATCGACGACCGCCGGGTACTGCCTGAGCCCCGGCCCAGATGGTCGAACGGGAGCTGGAGCCGACCATGGGCGTAGGCCTCCTTAAACAATTTATCGGTGAAGCCCGTCCGTCGCCGGATCAGCAGGGAGATGGAGGTGACTTTGCACCCCAGACCGGGGGAGTTCGTCTCCGCGCCTGCTTCCACCTCGGCCATCTTTTCGTTGTACGAACCCAGCAAGGTCTGGCCGGTTTCACCCCACGCAACCGAAAACGGATGCGACGTGATCCACCCGAACTTGGGAATGTAGAGATAGCAGTACTGGCCCGGCGAAAACGTCCAGGGACGCGCGAGTTGTAGGGTGACGCGGACTGCATCGCCGGGCAGAGCTTCGAGATACGCTGTGGTACGCCGGCCAAAGCCGTAGTTGCGGTACAGGAGGATCAGGAACCGCGCCAGCCACTGGGGAAGTCAGCCCTACATCTTTCGCGAATGCACAGCGGCAAAAGGTCTACCTGAAGAGCCCAGAAGGCGACTGCGGCATACAGATAGTAGCGACACGAGTAGCGGTAGACGTGGTGCCAGAGAAAGGCGACCGCCACGCCGGCCAAGACAATATGGAGATGCAGAAAGGTCTCGTAGAAGGCGTGTCGGATGGGGGACGGGGACTGTAAGAAGATGATCACCATGGCCACGAGGCACTGCGACATGTTAGTGGTTTGAACATGTCATATGGCGGTGGAACGTACCATGAGACCGTTAAACATAAAGGGCTTCTTCAGGGTCCCCAAGGCAGTTGACCATCCATCTACTGCTATTAGCCCAGACAGACAAAACTAGTTGAGTCGTGACTTACAGGTTTGCACCTTGGGCACGCCCCACGCAATGATATGAGCCAGGCCCTCGAGCACCACGATCCGGCCCAGCCATCGATGCAGCAGATTCCAGGTATCGAACGGAACATGCAGCAGCCGAATCAGGGGGTTATTGCGCCCGGCCATGACGAACAGCGGGAACAGATTGACGGTGGCCATGTATCCGGTGCGGTTCCGGATCAGCTCGGCGACCGTCGACTCTGTGGATCCATATGGCACGGTATTGGTGCACAGCACCACGTTCATGACGATGATGGTGGTCAATAGTAAGGTGTGGAAGCGGCTAGGGAGAGTGCCCATGTTGACGGCGCGCGACAGCTGCCATTCACGATTGTGTCGGTTGTGCAGCAGCGGCGCATAGAGGAGATGACGCTTCACCCATGCCAGGCGCTGGTTCGGGACGCGATGGTAGGATTGGCGCTTGTCCGTGAAGGTGGTCAGGCGTCGCAGGTGGGCGGCAAAGCGGAAAGAGGTCTGCCAGAGGAAGACGAGGGCGATGAGGCAGGCGAATACCCACAGATTGGCATAACAGAGGGTGTCATTGAGCATCTCATACCACAGATTGGACTCCATGGTGATGCCGCGCTGGTGCGAGAAGAAATGGAGCAAAGGAAAGTAAACACCACAATTCCAGCGGGTAGAACGAAAGAACGAGAAGTCAACGGTGGACCAGCCACACTGGAGGCAAAAGTGAGCAGACCCTAGCTAGCACAGCCGGGACAAGAATAGAATGGAGGAACGAGAGACAAGAAGAAGGGCTGAATGAAGGCAGAATGAAGAAAGAATGAGCGGAGGCCCGCCAGCATAGGCAGCGAGCAACGCTCCGAGTCAAATAAGTCGGACCAGGGCGAACCGGATCGGCGGAGATGAAAGGGGGGTCGGGGGACGACATCTTGGCGGCAGATAAAGCAGGGCTTGTGCCAATGATGCTGGACAGCAAGGGGTGGAGGGATCTCATCAACAGGCCCCGATCCCCTCAGCGACCCAATCAGCCGGGAAAGAACATTTCCTGGCGCCGGCGTCGACAGCCTCGGGTTTCATCAACAAATTGGACGGGGCCGCCGTGGGGCCCGGGTAGGGCTGGACCTATCACCAGGTCGTCGTCGAGCCCTCATTCCCAGTCTCTTGCGGCGAGACCTGTCATCTGCACGGAACAAGCTTGCGTCCCTAATATAAGCCCCTGGAAGGAACAGGGGTCCGAGTCAATACACTAAATCATCCCAGTCCGCGCAAAGTTAAATACAACGTTATTGTTGACCCGGATACCATGCCCGACCGTGCTACAAGTTGCCAGTTGCAACACCACCGAATTCCCCAACCCGTTCGCTCCTAAATCCCATTCCCGTCCCCAGTAACGGCTGGGACCACGGGGTCCGTGGACCAGCCAAGGCGTCAAGTGAATCAGATAGATTCGCGGCTGAAACCGCCAGGAATGCTTGTCTGCCACCGAGGCCGCCAGTGGAGCGCCAAGGCGGCCTCTCCCACTGGCCCTGGCAGCTTCGACAGCCGCCCCGAAGAAACAATGGCTTGTTCGCCCACGCCTATCAAAGGTATATATAGCCAGTCAATGTGCAGAGGAGTTTATCCGGTGGGTTAACTAACTACTGACCAAAAATCACGTAAGTATGGTCCTGCCCCCCCCCAAAAAACCGCTCAGGCCCCCCGAGAACACATTCCCTCGCGTCGGAGAATCGGCCGAACTGGCTGCAACAGGCTTCAGGCTTATTCTTAGAAATGGGTAACTGCTTGTTGGTTCCACGTTTATCCCCGGATCCAAGGGAAACACAATGCACGTTGGTTACGTCAGGATCTGTAACCTGCTGCGTGTGTCATGAGTCAGGGGCTTGAACCAGGGGGTGGTGAGGATGGTGAGCAGACGGCTATTCCATCGCATTCGAAACGAATGTACGACAGGCTGACTGCTGCAGGGGGTGTTTGGAGCCATGCGTGATTGCGTTGGTTGGGATCTCATCTCGGTTTGCTCGGGTTCGCGATGGTCGCCGTATTGGCCAGTTGTTGCAATAATGCTCCAGGCGGTCCCCCACACGGGTTACTCCGTTACTCCATAGCTCTGCCATAGGCATCCATGAGTCCGCTACTCCATAGCCACTTGCAGATTGCCGGATCTGGCATTTTAACTGGGAACTAGCCGTTATGGTTGCCCAAATAGCCGCCAGCGTGCAGTTGACTCAACAGCCACGGCGGAATCTGATACATGGACGCAGAGGACGGGAACCAGCACGCCGAGCTGAGTCGCTCAAACGCACTTCCTTTTGCTCTTATGTTCGAACCGCCCCCGCATAAGTCCATCTAGGTCAATTGACTGGAGTTGATGATCGATCACATGTCATTCCAGCGCGTGCAATAGCCACCGAATTGGCTCTTAGATGATGCTGTCACGATAACGAGGATCCGCATCACGCTTGGTAGAGCTATATATATATACGCGACATGCATGCCAGTGGTATATGATGTCTTTTAGCCTCATGTAACCATAATCCAATGCCTTCAGTTAAGAGGATTACTATGATGACCAAGGATTCCCAGGTAGCACGCCGTGATTCATGCTGGCCGCCCTCCTGGATGGCGCTCTGAGTCATGTTGGTCCTGCCTATTCCAGCCTGCCAAGAGAGCAAGAGTGGATCCATCTCGGGAGACCAGCCAATCCAGTCTCTCACCGACGCGCGCAGATCGGAGGTTCCATCCAATCAGGCTGTGGGTGCACACCACCCGAGTGGGAAAGCAGTCCCCCTTTATAATCGGCGTCGGGCTCATTCCATCTTTACAAGTTCCATTCGCCATGGCAGTCACCCGGGAGCGCGGACCGTTGGTTTCCCTGACTCCGGCTCAATGGCCGTCGCACGACACCGTCCTTTCCGGACAGTACATCCGGCTGGAGCGGCTGCAACCGAAACATGCGGGCGACCTCTTCGACCTGATCGGCGGGGATGATCCGACCAGAACCTGGCTGTGGGATTTCATGCCTGACGGACCCTACCCCCAACGCCACACCTTCGAGGAAGCCATCGCCGCCCGGGCCAGATCCCCGGATCCGTTCTTCTTCGCCATCATCGACCAGCGGGCCACCACGCCCACCGGTGGGAAAGCCATCGGGTATCTGTCCCTCATGCGGATCACCCCCGCGCATTGGGCCGTGGAAATCGGCCATGTCATGTTTTCCCCGGCGCTGCAACGCACCCCCGCGTCGACCGAGGCGATCTACCTCCTGGCCCGTCACGCCGTGGAAGATCTACATTATCGCCGCGTGGAGTGGAAGTGTGATGCGCTCAATGGGCCCTCGCGGATGGCCGCCCTCCGACTGGGGTTCACCTTCGAGGGGACGTTCCGGCAACACATGGTGGTCAAGGGGCGGAGTCGGGATACCAGCTGGTTCGCGATTCTGCAGAGTGAGTGGCACGACGGGGTGAAAGACGCGTTGGAGCAATGGCTAGAGGCGGGGAATTTTGGCGCAGATGGCTGCCAGAAGAGGAAACTGCAGGATTTCAGACAGTCAAAGTAGAAATTTGAATATCATCAACACTAAATCTGACGATGAAGCTATCCAATGCATCCCGATCGGACTTTCCCGGCACGGGTCAGGTGACCGGGCAATCGCGGCCTGAAAGCGGGGGCCGCAGTGGATCGGATTCGGCCTGACAGTCGGGGACTCAGTCGGGGACCGACGGCGGAGGAACAGAGATGAACAATCCGAATTATCCAATTATCAGCACGAGATAACCGGTAAGAGATTCTGCCGTGATTGGGCCGGGGACAGCCCGGGGTTCCCCGCAGGCCGATAACCTGCCATGCCCAGCCACGCCGGCCGATCAGATAAATGACGCGCTGCCTGCCACCCCAGAACCAAGCTTCTGCCAGCTTCTTGTCTGCTCATCCGGTCACCATGCGCTTGGTCTGGATTGCTGCTGTTCTGGGCGCCTTGCCGGCCACCCAGGCCCAGTTCGTGTCGCCTCCCACGGACCTGATTCCCACCAAAGGCTACCTCGACATCCCCGTGCGCTACAAGGAGGTGCCCACTGGCATCTGTGAGACGGATCCTAGGGTGAAGAGCTTCTCGGGCTACGTGGAGGTCGCCGAGAATGAGCACATCTTCTTCTGGTTCTTTGAGGCTCGCAACCAAGAACCCACCGAGGCCCCGTTGACCGTCTGGATCAATGGAGGCAAGTCATGCCTAGTCTTCTAAATTCCGTACCCCAACTGACCATCCCAGGTCCCGGCTCATCCTCCATGATTGGCCTCTTCCAAGAGCATGGCCCCTGCGGTGTGGACTCCAATGGCACCGTCTACAACAACCCCTACTCCTGGAACAATGCCAGCAATATGCTCTACATCGACCAGCCCGTCCAGACTGGCTTCTCCTACAGTATCCCCGTGCCGGGCTATGTGGATCCCGATACGGACAATGTGATTGCCCTACCCTCCCCCGTCTGCCCCGACTATGCCTCCGACTTCTCCTGTGGCACGTACGCGTATCCCAACGTGAGCCTGACGGCCAACACGACCGACAACGCCGCCCCCAACTTCTACCGCGCCTTGCAGGGCTTCATGGGCGCTTTTCCCCAGTACTCGCGGGAGACCTTCCACTTTACCACCGAGAGCTACGGGGGCCACTATGGACCCGTCTTCAACGAGTACATCGAGGAGCAGAACGCCCATCTCCAGCCCGGCGCCAAGAAGATCCAGCTGGGCAGCGTGATGATCGGCAATGGCTGGTATGATCCTATCATTCAGTATCAGGCCTACTACAACTTTACCGTAACTAGCCCCCATCCATGCATCCATTCCATCCCACTAATCGGATCTCAGGTCTACCCCGGAAACACCTACGACTACCTCCCCTACAACAAATCCATCAGCTCCCTCCTCTACAACAACCTCTACGGCCCCGGCAACTGCCTGGACCAACTCTACGACTGCGCCGCCCGCGGCATCGACGACGTCTGCAGCACCGCCGACAGCTTCTGCGCCGACGAAGTGGAGAGCATCTACGACAACTACCTGGGTCGGGATGAATACGACTTCCGCGAGCTGACGCCCGATCCCTTCCCCTACGAATTCTACGTCGATTACCTGAACACGCCGTCCGTCCAGGCCGCCATCGGCGCCTACATCAACTACACGGAGAGCAACAACGCCGTGGGGCTGGCGTTCTCCTCCACCGGCGACGACGGCCGTCTCATGCACACCACCGACGACGTCGCCAAGCTCCTCCAGCAGAACGTCACGGTGGTCATGTACGCCGGCGACGCCGACTACAACTGCAACTGGCTGGGCGGGGAGGCCGTCTCGCTCAAAGTGAACGCCTCGCAGTTCCACACCGCGGGGTACACCAACATCACCACCTCCGACGGGGTCACGCACGGCCAGGTGCGCCAAGCGGGGAACTTTGCCTTTGTGCGCGTGTACGAGAGTGGCCACGAGGTGCCGTTCTATCAGCCCTTGCTGGCCCTGGAGATGTTCGAGCGGGTCATCACCGGCAAGGATGTGGCCACGGGCAAGATTCCGGTGTCGCCGGGGTTGAAGACCGTGGGGCCGTTGAAGAGTACCTACCGTCAGGGGAATGGGACGATCCAGTGGGAGGTGTTGGATCCGTTGGCAACGTATAATACTACGACGAATGCGCCGAACCCGGTTACTAAGAGACACAAGCGGATGGGTCCGGCGTTGCGGTTTCAGATGTAGTGACTGTATAGTACGTAGGTGCAAATGGGCTAGAGATGCTGAGTTAATGAAAATGATGATACGCATGAGCCAGTTTGTCAGAAGATTGATAAATGCGATTATTTCCAAGCCCATGTGAATATATTTCTTATGCCAGGAACGTCACGCCATATGGGTATGAAAAAAGCCAAGGAGTACTATAAACGTACATCAGGATTGCTAAATAAGTGGGATTCATATCGAAGAGCACATGGGGATCCATCAATTGATATGATGGTGCTGGAAGCTGTGGAAAAGGATGCCCCAATTCGCAACCGGTAAGAATCGCATGCCAGCTGAACATGAAGAAATGCACAGCCAGGCCAGCGACATGTTGCAGACGCTGATCGAATCACCATATCACATGCTCCCAGCCATTGGAGGTCGATGGTAGTCCGCTATACCGATCCTGATCACAAGGAGTTTGAATCGATCGCAGCCGTTCAAGCAAAGGGCGATTGGCATCGGCTAGAAATCCGGATTGATGAAGATCCTCCAACAAAGAGCGCAAAGACTCCACGAATTGCAGCGAAAGCGACTGCATATCAGGCGGGTCCAGATCCACCTCCACCAATTCCATGGCATCCAACACGGACCGCATCGCCGATGACATGGTCGAGAGCTGCTCGCAGAGAACCACAGATTGGTCCTTCAGGCGAGTCGATTCCCTCTCGACTTCCGAACAGGTCTTCCCTGCCTGTGAAAGATTACCCAAGGCCTCGTGGAGACGGTCAATTCTAATCTCCACGTCCTTCTTTTCAGCCTCCATGGTGCGAATTCTAGATCGATACTGGGACTCCTGTTGTTTGAGTGCGGTGGCCCGCTCGTGATGACGTCTGCCATAGGAAAGCTCAGTATCAACGCCTGAATAAACGACAGGATCACTCACATGGTTCCAATGACGGACACTGGCACAGTCACCAACTGTACCACCGGAATCCACCACGTGCTAGCCAACGTCTAGAGCGAATGAGTATCAGAGCTCGCACTGAAAGGGGGCTCTCACGTCTGCATGCTCGTCCGACCTTCTGTCATGGTATCTGGCGGAATTGCCCACGGCAGTGGCTGCTGAATTCACCGAGTCCAACTGACTTTTAGAACGAGCCATCATGGCATCGAGATGACGGAGCTGCCCCTCGGATTGTTCCCGGATGCAGTTCAACGTGCGCGTGGTCGACTCACACATGGTGAGTTGCTCGGTGGCTTTATGGGCCAGGTGTGCGGCATGAGCCGTCATGTCTTTGGCCTGGACGACGAGGTGGGAGACCGTCCTGTTGACTTGTTGGATGGTGTGGAAGGCTGCGCCAAAAGCTTTGAGATCGAGAATCTTCACTATGCCCGGGCCCTTCTGGTGCTGCAGTATATTGTCGCAGTTGGTAATTCTCTCCGCCTGTAGGTGTACAGAAGGGCTTGGTCGCAAGGCGTTCCTAACCAGGCCAGTGAGCCTGGCCACTGGATCTGGATCCCCTTCTAGGGCATGGCCGAGGGCGTGGACTGAGTAGATAGCGGAGTTCAAGGTATTCAGCTCTCGCGGAAATTGCCCGTCGAGAGTGTCCTTGCGCTGCTCCAACTGACTAACTTCAGCCGTGAGCTCGGCATTGGCAGCAGATAGTGCAAGGGCTTGATTCACAAGGTCTGCTGGGGACGCCATTGTTAGTAGGAAAAGTGACTAACACTAAAGATCCGAGCTGGGCTATGCTCTAGAGATATCCCTTGGGCTCGGAATCTCTTACACTCGCCCTTCTTTCGCCGCCTGGTTGTTCATTAGAACGATGTGTTGCCTCCCAACGTGCCTAATGTGATTTTCAGACTCGCACGCCACGTCACAACGCCAGTCTCATGTAGATCGACAAGGCTGAAGCTGGTGGAAGTGGGGATCGTCGGGCAGGCCTCTGCCCATCCGCCTCGCCATGGCTTGGGTATTACTTCCAAACGAAACTCAAAAAACTACACTCCGCGGGGGACTAGCTGGCAGCCATCGGCTGTACCTGGCTGATATAAAAGCCCAAGAACTCTGGTCTGGGGTCGTTGGTGTATCCTCCGCTTCGAAGACTTCTCATCAGCCGTTGAGCGTCTGCTTGTATCAGACTTTGTTAGAACATTCTTCTACCTTGATCCCAGTAGCTACAATATCCCTTCAATCTACGCGGCTGCGGCTTTGGCATAGCTCTAGTTTTCGTGCACTCAGACATCCGTTGAGACAACCAGCATGGAAAGCCGGGTTTGCAGTCAACTGGCGGTTCTGGCGCCAGGGGAGGATCTACCGGTTCTTCCCAACTACGAGGGGATCCCCAAACTGGTGGCATCAGCCCCCCTGGCCGTCTACTGTTTGGGGCAGCTAAAGTTGGTCGCCTTTTCCGACCCCGGGCTTCGCATTTCGCTCTCCGAACCCAAGCATGGCTTCCAGTATCTTCGGTGAGTTCCGCCAGCAGCGTGCCAGAACCGGCTGACCCCAGGGTTAGCTACCCCAGTCTCTCCAGCGCCATTATCCAGATCGTGGACGAAGCCGCGGATGCCTTTCGCCGCGCCAACCGCAACATGACCTCTATCAAAATGCAGGACAATAAGATGTTTGGAGGATACGGATGCGTGAGTGCACCCCCCGCCCCCTGAGCTACTCAGACTGAACAGGGTTTAGGTACGGGATATCGTGCTTTGTCTCCAAAGCCGGGAACCGTCCTTGAAGAAGTTGCAGGCGGCCCTCACGAGCTTCACGAAATGCATGGAAAGGTGCAGCGCCCTGGCGGACGACATCGAAAAAGCCTTCGAGAACTTGGAGGGCTGTATCAAGGAGTTGAAGTTGGCCATGGGGGATGGACAACGTAGGATACCCCTCATCGAGAGCATACGTCGGGACTGACGGACGCCATCTTCCAGATCACTCCGAGCGTGACAGGAGCTACGCCGAAGCGGGGGTCAAGCGGGCACAAGAGGATCAGGAGTACCACCAACAGAGGTACCGAGACCTGGAACAGCAGATGCGAAGCAGAGAACGGGAGCACCAGGAGGCAAAGGCTCTCTTTACTCGGACAGTGAAGCGCTCGGGTAGGATGCGGCCACTATTTTTCTCTGCTCGAGTTGGGCTGACTGCGACCTAGAATGGTCGGCCGTACCCATCGGCATTGCGGCGACTGCAGATGATGCCCTGCAAGCGATTATCACGACCGCCCAGGCGGCTGCAAAGGGCGCCATTAGCTTTGTGACCCGGACCGGTGAAAAGACTCGCGAAACGGTGACGTTTCAGGCGCCTCGTCCGCAGGATTGGACGGGGAGAGACACGACTTGCCACGGGGCCGGCCATGATGCTCAAAGCAGGGCGGCCACACCGGATCGTCCGGAGACGCCCAACAGTAGATGGAAGGACACAAGCCATCCTATGGGGCCGACCAGCGAGGTCCATCCGGTTGGAGATCTGGAAAGATCGAAACCAACAGGGGTGAAGGGGGTCTCCGGAACGCACGGGTCCGCGACCCGGGCTGGGAAAAGATCGCAGCGCCGGTCAGGGATCTCAGGAGTCCTCCAGGCGCGCCATGAGAAGCTCGAAATCACCCGGGCCAACATGCAGGAGACGCTCCGGAATGTCAACCAGACCGCCGATCAGCAGCATCAGCAGCAGCTTCAAATCCTGGAGCTCCGCCGGAAGATCCAAGAGCTGGATCGGCAGCAAGCCACTTTGAAGCAGACCAAGCAGGTACTCGGCCTCTCGATTGAGGTCATTGGGGACATGCACACCCGCATCGCATGCATGGCCAAGTTCTTCCAAACGGTGGCCCTGTTTATTGAGGAGCAGCTGATACCGAGGGCCGATTATCTCCAGGACCATGTCGGTGAGGAGGCTGCGCAGAGCTTCCCCGCCGTGCTGAGGGATCGGAAATTCCGGGAGGACCTCATGGTGTTGGATCAATGCTCCAACAAGGTGGTATCGTCGACGATCCTGTACCAGGAGATCTCCACGCGACACCTGTATCCGGCCCTGGACCTCGTCGCCCGGCTGCCCATCAGCGCCTCGGAGGAACGCCAGCGCGAGGCCGAAACAGAACTGAAGGACTCGACGGAGAATAGCGTCCGAGCCATCTTGGAGCTGGCGGAAGGGCTTTACGAGAAACACAAGCAGCGTGCCGCGCAACGACTGAGCGGGCTCAAGAAGGAGCTGGCACTCGCGGAGAAGGCCATTGAGAATGTGGATATTGAGTCCATCCATGAGTATGACCCCAATAGCCAGTCTCCGTAGACAACGAGTCCCGGAAGGTGCAGGGGCTCTTGGATTGTGATACGGCCAGTGTTCCGATTGTGGTCGTGTATCGGCATGGCTTGCTTTCTCCAGCAAGACTCTGCAGCATAGAAATAGAGAGATGCACACAAAATTGCTAGCAATGGACCGGTATGATTTGGCAGCTGCAGCTGCTCCACAGCCACCGCTATCTAGCTTAAGCGACCTGTCATCCCCATCTGGAGATCGGCCCATGGCCGATGAGGTGACAGCCCCACTTCCTGAGATCAGCCCAGCAGGGGGACTCCCTACTCCGTACACAACAATGTCCTGTCAAAGGGGGGCGTGTTGGCATTCGTTCATCCACGATCCCCGGGCTGATGGTGGGGTTGGGCCGGAGACAACCCTGACCATCCCATCCTACCCCCCGAAAGGTCCTCAGCATCGTATAGGGCAGCTTTGCCCACCTAATATTAAACCAGCAACGCACTTCACCGGGACGCAGGGAAGAGGAGGCCGTTGGGGATGGCGACGCCCTCAGCCAGCCACCACTGGGTCGGGATGGCTTTTCCGCGGCCTCTTACTCCACCAATCACACCGCCAACGACGGTCGCGTGAACCGGATGTCATGCAGCTAACGGAGGAGTGCGGGCGGATGGGGGTGTCCCACTGGCTGCGATGCTGCACACCAGGCATGTAGGGTTCCTTCACTGGACCGCAAGGCAACCACCTACCTGCCTGATTTGGGGCATGGGAAGTGACACGTGGACTGTCGCGTAGATAACGAGGTGTATGGCTGCCTGGTCGGTTTTACACAGAGACTAGAGGACTCAGGAGGTGGTGGAGGAAGACGATCGAGTTTCAGAGAGACGCAAGATGTTGTCAGGGGGGGGGATGGAGGGCAGCGGCCGAGGGGAGGGGTCGTATCAGCCGTTACCGGCACGCGTTGTGATGGAAATTTTGCAAACGGCATTACCGTAATACAGGGAAGGAACAAACAGCCCCCAGCCCCGATATGACAAGTCCAGGTGGGCAGGCATGACTCCAAGCCATCGTCGATCGTGCCAGTTGTAGCTGCCCTGAAGGTGATGTTAATCTTGGTCTTGACATGACGCGTGAGTGCAGCCCTAGAAACTGGGCACAATGCCAGCCCAGTGTCATTCACCGACACGTTCTCTGCGCCAGGGTGTGAATTGCTTGCAATGACATGGCGTAGATGGATGTTTACCGGTGATTCCTTCTTATTAAGGAGCAGACACGGTCCACAGCAAATGTTCCTCGTTCTAGGAGACACCCCAAGAATCGACCATGCCGCCGCCTCTACACCCTGACGACTACACCCTCGCCTGGCTATGCGCTCTTCCCCGGGAGCTGGCCGCTGCCAAAGCCGTGCTGGACGAGACCTATCCAGCCTTACCAGCAACGGCCCATGACACCAACACCTACACGCTGGGCCGCATTGGCCCACACCCCATTGTGCTGGTGTGTCTGCCCACCGGCATGACCGGCATTGTCTCTGCCGCCGTGACCGTCACCCAGATGCGTGTCGCCTTTCCCCGACTGACCCTTGGGGTGATGGTCGGGGTGGGCGGCGGCGCCCCCAGTTCCGGGCACGATATCCGGCTGGGAGACGTCGTCGTGGGGAGTGACGGATTTATCAAGTATGACCGGGGCAAAACTACCCAGGGAGGAGAGTTTCAATACGGCGCATCAGTGATGCTCCCCCCGCCCAAGCTACTCTCGGTGATCTCGCAACTGCAAGCGCAACCGGAACGACATCGAGAGGAATGGACCCAGTTGATCCGTCAAGTGGCCCGCCAGAACCCCCGGTTTCAGCCACCAAGGGAAGAGGATGATGTGCTCTTCCAGACCAGTTACGACCACCCCGCCGGCTGGGATACCTGCGAGCATTGCGATGCCGGTCGTCGCGTCTTGCGAGCTCCTCGTGGTGACAGCCAGCCCAGAGTGCACTATGGGCGCATCGGTTCAGCCGACCAGGTGATGCGACATGGGGACACCCGGGACCGAGTCGCGCGCCAATGTGGAGTGATCTGCTTCGAGATGGAGGCGGCTGGGGTATTGAATGAAAGACTACCCTGTCTCAGCATCCGGGGCATCTGTGACTATTCCGACAGCCACAAAAACAAGCAGTGGCAGGACTACGCCGCCATGACGGCCGCCGTCTATGCAAAGGAGGTACTGAACCTGCTGCCTCCGGCGTCACCGTCGGGTAAGTGTTGCGTCGCATCGTGTGAAGAGAGAACCCCATCTTGGACCGTTAATCTGATATTTCTTTATCTTAGAGGCTTGCTTCCTGGTCCCGTTCGAACCCGTGCGCCAGCTGGTCGGACGCCACGATGTTCTCGCTGATATACGTAGTCGAGTGGAGGAAAACCGGCCCGTCGTTCTCTATGGTCTTGGAGGAGTTGGGTAAGTGGTCTGATCATTCTTTGGTATAATCAGGAATCGCTGCTAATCCCGCGCGCAGGAAAACGCAGGTGGCGGTGCACTTTTGCCACGAGTATCGGCAACAGCACCCCAGTGCACATGTTCTCTGGGTGGATGCCAGCAGCCCAGCCCACTTTGACCACAGCTATCGCCAGATTGCGGCGGCTTTGCGAATCCCCGGTCATGAAGACCCCGGGTTTGATGCCCTAGTCGAGACGCATCGTCGACTAACAGCTGCGGAGTCCTTGCGATGGTTAATGGTGGTGGATAACTTGGATAACCGCGACGAAATGGCATCCCGAATGCCCTTCCTCCCACGGGTGGCACGATCCAAGGGATCCTTGGTGGTGACGACGCGTACGATGCAGGCCTGTCAGGACCTGCACGATTGGGATCCAGCACGCGATGACGCCACTCAGGTCCTACCTCTGCCGCCTCACGAGTCGATGAGCTTGCTAACAATGCATCTGAAACCAAACCAGAGAAGTAACGAGACGGATGTTATGACGCTTCTGGAAACACTGGAGTATCTTCCTCTCGCCATTACCCAGGCCATCGCGTGGATCAAGATGAACGGATCGACGGTGACGAAATATCTGGAGCGCCTGGGGTCCAGATCGACAGGAAGACCCGGGATCCTGGACGAAGAGTATAAAGATGTCTACCGCTATGATCACCTACCGCACTCGATCTATCGCACCTGGGAGCTTTCGCTGCGCCAGATCTGGACGCAGGAAGCCTCAGCTGCTCATTTATTGGCCACCATCGCAATGTTTGACGCACAGCACGGTGTACCGATGTGGCTGTTGGAGAAGGCCAGCAACGACGAGTTGGGGGCTATTTCAGCCTTAGGGAGTCTCTCGTCCTGGTCACTTCTCGACTATGGACCGAACGAGACTCTTATCATGCACCGCATGGTGCGAGACGCGGTGCGGCACTTCCTGCACCAGCGCAAGGAACTTAGAAGATACGAAGTATCTGGACTGGCCCTACTCGTCCAGCACTTTCCGGCGCCGGACACCGACGACTGGCAGCGATGCGAGGCCTTAGCCCCCCTTGCGGAAACGATGCTGGCGATGATCGATCCGCGTCGTGAGGACGAAACAATCTGTGCGCACCGCGCCACTCTGCTGCACTTCCTCTCGGCATATGAGAACCACCGAGGACGATACAAAGAAGCTCACTTCCACGTGAAGGATGCATGGCGAGCCCGCAGCGCTCGACTGGGCCCCGACCATCTCGACACCGTCGCCTGTGAGGAACTTTTGGCACTCGTGCGGATGAACCGGGGAAGGTACCGCAAGGCGTTGGAGACCCAGCGGAGCGTGCATGCCAAACGACTCGATGTCCAAGGCTACCAGGCCCCGGCGACCGTGGCCAGCCAGAAGCAGCTGGGCGATGTCGAGTTGAAACTCGGCCGATTCACCCGGGCCATCGAGACGTACTCGGCGGCCTGCCGACAGAGCGAGTTGGCCCTGGGAGACCAACATCGACATACGCTGGAGCTCCGTCATGTCCTGGCCGAGGCCTTTGAATGGCAAAAGAACGCGGGGAAAGCCGAGCAGCTGTACCGGCGCGCCCTGGCGGGCAAGGAGGCGACATTAGGGCCGAGTCATCATTCCACCGTCCAGACCCGCATTGCGCTGGATGCCCTCGTGGCCTCGCAGACCAGCGATCCACACGCTGCCCTGGGTCGGTATCGAGACATGTGGCAATTGAGCGCAGACACGTTCGGCGACACACATCCAAACACGATTGGTTTGCTGTGCAATCAGGCGGCCTGGCACAAGGCGCAGGGGGCGTGGAGGGAGGCGGAGACGCTCCAGGATCAGGCCTACCACCTCTTTTTGAACGCGCTGGGAGAGACTCATCCTTCCACGCTCATGTGCCTGTCTAACCTGGCCGTCCTCAAGCAGGAGCAGGGGAAAGCAGTGGAGGCCGAAGCCCTCCATTTGGAATTGCTCGGCCAGCGAACAGCCGTCCTGGGCCCGGAGCATCCCCATACCCTCGCCAGTATGTACCATTTTGCGGAGATGAAACTTGAGCAGGGGGCCTATGCCGAGGCCCACCCCATCCTGGAGCGGGTGGTCACCAGTCAGGAGATCGTGCTGGGCCCTGATCACCCGACGACCCTCCGCAGCGTGAGCTCCCTGACAGAATCACTTGAGGGGCTGCACCGATATGCCGAGTGTGAGCAGGTCTACCGAGGCTTGATAGCACGCAAACGGCAAGTCCTGGGATCGAGCCACCTCGACACGGTCGTCGAGATACACAACCTGGCCGAGTTGTTGCGGGAGCAGAACCGGCTCGCGGAGGCGGAGGTGCTACATCGTGAAGCCCTGCAGTTGAGCCCGGCTGACCGGCCGCGCAGTGTGACGACCCTGTTGATCATGGCTAACCTCGCACGGGTCCTGATGCTACAACAGAAACGGGGCGAGGCGCGAGCGCTCTACCAAGGTGCGTTGGCAGACATCCGACAACTCCCGGCTACCGCGGACTGGCGCATCTCAATCTTGATGCAACGCATGGAGAAGGAGCTTGGCGAGCTCTCGCTCCTCGGCCGACTGGCTGCTTGGGTTCCGCAGCCTATGGCAGCGTTCTGGACCCCTGTGTACGACAGCTGGTCCTGGCTGAGGGGTGGCAGTGGTCCGGGATAGGGCTGCTACGTGAAACATGCACTAAACATAGATTGTAATTCGGATAGAATGGATGTAAATTTCTGACCTATCTCACTTCAGCCCTTTCCATTTGACAGACGATTCCAACTCCTGCGGCCAGCGATCGGACTGGGCATCCTTGTCCTTCTTCAAGCGACCCTGGAAGACGAATCCCAGACGACTCAAGTTACCATCCTTGAGCACATACACCCGGGCATCCTCGTCACAAAACTGGATATTAATCCCGCTACCCTGCTGCTGGGCAAAGATGTGGCTCTTTTGTAATATTCCCCCGGTCTGAGGAACCTCGGAATCTATCGACCACGCATGACCATTAGTATTTGCGCTGCTGACCCCTCAAAGCAAAATGTAAACTCACCAGCCCAGTCTCTTCCATCCCAAGCAAGCTGGTGGATCGAGCAATCTTTATGCGAATAGAAGAGTCTCACCCCATCTTCAACGCCGAGGGCAAAGAGACTCGCTCCATCTGCCGGGGTCGTAGGAGGAAGAGAGGACTTCTGCCATCCCTGCCCATCCCGTCGAGCGATCATGCCCAGTTGCCCTTCTGGTAGCTGGAAGAAGACCCGATCGAAGCCATCCTCAGTACTGATAGCAGCGAGATGGGTGTTTGAAGCCACCAGGATGCGCAGGCCATCCAAGGTCCCCGGCTGCCACTCCCAGCTGTCCTCGTCGAACGCGTAGGCTTGGAGATAGTTCTCCTCATCCAGACAGTAAATCTCCCTCTGTATGGGGTGTTTGTGAGAACTGGGTGGCTGTTACTAGAGTGGACAAGGCCGCTTACCTGGGCATCTTTCCGGACTAGATACGTCGCGTTGGTGCCGGCTCGGGCGGACCCAACGGGGGACTCGATCCCGCTGCTGTCGTCCGAGTGCTCTTCCTCCGTGAGATCCTCTCCGGATTGGCACAGATAGTAGGTTTTGCCCTCCTCGGGCACCGACACCTGGGCGATGGTGTTTTCCGGCGGGTCGGAGGCAGTCATCATGACGTGGTAGAATGGATAGCGGGCAAGATGTTGGTCAATTGGTAGGATACGCATACACGGCGTGGGAAGGGTCCAGGGTAGATATTCTCCATTTCCAACCCTTGTTGGGTTGATGTGGTGAGCTGTCAACCTGCAGCCTGATACAGACCGGCGCCGGTACTCCGTATTGATGGCGGTAATACCAAGCCTTGCAAATAACCGGTACCGTTCTGACACGTCAGAACCAACCAGCCCGGATGCCCTGCCTCGTAGACACTGGTGAGAGCCCTCACTGTGATCTGATCCGCCAATTCTGTTGAGGCCTTCCTCCACAAGAATAGGTAGAGTTGGGTGTCTGTTGGTTCCCGAAACAATTCCATCTTTTTTGTGTACGAGACCTCAACCTCGCATCCTGCGCCATCGCGATGAATTCCGTAGAAGAGCCATCCAAATGGGTCTGTCGATTGCAGTCTTTCTTCGACCCAGGTTTGCGAATAGCGCCTCCCTCTTATCCTGAATGTATAGCTAACTCCTGGCAGGCGACGACAACTACTCCTCCGGCAGCGGCTTTCTCCTCAATATCCCATCCGAAAAATGGTGTATCGTGACTGCCGGCCACAACCTCATCGACCGTCAACGTGGGCTCGCCCACAAGGTCATTGCGATCTTCCCCAATGGAGTCCAATTAACTGCCGACCAGGACCAGCTCTTCGTGGCTGATGTGTACCGGCAAGCCCCAAGCGAGAGTGCCCAAGACCCCATCTCCAAACACGACTACGGACTCATCGCCATCGACCGCCAGTCTGACGACCTGGGCGGGTCGGGATTCAACTTGCTGCTCCGTGACGGCGAATTGCAGGACCGGGACGTCTCCGTGTACGGGTACCAGAATGGCGCTCCGGAACAAACAATGAACGCCTCGCGACTCGATACCCTCACCCCAGAAACCCTGGGCTATGATAAGCCGACAACGGGCGGTCTCAGCGGTGGACCGGTCATGATCTTCCGAGGGGGCGAGTATTTGGCCGTTGGCATACAGTGCGTTTCTACCAGTTTCCCCTAGCGGCTGTAGCTCACCATGCACTATAGTAACTACAAAGATCGTGCCACACGACTGACGTGCGCACTCATGCTGGAGCTCCTCGGCTGGGTCACCGACTATCCCCTTCGCCGAGTCGTGATGGTGCCTTTGGAGAAAGGAAAGGACGGAGACGCGACTTACTTGCGAGCGACAGATGGCGACAGCCCTAACTTGATCGCGCGACCCGGGCAGGACGGAAGGGCCTATCTCCGGTTTGTGCTGGCCATGACCCCCAAGGCGGGCGCCAAGGGTCCGCTTCGCTACGTGATACTCCCGGCCGTGACGACTTCCAAGCCCTTGACATACCTGACCTTTGTAGGGGAAGGCATCCCGAGCAAGGTCGGCTTCTGTCTCGAGGACCCCGCCGCGCGCACCCGAATGGCGGTGGGTCTCGTGGCGCAGGGAAGGGCTGGTGGCGAGCAATTGATGGTACTGCATTTTCCTGAGATTCCCAAGATTGGTATCAAGACGTGCCTGGCTGTACCGAGCGCTGTGTCGGAGAACAAGGCGTGTGAGTGGGGCTGCATCCTACAAGACCAAATTGTGTCTGTGAACGCGCAACGGACCAGGTTCGTGGTGCTTCCCTTTCAAGAGAAGGAGGCAAATCAATCACCTAAAGAATGCGACGATTGGTCACCGCTCTACCGCGCTGTCGTCCAAGGCAATGATCAAACCGCAATGTCTCTGCTTCAAGGTCCAGCAGACGTCAACGCTGCCTGTCAATGCGGCTCCACTGTGCTATGTAGGGCAGCAGAGCAGGGTAACCTGACGTTGGTCCGGAAGCTGCTTGACAAAGGCGCCAACCCGAGCACCACTAACGCCCGAAAAGAGTCCCCCAGGATGCTTGCAGCTCGTCAGGGGTTTACCCGAGTTGTGGGCTATTTGGACAGATATCCAGCCAAGAGATTGGATGCGTTCCTTTCCGCCGCACGCCAGGGTTGCATCCCAACGATGCAACAGTTGCTCAACGGGGGTGTGGACCCTAATGGCCGGCAGACGAGACCAGGCGGCATCAACATGTCTGCTCTGGAGACAGCAGCATACTGGGGACGCGAAGAGGCCGTGAACTTCCTTCTCAAAACCAAGGAATTGGACCTCGATGGGCCGGACGCTGGGGGCGCCACAGCATTGCATCGCGCCGCGGAGAACGGTCATGCGAGCATTATTCGAGTGCTGGTGCGCTCTGGAGCTAATCCGTCTTCTATAGACAACAACCGCAGACGTCCATTGCATCTGGCAGCTGCAAATGGTAACGTCGAGGCAATTGATGCATTGTGTAAAGCGATGCCCGCGCCGGATGTCAACACCCCTGGCATACTGGGAATGACACCATTGATGATGGCTGCATGCCATGGTCGTGAAAATGTTGTGCGGAAGCTACTGGATCTATCTGCGGATGTGAAGGTGAAAAATGACGAAGGTTGGACTGCTTTGGATTTGGCCAAGGATCGGGGGTGGCTCAATATTGTGCGACTTCTGTCGCCATTGTGTAGTTGATGTAGGGCTCCGCCGAGAATTAGAGGAGACAGTTGATCCCATGTATAGATCATCTCAGTCCCTGTTGGGAGATCCATTGGCTGAAGGTAGACTGAATTACGATCGTGGCTGCTGCTCCGCACAATGATGCTGAAATTTGGTTGAGCGGAGGTGGCGACTTGGTGATTTTGCTGCTATGCCCAGTCTTCATGTCTTTGTTACACTGGGGGCCTGTCAGGTCATCTAGCACCTTGAGTTTGTGTACAAGTTCAACATAATATTTGTATCCTATGTATTTATCTCATATTCCGGGCGGCCGAGGCCTACGTTGGCACATCATCACAATTTAACATATTTTGGCTCATACCCCATCCATGATACGTTGTACAAGTCAGCCTAGACCTTGTACAAACAAGGGGCAAGCATCTGGTGGACTATCGCGTAACAAGCTCTCTTGGATATTGCAATCACCTCACTCGAGTGAGCCTCAAGTATGACATATGCCTATGGTGGCAAAGTCTGTTGATTCAATGCTCCAATAAATTCCCGCATGTACTATCGTAGGTCGTCAGCTAAACCCGAGAACCCGGTCTGTAATCACTCACCACCCTTGTGCACTCTTTCTCTTTCTCATTGTCTCCCCCTGGCAAATTGTCCATCAAGTCATCCAACGGCTTGTTTCCCCCGTATACCAACGAACAGACTTCATCATTGTGTAACAGCTCATAGAGAAACTGCGTCGCACTCTCATCCTGGCCCACTTGGGACACCAGGAACACGGTTGATGCCGGCCCGAATCTCTCTCCCAGCCCGGGGCCCTTCTTCGCCAAGAGAATGGTATCCTTTAGGCCATCTCGGTCCTCAGATGTGGGCTATACGACGGTTAGCCCCCATAATCTCTACCGTAATGCAATGCTCTAGGGTTCATATGAAGCCCACATACCGCGCCATCCGTGATAATGACAATGATCCGCGGCTTCGTCCACCCTTGCCTGTCGACGGCTCTCTTCTCCAGCTTTTGAATGACCTTTCTTCGAACCACCGTGCCTAACCGCGTCGGTCCCTGTGTCGGCACCCCCGATATCAAATCATCGATCTCTTCGGCGGTTGTCAAACCATCCTGGTCATGTTTGTCCCCGTTCATAAATCGCACCGATATCCCATCGGGCTGCAATTTGCTGGCCCAATAGGAGACGCGCTGTAGGGTACTTGACAACGTTGACACGCGGTTGCCTAGGCGCATGGATCCGCTGTTATCTTCATACCAGTTCAAGAACCATTTGTGAGTCATGCGTGCACTGCTGGGGGAGAAGCCGATATATCAACCTACCGCAGACAATGAACAGATCGTACAGCAACGACTTCGTCAGAGTGGCCGCCTCTTCGGGAGTTATATCATAATCATCCTGTAGCTCCTGGCTGACCTTGGCTGCACTCAGCGCTATATTCTGCTTTTCTTCGTCTGTGAACTTGAACTGCCCCAGATTCTTCTCGAGAAAGTTGTCAAAGTACGCCAGGAATTCTTTTGCTGTTTTGGGCTAACAACACATGAGACTACGTACCAACAACTAATGGGAGATAAATCATTCCATACCGCATAGACAGGATCCCTTCCTTCATCATCCCGATCCTCACCTCCAGGAGCAACCGGCGGCGGCGGACGCCTCGGTGGACCTGTCCCCCCGGGAGCCAGATACTGAGCTTCCTGCTCGAGGGTTTCCCTCAGAAGCTCAACAAGTTTCTCCACGAGGGCATGAATCTGACGCTTGGATTTGCCTTCCGCCGCAAGAAAAGCCTGTTGTCGCACCTTGGTCGATAGAGTCAAATATTCCTTTTTGATGTCCAGAGCCAACTGACCCTGCACGATGCGGAGGATCTGGGGCTGCAGACCAACTTTGACTAGGCTCTTTTGGAGAGAATCCAGCATTTCGATCACGTTGGGGTTGCCCATCTTGGCTGTGGATACGGGTTGCTTGGTTGATGGTGTTGATTTTATACGCTCGTTCGGAATTGGGAACATATATATCATCCGTTTCGGCTCCTCTAAATTCCCTATGTTTTGTGCGGGTATCGCTACACTGTCATTACACTACACGTAATTTGCAACACAAGCCCTATGTCTGAAACTGCACGCTGGCAAGGCCAACCAGCTGGTTCCCCAGCCGAACCCTAAACGTGAGCGCCCGATGCTTCTGGCCCAAGAGTATCTCTAACATCAATTCCACCTTATATACTATCCGTTCTTTGACAGTCCGCCGTGGCAGTCGAGAAAAGTCCACATCCTGGAGATTGGCCACGACGTCGCAGACTGTTTGGACCACTATGAATTGGTCAGCTGGCGCAGGAAGATGATGAGATGGCTGCGAATATACCTGCAGGATCATAATACTTGGGTGCATCTTCCTGGCTGCAGGATCGCAGACGAATGGTAACGGTGCGCTCATGTGACTGTAGCAAACAATGAAAGGGAATCGGAATCACACTATCCGGGACGATCTCGGTGTTCTATAGAAACAACGATCATCAGCCATTACTGTCTCTCAAAGCTTGTCGCAGGGGACTCCCCTGGGCAATACACCACAACATGGTTCCAGGCACCATTTGCTGCTGCAAAAAGGGCGAGGGGTACAAGTCGGCACGATTGCTGTCGGTGGTTGCGCGATAGGGCCGAGACATCATCAGCCCGTAGTGTTGGGGGCATCTTTCTCTCATCCCAGTGGCCTGTCCAAAGCCGCGAACTACTGCCCCCCTTGCCATGACATGTGCACTGTCCGCTGGACTTCCAATGCGAATCTGCAGGTTAGCACACGCTTGCCGGACTTGGTCCCTCACATAGGGTGATGCACCCCAGCCACCGACTAGAAGGACGTACTAGATGGCGTTAGTCAAATTGACACCGGGGTTGAGAAAGGTATCGGTATGATAAAATACATCCACTGGCTCACCGGTTTCCTTGCTGCGCGCTGCCTGATCCGAGATGATGCCCACGATTCGGACCACTACTGGCAGAAGCAGCTGTTCCATTTCCTTGCTGCCACGTCTATGGTTAGATATTTTCCATAAAGAACCATCCAATGTTGGCAATAAGGCCGGAGACGCACGCGCTGAGAATGACCTCACCCTTTACTGGGTCATACCACGGGGAAGCCGGAGCCCTGAGAATTGCAGGTAACGGCTTCACCTTCAGTCGAGATCTATAGCGCCGCTTGTTCCATTCAAAGCTCCGCATCATGCGGCTGCTTGACCGTCGATCCCTCAGCAATGAGACGTATGCCTGTCCAAACCGTTTGAATAGTAGCTGGTGCAGCCGGCGGTCAATGTTGACTGTTCCGTATCGGGCCCCTAGACATGATCAGCCACCGCAACTGAACTACGAGTGGGAGCCCTCACTTGATCCGATAGACCTCTCACTCAGCTCCCAAGGGTCATCGTTCGTGATTCTATAGGCCGAAATATCCTGGTATTGAATTAGACCCCGAAGTACCTGGCAGAAGGACAACCGACCACCGTTCCTCCACCACAATCACACACGAGCATGTTCTCATTCAGCTGCACTGGAGCTCCATAGAATTGGGCATCCGGGTCTGACACAGCTCCAAACACCGCAGCCTCGGACTCAGGCACGATCATCAGTTCATCATCTGTCCGAGAGCCGAACCCAGCTTGCTTCGCAGCACCCCACATGCGACACTGGGCTTGATCGGACCATTCAGCAGGGATCGCCATCCAGAACTTGATGCGAAACCGGTAGTATGGCCGATCAGGACTGTCCCGGTTCAAAACCACCAATATGTGCGCGTATATCTGCCTCAGAAAATCGACCATGATCTGCCACGCAGACCTACCCGGGGGTAATTGCTTTCTCACTGTTGCCATCGCCGCACGCAGATCGGGGTCGTCCGCCGTTTGGTCAAGGAGCAGTTTCATGCATGAGTAACGCGGCATGCCGGGTGGAATGAGATATCCCCAGAGATGAGAGATCTTGCCGCGTTGATCCTGTGAGTATGCCATCTCTGTTGGAACAGCCTCGGCGGTCTTGGTTTCCGTACCCGTGGTCGGCCATGTACGCATGGTGGTGATCTCGCTGTAGTCGACATTGGCGGACCAGCCATAACAGACCCCTGCAGAATAGGGTTATATTGACTTTCGTGGAGAGTATTCGAGACTGGAGGCAAGACTCACTTGTCCATTGGGTGCCAACATCTATACCCACCACGAAGCAGTGGCGGTTGGGAATTCTGGGAACGTCGGCCATTCTGTAAAGAGTGTTTTATCTTGCGTAAGAGGAGGACTCTTCAATTGGCATGCTTTATTCTAGCATCGAGACTTTATAATTTCAGCAAAAATACCATATAGTTTGTCGCCCACTTCTGTATTCAGTCCCGTTCGTCTGTGGTATTTGCAAAACGGTGTTCTCGAAATTACCGGCCTTACCGCCTGTCACAACCGATCTGCAGCCAGCTGATGCATACATCACAGCGCCAGATGGCAGACAGTAGTGGCCACGTCAGTTTCCCCAGCCTCACACACGGCATCAAACATGCATATGACGCCGTAGGTCCTGCAGGTCGGGCTTCCATCCACACAGCTGATTGATCATCGGGCTCTCGGGGTCCTTGCCGGCTGTCTGGCTGCACCGAAGGCTTATTCGACCGCCAGGCAACCAGATCAATCCATGCAAGGTGGAACATGTACGTAGTGGGTAAGTTACAGCAATGTCCACGCTCATAGTATCGCGCTGACCAAACACTGCGATCGACATGGGCACCGCCCAACAGCTCATGGTTGCCCTGGACAACATTGCTTCGTGTGGGGGTAGATGGAGCCCGAGAGCTTGCACACTCGGGCTGAATTTACGGTTGGCCAGCTGGGGTATCGACACGCCACTGTTTCATCGTTTACTCTGTAGTGGCCATCTGGCATTGACTGGATCTGCCTGTGTTTGGGCAGTTGTAATATCCCTGCGTCAATTTGACCCCTCCTTCCGAGTGTGATGGTGTTTATGTTGTTGCAAACCCCGCACATCGTTTGGCCGGGTCAGTCAGGTCGAAAGGTGAATGATCTCGCGGTACCAACCCTGTCGTCCACTCCAGCTCCTATCACGCCTTTTGCATTCTGTCACTCAATACCTTGGCCAGCCTTGCGTCAAGTGTCTGTTTCCCGTTGGGCTACAAGTAGGACCCCCCCAATTGTTTGATCTCTCTCACAACAAACCCTTTCCACGTGGTTCCTGGTACCTGGGAAATTTACCATTCACCCCCTAGTCTGAACCCTTCCCAACAGCATCATGGATCTTGGTGACAAGTGGAAACAACTTTCTTCAGCCCCACAATCGCAATATTTCCGTGGTTTTCTTAGCCGAGGTAATGAGTCTGATGATGATGATGGTCCATGCGACCCGAATTCACACACAACAGCTGGTCTGGCTGGTTCGCTCGCCCCAGGTATCCACGAGGCACCGGAGGAAGGGCAGCCGTCACATACACCACCACGAAATGATGATGAACCAATGCGGAGCGAGATTGGGGATGCCAAGTCGGTCAGTTTTGTGACCGGAATAAGGAGACATGATGGGCTCACGGAGCAGAAGACTGGAGACGGAGAGCAGAATGCCCAGGACACCATAGATTCTAGGGAAATGGTGCAGCCTGCCGAATCGTGGCGAACTAGTGAAGCCCCTCTTCCAGTGCCTCCGGAGGCTGCAAAGCAGTCGACTAAACATGGCCGCCTGGAGAATCTTGCTCAGACTCCGGACCGCCGCTTTTCATCTGTTGCCCCAATGCACATCGGGATCGAATTGCATCCGCGTTCGACTGATACTACCGAGTCTTCGGTTCTCTCATATCGAAATACTACCACCATCATGCAGAATGTATCAGAGTCATCATCCCAGAGTCCGGACCATGAATTAGCACCACTTGAACCTATAATTGCCGACAGCCGATTAGGAAATCATCGACCTCGTGCCCGGCGGTCATCGTGCCCAGGCCATACTTTTAATGAGATCGACTCAGCACATACCTCAGGTCCCTCCACACCTTCTCCTTCGGGGCTTGTAGCTCCTTCAGTCACTAGGTCGGAGATCGTATATCGCTTGTCGCAAGGACTTCCTCCGATCAGTCCACCACAGCTGCGAAAGACCCCGTCATTGAGTGGGATCGACTCAGCCTTTGCCGGTGGATTTTTCGGTGAACGCACCACGGGCAACAGAGGATCGAGCCACCTGCGGGACGAGGTCCATCCAATGCCCCATGCAAGCAACCTGCAGAAACGGGATGAAAGCTCAAGCGGCGGTGAACATGACATTGAGGCGGTTTATCCTGCTCGCCAATCGCCGACTCCTTCAATGTCAACGACCACCATGGTGCAGAGCGATGACAATCCTGCAACAGATCTACCTGATGCGTGTCCTCAATTGGACGCAATTGTTCAACCCAATGATCACAATCCAGCTGGACCAGGGGAGGACCAAGAGCCACCATCGGAGAGTCCCAGGAACAAGCACTCAGCCCCAGACCATCACTTGGACGCTGTGCATCAAGCCCTCGATACCAACAGGCATCTCTCCCATGAGAAAGGCATGGCTCGGCAAGGTCCCAACCCCGGACGGCACAAGGGCAAGTCACCAGAGAAGCTCGAACGAGGAAATTGGTTGCAAGAAGCAAAAAACGGTCTCCGGGGCCAGGAAATTACTGCAATTCAATATACAGAGCAACACACAGGGAAGCCCCTCTCGGCATCTCGTGGCATCCATAGACCAGGAAATGACACCTCTAGCGATATCGACGCGTCTACAATAGACGATAGAGCCCCGGTAAGGGCTGGAATACAAGAGCAGGGCCCTCCACGCCAGCAAAGAACTGCGTTACAGCTCCCATCCAAACCGCACAATCCCACCTCTTCCGACTCCAAAGATAGTAGCTCTCCTTCCGACCAACTGTCAACCAACCCTGGGTCCGCTGATGATATTCAATCAAAAGGAGGACGGGGCTCGTCCACTGCAGCCATCAATTCACCAGTTAGGGACAATGACGCCGATATAACACCAGGCGACGATATGGATGACACTACGCATCCCCCCAACGCTCAACCTCTACGCGAAATTGGCTCCCATATGCACAACCCCCCTTCCGACGCGACGGAAGGACGTCTCCCGACTGATCATGGACATCCTGTTCACGCCCCCTTGGGCGACAGCCATGACGTGTGCGCGGGAGCCGTCAGCTCCCCAATGGATGACGACCAACCTGCCACGACTCCAGAGGTCAATGGAGATGGTGCTTCAAGCGGGCCAACTGCGGATTTGCAGCCCCCAGATAAGGTCCAGTTGGATATACCCTCCTCATCTAGTACAGAGCACGCCAGTCCTCCTACCAACCAAGGCTCAGGCTATCTGGGCTCTACTCCGAGTATGCTCACACAGAGAAGCCCCCATCCGTCTCAACCAACAGCCAATGCTCCAAAGATGGAACATAGGGCCTCGGGACTACCTGAGGGCCGGGAGGAAGAGTCAGCGCGAGATCACGGTACTCATGTCCAGCATCGGGAAGAATCACATTGCCACGATAGCTCGTGTCTCACTGAAGAGGTTGCCAGGCCTTCTGCTAATCAACACCGTGATGCTCCACAATGTGCTGTTGACATTCCTCCTGGGGAAACACATAACCTGCCTGCTGCACCAGTCGGGTTACACAATGATGAAGTCCGACTATTACCTGCGGTTTCAGAGCAAGACCCTACATGCCGGCACGGCGTGGATCAGGACCATGCGCTGGACTCGCAGAGTCATGATACCTCTTCTCCCGAAGTAGAGAGCGCTAAGATATCTACTGATCAGGATTCAACCTTTGTTGACCCAACTTCTGACACTACATTGGATGGCAACCATGCTTCCCCTGCCGAATTCGCCAGTCCGCTCAGTAGTGAAGCACAGGCGGAGCCAGACACCGACAAGCAAGGCTCCAGACACCAACAGGGTACTGATACTGAACCTCCACACCAGCCACCTGGGCCTCATGGGCCTTCTCCAAATGACGATGACGGTTACCATATCGACCAAAGCTCCAGCCATCTTGGACCCGCGCCCGAGGATCCGACAGTGGAAAGCGATGCCTCTCCGGGATCGGTCAATTTGCCCATTCACGAAGCTTTCATGGGGTCAGAGATCAACGGGATCCCTCCCTCTGTATCGTGTTTGGACGCCAAGGATTCAATAGAACCACAAACTCGGGAGCCGCCTTCCTCCAATGCGGGGGAACCAAACTCCACCAGAAACGAAGATCCACCCAATACTGAGCCGGCTCCCGCAAGTTCAGAACAAGAGAACGACACCTCTAGTGAGCCCGTCAGCTGTTCCAAGACTGAAGAGACAGAGCCCGGCATACCAGAGCCACATGGTGTTTCATCCAGTTCAGAAGATGGATCCTCTCATACCGAACCAGGTCCCAGTCATCTGGAGGCCCAATGCGAGACTTCAGCAGGCGGCCATATCTCTCCCAGCACGCCCACCAAGTCGCTCAACGTGAATACCGCGGATCCAGCCATGCTAGAGGCCCATGATTCTTCTTACGGCGCTGAAAGTGGGGGCACTTCTGTCAGCCAACATACAAGTCTTGAGAAATCGGCTGATGACGGTCCTTTCGCAGCGGACAATCCATCCCCTGAGACTAGCAGCTCTCCGGACATCAGTGCTGATGACTCAGGGATGGCAGGGGACCAGCACTTCCCGTCTCCTAACTCAGCAAGCAAAAGCACTGCTGTCGAGCCAGGCCCAGCCCGGGTCGAATCTGCGCTGGACATTCCGGAGGTAAGGAGCAATCCTTCCTCTGCCGAGCCTGTTAACTCCATCAGGGTCAACAATGAGGATCCAACATCATCAAAAGCCCATCGCCCCCCTTCGTCAAGCGTGGACGACACAAAGTCACCGACTGACCGAGGCTCAATTCATCCTCCATCAGCGCCGGGAATCTCACCAAATGAAGATAGTATCGCCACCGACTCTAATACTCACCCAATGGTCAATAGTGAAACCCTAATGATACCGGAAGCTCATCACTCCTCCTCTTCCAACGCGGAAGACGAACGCATTTCCGCCCAGCCGAATCAAGGGGAACCCACGATTAACACCCCAGCCGAAGAAAGCGAGATCCCTCCTCCCGAGCCCAAAGATGCCATCAGCCTCAGCAACGAAGACCTAGAGGGACCAGGGGCCCATGGCTTTCCCGCCTCCAGCGTGGAAGACATAAACGCTCCCACAGCACGTGGATCAAATCATCCAGAATCAAGGCCTGGCAATCCAACGATTGCAAGAGACAGCCCGGATGTACCGACCGGGTCATCCAGGACCACCAGGCAGCGCCTGGCAACCACGGAAAGTCATGATCCTGTTGAGCCCAAGGTCGAGGGTACGGCGGAACCAAATCCGAGGGCCGCTGGTTCTGCTCTCAATGCCCCATCGGATGGTAACAATATTACCCCCGAACTTTTAAGGTCCCCCAGCACTAACAGTAAAGGCTCAACAACACTGGAAACATCCGATCATGATCCTACCACGGCTACCGACGGAGATGCAACCCATACCGAACCAGTTCCAGGACCATCACTGGAAGGAAGCGATATCACCACCGCGCCCTCGAGTTCTCCGAGGCTCAAGAATGGGGAGCCAGTACTAGCGGAGTCCCATGATAAGGACTTTACTCTTCAACATGGCTCTGATCTGGTACCCGAAGACCAATACCCAGCCAATAATCAGTCTTCACCCGAGCCACACCCGACCAATCCTCCCTCAAACAGTCCACCAAACCCGCACAACGACCCCGAAGAGCCCATATCCCTAGAAGCAGCTCTGCAGAATATATCAGGTACATTCTACGAAACGTATCTCCACGATGAATTACTCAAGACTCTCAATGAGCGCATGCCACCACATCTACTCCAGGACTTCTCAGATCTCTCTTCCCAGCGGAAAGAAGAAACTTGCATTGAGGTGATGAGGAAAGTGGGTACGGAGATTGACGAGCTTATTGGGACTGTATTTGGTTCTTTGGTTGGGAAATCGTCTTAGTTGATGGTTGTTCCTTTTTTTCTTTTGCTTACTGTTTGTAGCGGAGGTTGAATAAGTGCGATGTGATGATATATTGTTCAGCGTACTGCCGACAATAAATGACCAGGGCTGTAGGACCTCATTGCGATGTGACGTTTCCTCCATTTTAACGTGGAATATTATATATCTGGCCGAGGCTGTAGTACCTTGAGCTCATTACAAGATGTCTGCGTGAATGAATACTTAGGTCATCCACTTATTTGTGTACAGGTGAGCAGCAGGATGCATTGATGTATAAACATGATCGGTTGCCGTGATCAGTTTCATAGAGAGAATATTCCACTCCTTTCTCACGCATCATCCCCATCCGCATGCATAGCATGGTTGTCGTGGCCCCCGTGATACTCATTCGGATGAAAGTCCGGGTGACCCGGGATCCTACCGGTCACTTTATACTCCGCCTCTGGGAAGGATGGACCTGTGATTCATCGCGTTAGCTCCATGTGTCCTGTTCGCAGCTCGCAGGCAGGGGCTAGATCCACGAACCTAATGTGGGATGAATGAGGGTGGTATCATCGAAGATGTCAAAGCTATGTTCCTCGGCCCATTTATCTACCTTGTCCCAGTTGGCACATTCGTGTTCGACGACGAAATTGGGCTTGGGGGCGCGATCTTCGGGGTCCCATGTGAAGGTCAGGAGGGCGACGTCGGCTTTGCACATGATGTTTTGGCGGAGGTTGTCGACACAGTGCTCTATATTCAGATGTTAGTGAGGTAGATTGCTTAAATAAGATTTGAGTGGGTTTCCAGGGCGTACCAATATGGACTGGTGTCGTCCGTTTCCCGATATGATAGTAGTTTTGGTAGACTACTTGTCGGAGGAATTTCTAGCATCTGTCAGTTGTGCTTTGGAATGGGGACGGGGGGTTAGATGTCGGTTCTTACCAGACAGTGGAGTTGGTGATATACATCTGTACCAGTTAGATACCTGCGAAAGCGAGATGGTAGGAGAAACGTACCGGGAATGGCATAGTAGCCCCCCTTCTCGTCATTGATAGGGACAGAAGTTCGATTGATCTTCGCCAGGTCGTCTGCTGTCACCCGGATATTGGAGTTGATGAACAACTGATGCCATGCATGATCCAACTCTTCGGATGGTGCTCCCTTGAAAGGATTTTCGCTTTCGATCGAGGCGTAGATTGTCTTTCGCTCCATTTCAACTGCGTCGTATAGGGGTGCTATAGTTATCATTCAATCAGCCGACATCTGATATCCATTCCTCATGTCTCAGTAGCTTACACGCAACCAGATGCGCTGGCTTCACATCCTGTGATCTGACAGTCTCTGTCGTCCGATATGTTGCAGCCAGAAATGCTGCACCGTACAGAGAGGCGAGAATGAAATGGAAGCAGACACTTCGCCATTGAAAGGATGACCGACGAGGCCGTTCCAAGTAGCAGGTGCCATCCTCGATGTGCTCCTTGTTCAGAGGCTCATCGTGGTAGTCGGGGTTCTCAGATAATGGCAGCCTCTCGGAGGAGGTGCTATCTTTGCTTCCTTTCTTCAGTGCCGTGTACATCGTGCCGAAATTGAAACCGGAAATCTGCATTTCGACACGGTCAATGGCAAGACCTTTCGGAGGGGGGTGTCTAGGACGAAGTCCCAGGGAATTTTATGGTCTCACCTAATCATCTAGCATGATCATGACGAAATGCAGTTACAATTATGGCATGAAGAACTCGGTTGAGACAGTATTTACGTACATCGTGGCATTCAGCTGAACATCTTAGTGCAGTTGTGGCAAGATGCGCCATCAGATATTCCCTGTAGGGTCTCGGATGCATGAAATCTGCAGCTATTGGATATTGTGCAACTTGCATTTCTGCTGATAGCCAGGCTGCCCCAGTCGGAACGCGTGGAGCTTCATCCCTGCGCGCTACCCCGCACGGTGTGCCCGAGTCGTGTTGCACCAGGAAAGACAGATCTGCTTAGCCTATCTGCAGATCTTCCGCAGATGCTTAGTCTAGCCGCAGATGTGCAGTGATGGTCCTAGGTCGAGTGTGCGTGTGATCGGAGTTGGCAGGGGTAACAAGGTAGAACAGCTACATGGCGTCAGTGATCGGCCATTGGGGCGATGCCGATCTCCGACAGGATAAGGTTATCAGGTTAGCAGCTCAGCCATCATTCACTTGCACGAACGACTGAAAAAGCAATTATCCCCTACTCAAGTTTTTCCCATTCGTCAAGTAACTCCGTGCCTTGTTTACCAGAGCAGAACCTGGATACCAACACTCTGGATGGCGTCTTTTCGTGATATCTGATATCACGAAGCATAGCAAACCTATCAATGATACACGTCACTGGATGCAACCAAGGAAAGCAATATTCGCCCTAGATCCGAGCTGTGGTGCGCCTTCCTTCTCGGAGTAACCCTATTGCTGTTGCGAATTCGGGATTTGCCCCAGCTTGCCTTCCTCGCCTGACCTACTTACTCAAAACCTAGAAATTGGAGAGCTAATTATAGAAGTACAGCTGTCAATCCGGGGTTTGGTTTCCCAGCATGCCCTAGATGACTCCATTCGTGGATATTCGTGCCGGCAAACAGCCGTCCCCCAGCCTGTCTATGACTACGAGTCATATGGCTCTCTGGCAGAGCCTGGGGTACAGATAGTTGGGCTAAGCGGCATGAATCAGGCTTTTGTGGCAAAGGCAATCCTAGAGGGAGGGGCACCGATGAGCTGCGCCAGTCCCAGAGAGCAATCACTCCACCTTTTTCATCATCTGAAATTATCTCGTTGCCACTTGCATCACACGTATTCAGCGCACGAAGAACAGGCATGTCTCATCTAGGTCGCTCAGGACCTAACCGGCCACACCTCAAGGCAATCACAGGCTATCAAAGCAAATCATCTCCAGCATTACGCCTTCCTCACCCATCGGTCAGTCTGAGATGGCCAACTCCTACTCCATCCTGGAAGGTAGTGGCTTGGGTATCAATCACAGATCATGCAAGATGATGATACAATTCCTGCAACTATGAGGAGTCGAGCGGGGAAATGGTAATGCCATGCGAGCTGATCAGCCTGTTTCGCAATCCCGGATGCATATTGCACGCCGGTTAGTCTATTGCACACTGAGATATGCAGGTTTGGAGAGCTATTCTCGTCTTCTAACAGGCTCACAATCACACTCACAGTCTCAACGCAGCAGGTATGAATCATCTGGAGAAAGGCATCAGCATGTGCTCAGTACCACCATCGTCATACATCGGCGATGGTTCAATGACGATCGCTCGATCAATCGCCACAGACCAGTATTCCCTTTGACGTGGGCGAGATCGGAGATAGATGAGGCCGGAGAGCAGTTCCATAGTCATACACCTGGGCCAGCATCGTTTGTGACATAAAAGGCTGTACAATTCCTCATGCCTGCCTGATTCTTACCTATCAAGCGAACACAGTTCAGTCTTTGCTTAACATCATCTACTCTTCTTGGTGACCTGACCACTTGAAACCCCATCCGAGACCTTAGCCAGCATGCTCTCCCCCAAGATTCTCCTCGCCCTCTGCCTCTCCATGGGCATGGCTACTGCTTTGCCTGGTATGCCGCTTGGCTGCATTCTGTAAATACGGTCCACTGACATTCCTTAGCGGTCGGCGGTACCAACGAGCTGGACGGCGACTTGTATAATTACAAGCGCGGTAGTGCCGAGCTTGACGGTGACCTTTACAACTACAAGAGAGACGGTGCCGAGCTTGATGGTGACCTCTACAACTATAAGCGAAGCAAGGCCGAGCTCGACGGAGACTTGTACAACTACAAGCGCAGCAGTGCTGAACTCGACGGCGATCTCTACAACTACAAGCGTGGTGGCTACAAGCGCGACAGTGCTGAACTGGACGGGGATCTCTACAACTACAAGCGTGACGGAGCTGAGCTGGATGGAGACTTGTACAACTACAAGAAGCGCGACGGGGCCGAGCTTGATGGTGACTTGTACAACTACAAGCGGGATGGTGCTGAACTTGATGGTGATCTCTACAACTACTAGATCCGAACTCAGATGTCCTCGGGGCGTTCTGGTCAAGGCCGAGACTGGAAAAGGACATGCAAGTCAAGCACCTCGGGATGGGCAGCAGGGACAGGGTGGTAGGGGTTTGGGCAGATCAGATCTTAGGATGGTACCTCTAGTTATAGCCCGAGTTGATATAGCTTCAGAAGTATCTTTCGCACGTTGGATGATTATCGCACAGATTTGTATCCGTAGTCATGTAGGTGTTGACAAATCATTGGATGCGGAGCCCGTGTAGACATGGTCTGCGGTTGTGTAATATTCAACGCCGCACGATTCCACGCTTGGCCGGGAGGTGGGCTGTGCTCGAGGCTCAGAGCCGAGGGGTTGAGATGTGCGTACATCTGCTAGAGACTTGATTACCAGCTTTTTAAAATCGCCGACACATAGGATATAATGCCATTGTTTCCCAGTCAATTCAATTGGCAGCCGTAACGGCCGCATTTGATAGAGATGGTCAATTTGGAGCACCATCGAATCTAATAAACCAAGATTGAATAGCTGCAACGAGGGCCAGTACACCCGATCCCCACCAGGCCAGAGCACTAAAATGGTGATTCTCTCCGATGCTCTGCAAAAGCCCCGCTGCCGCCGGGGAGATGGTTCGACAGGCGGCCCCTGCGCTTGCCACCAGCCCATTAACCCGACCAAGGATGAGGGTATTAGGTGTCCACCGTTTGATGAGAATCAAAAGAGCTGGGTAGGTGAATGTGGAGAGGACGTTTCGTGCAACTAACCAGGTCCACAGACCGAAGCGCCAGGTGCTCGCGGGCATGAAAGGAAGATAGGGAAGCGAAAAGTAGGCGAGGGGGTGTAATGTGGTCATCATTAGCAAAGTCATCTTGAGCCCAAACCAGTCGGTAAACACCGGAAAGACCAACTGGATACCCAGTCCGATAATCCCATTGACCCCCATCACAAGACCCACCTCCGAAAGACTCATGTCCAGCCCGCCAATTCCACCGATGTAGTATGGGGGAACGCTTTGGTCGCGCGGACTCCGCAAGAGGATTGGTAGCAGCTGAATGTAGGTGACCGTATGGGCGCTCAGCAAGCACACGGCACCGATCAGCATCTTGGCATTTGTGTTCAACTCCCACAAGGAGCCTCCGTTCGCGGATTCACTCGTGGAATCAGGCGTGGGCTGTAGAAGGGGTGCATTTTCGCTGTCGTCCGGTGACTGGCGCGAGCCCATTCCTCCCAGTGGTTTCTTGTGGAGGCCCGGGTGTGTCTCGTCCAAGGCTAGGTAGGCCAGCACAATTGTGACGAGGACCATGCCAGCACAGGCAATATTCGGCAGCAGGTAGGGAAATTGCCGGAAGATTGCACTCCCCAAGGTCTGCTGGGCCAAGAGACCTCCAAGGGCGGGTCCGATGGTGCATCCGACACTGAAGAAAAATGGGATGACCGCGTACGCCCGTGCTACATCTGTGTCTCAGTGACAGTCCCTCCTTGGATGCCAATGGACATACCTTCATGTTCGGGCCGGGTCACCATCTCGCCAACCATGGTTTGCACAACCCCGACGTTCCCATTCAAGGCACCCCCCAACGCTCTCCCGAGTATTGCCATCCAGATGTTGACCGAGAAGCCCAGAACAAATAGGGAGAGAACTGTTCCAGCACATCCCAAGAGCAAAACCGGCTTTCTTCCAATGCGGTCGGAGAGGGCACCCCACCAAAAGCCGGTCAAGGTTTCGGTGAGGGAGAAGGCGGCGACAAAAAGACCGGCATAGAATGCAGCATTAGTGGTGTTGTCACCCAACAGATGTTCCATCAAATCATAGGCATAGGGGAGAGGGGAGGTAAGGGCGACGGGCTCGGCGATGCGACAGAGGCCTAAGGCAGCAAGTCAGGTCCGGTCAGTGTCACCCCCGGGCGGGGTGGCTCGCATGAGAGCCGTCAGATGGTCATACCCAGCAGGAATAGTTGCGCGGTGGGGAAACCTTTCTCACTTGGTGCCGCATCCATCTTGTCCTATTTAGGGTTGTGATCTATCTCGGATGATGGATCGGGGTCCAACCTTCCGTGCTCAGCCCAGTGGGACGCGTGGGGGAGGAAAAGGGGATCCGACCATCCGAGGTTCGGCGTCTATATATATCGCTCACGTGCCTCAATTCTTCAATACCAGCATACTATGGTGGTATTACCGGGGTCACCAAACTCCGTGTCCCGGTTGTCAGTCATTTTGTCATTTATGCATCCCGCATCACCTGACACGCTTCTTTCCTTCTTCCCTCTTCCTCTTCCTCTTCCTCCCCCCTCTTATACTAGTAGTTTTCATCCAGACCATTGTCAGCCTCTTGACCTTCTTTCCTCCCTTCTGTTTCCCCTCCAGACCCGTCGAGAATGAAACCCGTAATCATCCCGGATGGGCTCGATCTCACATCATCCCGGTCGCGATACGAGACCCTCCCACGACGACCCAGCGAGGCTGGCGCTTAGGAAACGGGAAGTGGTTGAACTGGTTGGACCCCGGACCCCGCTCTCCGATGATGGCCTGTCTTCCTCGTGTTCTGGCTAATCCCGGAGCTAGTCTACTTTGCTCTCCAGCGCTGTAAATACAACCTCCGACACCATGTCCAGTCACACTTCTCTGGGGGGGAGGCATACACAATGCAAGAGAATCAATCACCCTCACAGGATGAACGAGGTAGGTAAGCATGATATAAAGAGCTACACATGTGGATGTCAAACAGGAGAACCTGCTTAGCTGCATGCAGCAGAGCATGAAGTGGCTCTAGAAGATAGCACGGCGCAGGCCAGGAGCAAGGACGTCTTCGACTCTCCTCGCTCAATATCACCATATCGTGGATATAAACCCCAAGTTGTCCTCGACAGATTCCAGAGCCCTGGTGCGCAGATTACAAGGTAGAGGCGGGTGGCCAGTCATCCTGACAAACGCGCCCAGCCAGCCGGATGGTCGCCGAACTGGGTATATGCCGGGAAGTCCATTCGATGTGCCTGCATTCCGAACGTAACGATGCCATTGCCATTTTGACACGTTCTGGGTGTTCTAAGTCTACCTTATCTTCTGTTGGCCCAAGTAATGGGCTAATCATTCCTACGGCATCATCAAGACGCGTTCTCTGGCGCCATCGCGATGGCCTATTAATCTACAGCAACAGACAAGCCGAACATGCGATCAATGTGCAAAAGGTGCTACACTGCCTTTCGTAGGCCGGTTGGCAGCTTGCTACACAAAGGTTGGAGCTCTTATCTCCTGACCTACGGAAAGGATAAACCTTCTGTAGGGTCGGGAAATCCAGGAAGGGTGGCAGCTCTTCGCGGGATAGTCGATAGTGCCGGAAGTTCCTTTCAAAGCTAGTAGCTCATCTACCATCTGGAAAATCTTTACACGCGTCGTGGGTACATCGGAACTCATGTGATTTACACCTTGTCATCCTGTCTTCTTCACTTTCCGGGAAGCGGATAACCTCCGTATTGCACAATCTCGGCCAAACTTTACAACTAGAATGTGAGGACCTGTGGAATCGACGCTGAAAATGACCGCTACTGAGGCCATAAACGGCCGCATTTCCACCTGTAACTCTCAACAGCGAGCGACCGTTTTAACATCGTCACGTGCGCTCACACCACTATTCTGCACCCGCCAAGTATTCTAGTTCCCACCTCTGATTGAACTTGAATGAGCGCTCGACCGCAGCGAGCTTCAGTCCATCTCAAATCACGACCAAATCGCCCCGAAAATGGGCTCCTTCGTGGCCAAATCCAGCTGCCCTAGATCTGACCAGCCTGGTCAAGTGCTCTATAAAATGCTACCTTTTCCCTGCTTCTTCGTTCCTCTGTTCACCCTCCCCCCTCACCCGCCTTAACAATCTCGGTTTGATTCTAAAGGCCAGTCTTTTCTCGACTCCAGCTTACTTCTCTACACTATTTCTATCTGACTGCCTCGATGACGCCTCCTCTGGTTCCCCCCCACTCAACCCGGTGAACACCAATTTTGGATTGATCCCATTCTTTGCGAGGAGACTCGAGCTAGATTAGAACATTTTCGCAGTTTTGGATGGCTCCCCCTGAACTTCAAGCCTAAGACCCTGGAAGGTCTTGCTGTTATCAAACGATATTGGTGGAAGTAGGTATATTATTAACTTTAAATATTTATTTAATGATTTAAAAATAACATACAATAGGTATTGCATCCAATTAAACGAGGATTACATTGATTACCTACTCTTGGAGGATCGAGCTATTTACATAAATTTCTTCGATTGGATGTACAGAACCTCGCGGAAGAAACTTCTTTAATCATATGATGAATACTAGCGACGCTTTTATTAATACTTTAGTCTATTCGCCCGGCGCCGTGTGAATGACAATATTCACGAACAAATACAATGAATAAGCTAGATTTCCTTGGACTCTACAAATAGAGGGCTAATAAGGACAACAGTTCCTTGAACATATACTCCCTACTAAATATAAGATACCTAAACAAACAAAGAACAAGAATACATTGGACATAGACATCTTTTATGTCACCTACCGCCATCATTAGGTACATTCAAAATATTTCCGCCCTGGTAGATTTTCATCGCTCCAGGCGGCCTCAGTTAGCCGCCTCTCTGTTGCGCCCTCCAAAAACAACTTTTCACTGGCATGTGTACTTCTGATGCACAACCATATATTCATGGTATTCCTGCAATGACACCTCTAGCTCAGACTCCTGGCAGTCCCAATATATATGGGCTAGCACTCGCCTTCGAAGGCGGCTGTTCCTCTGACACATACCTATGCTTTCTCTAGAGCCAGTTCCTCTACGGTCCTATTGTTGTCCAGACACTAAGCTAAAGATTCCTTTCCAAACCTGTGCAGTTCGGGTTCTGCACACAAAGGGCGATAGTCGATACACTTCGTCGAGGGATTGCTGGACTGCCTCTTAGGCTCCTGATAAGGATGGGTACTGTGGATGTGAAAAGAGACTATTACGCTGATTTAGGTCTCACCCCTGAGGCAGATGATGTAGCTCTAAAAAAACAATACAAAAAGCTAGGTACTTGATTCTGAAAGCTTCTAGAAAGACAAGCTGACGCATACAAGCTCTTCAATACCACCCCGATCGGCATCCAGGTAAGGATTCGATATATGTGAATGAATTCCAGGTAATTCAAGGAGCCTATGAGATTCTCAGTGACCGGGGTACGCGCCTAAAGTACGACGCGGATCGTTTGCGAAAAGGATATTATAAACCTCAAAGGGAATCGGGATCTGAATCATCAAAACCCCGTACATTCACAAGGTTCCCTGGTGGGGGGGGGGGGGGGGTACCTCGGTCTTCAATCAATCCAGGCCCTTTCGCAATGGTGTCTTTACAGGGTCCTCGTCCTTTGCTTTTGCAGGCACTACAGGAAGGCAGTCAGCACACAAGATAGGCAATCGACGGCAGGGCCGAGCCAATGCAAGCGCAAGTTTCGGAAAAATGAAAGATAATACGACACCATTTGATAAATCGCAGAAAAAGGCAGGTTATTTTGGGACTGTACCCAACTCGTACAATACCACCCGCGGGAGGCCAACCAAACCAACATTCACTGACAGAAATGAAAGGTCTACTGGTACACAACCTACGCCTGGTGGGAGGGGGAAAAGTAAAGGGTTCAAGCCGCATGTTGCAGGCGGCGATGAACCCATGGCGACGAACGCCTCTTACACACAGTCGACCCGTTCTGAAGGGCAGCGCTCGTCAACTGATTCTCCAGCTGGAGCCAAATGTACATCACGCTCCCAGAATTCGAGCGAGGACTCAAGTTCCCTAAAATCCGGAGGAGCAAGTAGCGCTTATGCTTCCAGAGGAGGAAAAAATGATTTTTCCTCGACCGGTTCCCTCGGCCATGGTACTAATCCGCCTTCGGCTTTTAAGCCTCCTCATACTGGCAATAAGCCTGTCCAGGGACCCTCTTTCTCTGAATCAGCTAGCCAAAAGACGTCTTACCAGAGCGATCCAGCTCGTAAAATGTCCGATATGGCCGGAGCAGAGGCTACCTCGCAAACTTGCTTGAATAAAGACACTTTGCCGAGCCAGTCTCACAGAACAGACGCGATTCCAGAGCGGGAGCTAAAAGGCAAAGGACGGATCATCCCGCAGCCAGCAAGCGTCACTACAGAAGATGAAGACGCTGAACCGCTTGTGGGTAGATCGGGAAAGGAAAAGGCCACAGCTGTCGGAAGCATAGATGATCAGCAATCTAGCATGGAAGACATCTGGTCAGAGCATCTGGGGTCGACAAAAAAGCCCACCTCTGTCAAAAATAGCACGAAAGACAGAAGCCCACCAGTAGCATCCCAAAGGACCACAAGGCCGAGATTAGAAGATGAGCCGATGAATGCACCTCAAGCTGGAATGACAGGGGCCTTATCATCTGCACTGGTTCAGGATAGTGAACTTGCAAACATTCAGTTTTTCTGCACAGTTTTTCAGTTCAGAGCGTCTACCAGGATTCTCAGCGCAACGTTGAACCGCATCCTTTCCCGCGAACTCAATTGTCCAAAAAAACAAGTGTTGCCTCAGCCACCGCAATACGTCCCAATCAACACAAATCCCCAAGGACTTGGGACATGTGCAATGCGTGATAAGTATCTTGTAGAAATGAACGCCTACTTGAAAGACTGGAACAGATTTCAGCGCCAGGTATTAAGCCATTTCCTTGCACAGCATTCAAATCGCGGAACTACAGTTAGAGGAATAGATAAACATCGAGATTGCTGTTCTGAGGGTGAGAGCGGCGATCGATCTCAAAGTTGCGGCCTTGAAAACAACCTGGTCCAAAAGTTCTGGGTAGTGGCCAACCAAAAGCACGTGGATAATCTGCTCAGGCACGAGAAGGTCCTTATATCATTCCTAAGAGAGAGCACGTCATCTTGATATGCGAGCAATGCGCCAAGCAAACTGTCTATATGTACAATACATAGCGCGGTATATATACTTCCTCGTGCCACCAATTATCCCGATGCGCTCAGGAACATACTACATTCTTTCTCCCAGGATATCCTTTCCACCAATTTTCCATGTCGATTTTAATTATGGTAGCAAAAAGCAGGAGTTGACCAGATCGAAGAAGTCTAGACAATATACACAAATCTACCTTAGGTGATTCTTTAGTCCCATTGTTCTATCGCAAATATACGCTTAGTCCAGAACTAGTCAAGATTCCGTTCTATAATCCACCTTGAGCGGGTGAAAGCGATAGGCTTAACTATTTATGGACTAGTATGCGAGCCTGAATAGAATCAAAGAGTATGAGGCGGTGACACCAGTTTCTGGAAGCACTGCACATAGAAGAAGCTATCAAACGCCTTTTACTCATATGTCCGGTCCTCGAGACTCCCCAGCCGAGTTGTGTACCACATTCGGAAAGAACTCCATGGGTAAATAAACCAGTTTTTCCCAGTCTCAGAGTCAATGAAATACTGCGGGAACAGATTTAAGGAGGAATCATCAGCACACGGTCAGGATGTCAGAGTGTTTATATGTACTTACCGACGCACATGAGGTTGCCCATACGGTTTTTTCAATTTCAAGCTGAAGCCTCTCGTGGTATTCCTTTTCTTTTTCAGGCTTCACCTCCACAGATTTCCGCTGCCCTTTTAGTATTGGGGTAACAATCCGCAGGACTTGAGTGGTATAGCTGCAAATTATGGAGTTAGCATTGTCTACCACAATCCATGTATAATATACCTCTCAATCGCATATATTTTCGAGGTATGGCCTCTACCGGAATTGGGTCCCAGAATATAGAAGAAATTGGGGAACCCAGACATTGCAATTGAATGGTAGGCCTCTATACAGCCGTAAGATTTCCAGTGATCTGACTGCGAACGTCCGTCGCGACCATAAATATTGGTATCCCACTGTGTGAGGGAGGAACCCGTGGCCAATACCTGGATCAAGATTGTTCAGATCGCATGCGCAATGGGCTTAGGCAACATACAATAGCACCTACAATCACATCGGCAGGGTATTCTTTTCCCGACCTTGTCAGAATTGAATGCTTCTTAACAGCAGTGATTGGGTCGTCTGTGAGGGAGACGTGGTCTTCCTGTAGGCATTTCATGTAATTCTGGTTCTCGAACACTCGCCGCTGGGGTAAGACAAGCACATCAGTCAGACACCCTGAATACCTCCTGTAGAGTGTATCATACCTTGCATCCCAATTCGTACCGGGGTAGAAGTAAGGGCCAGTATTTTTCTTTCGATACTCCATGAGACATAGTTCCGAGCATATCCAAGGGGGTGGGCTGTATTCGTACCAGGTGCCACACGTCGAACGTATTCTTTGCTCCGGTCCGCATAATGGTGCCGGAGGTTCTTGCTCCTTGCATCAAGGCCAAACATAAAAGAGGCCGTTTCAAGATACAGGAAAATAATTAACCTCAAGATGAGCAGAACCCCGGGTACATATAAGAACAAGTTTCTCCACGCGGATCCAATATCGACATTCCTGCTAGGAATGTAGTAATGCGGGGTCTGTGATAATCTGATGCTTAGCAACGTGTGTGAATCATGCTGCTCATTGGCAATACCTACCCTTATAAACTGGGCAATGGACCTGGCTTCCTGGGCAATGGACGGTATCAATTGGGCTACCGAAGCTGCAGAGAGTCAGATAAATTTGCGTAAATCAGGGCCGGAAAGACTCACCCCCATTCCCAACCACAACAACGTTCTTGCCACGTACAACAGCATCCTGCGGCCACCTCGCGGTGTGGATAATCGGTCCTTGAAACAGGTCTGTTCCCGGTAGACTGAAAGGCTTTGAATTGACCAGGGCGCCGACCGCAGAGATCAAGATCTTACATTCCTGGAGGATGGTACACCGAGAGATCGAGTCTCGCAGCTTTACTAACCACCGCTTTCTTTCATTATTCCACAACGCCCCCTCGCATTCTACGTTGCAGAATACATGAGGGCGAACATTGTACTTGTCAGCAACCTTCCAGATGTATGAGAGCACTTCTTTCTGACTTGGGAAAAATTTCGTGAATTCCGCATTAGGTGCAAAAGATAGGCTGTAGCAAGCGGCTGGAATATCCACAGCACATCCAGGATCTAGGCCTTCCGTTAGTCATGTGCCGGGGTATAGGCAAGCCCGTACATTTATTCGCCCACCACGTGCCACCTATCTCCGCACTCCGTTCGTAGATAACATAGTCGAAATGGTTCAGTTTCCGCTGTAGCTGGCAGGCCATGGTCAAGCCTGAAAATCCCGCCCCAATGATCACAACATCATTAACGCGCTCTATTTGGCTGTCACTAGACATTGCACAGGAAGGTGCAATATACTTTGTCGAATGAATGATGACGTGCACGGAGCACTGACCAGCAGACCTCTGTGGTGGCTTGCAAACGGGCTCAAGAAGCAAAATAAATCAGGTCAAAAGTCGTTACGCAGTGCGTTCCTGGATGACTGAGCAGATGTTTCTACCACGTCACGAACGTTGTTAAGTGGAAGAATCCTACGCCTGTATTTGATCCTTGTCGCCTAATGAAATCCTTCGCTTCAATATACGCTCATGGGTCGCTTTCTGCATCATGTTGTCGTTTTAGTTTTCTAGCGATAATCGCGTCTGCATAAACATTCGGGCGCAAAAAGCCTTGATTCTGTAGATTATCTGGTCCTAGCAATGCACCCAGAAGTCGGTGTTTGAAGGTTTCGAAGGGATGGAACGGGATTCTTCGCCGTTGATCGTCGGCCAATTCACGAACGTCGTAGTACTTGGGCTGTCAAGCATCCTGAGAATCCCAGAGGAAATATGTGCTTCGTAAAGATAAATGGACTCGCGGTCCGAAGCATTTGTCACAAACAAACGCGACTTTACCGCGCAGGGATTAGTTTGTGATCCAGGAAGATAGAGATGGGTCAGAAGACAGACGTACAAGATAATTAGTGACCTGCGAAGAATGAAGCAGTTGAATTGCCGGATTTTCTTTCGTGTTGCGTGAACCTCAATAAGTTATGCTTGAATGTTCTTGAGGCTCCTTCGCACTGTCCACGGCAGTGCTGTCCGTCCCCTCTCGTATTTGGTGCTGACATCAACTTCCCGGTGTTGGGAGTAGACGGCGTAGGATCCATGGCGACTGTAGAACAACGTGGTAGTATTGTTGCTTGTTTTCCTGAGAATATGGTTGTGCTTCGTTATTGAATTGACGGATCTCTTTGCGCCTGGCTGAGGACGGTTTGAAACCTGTCATAGAGCCTGAGATCCTCCTTCTCCCACGGTTTATCCAGTGGAAAAACCTCCTTTCGCAGCCGGTTAACCCATGGAATGAGGGCTTCATAATGGGAAGTGAAATTGTCTGTCGCGACCTTGAGGAAAATGGATTCCTTAGCCACAACTCCAAGTTTCATGCCAGCCAACTCTTCCATATCCGCGTAGTTCCATTTTTCGAACCTAGGCACAACTCGGCTACCATTCGACCCATCGTAATGTATGCATATCCAAAGAATAACCCAAAAGAAGGATTCCAAGTCGTGCATAAAGGAATGCCTCTCGCCCAGTAGAAGACCTATCGCCATGAACGCCCTTGTTCCTGTCTTGGCTCTCGCCCCGGAGGGCCCTTCGCGCTGTTCTCTGATGGCAAGGTCCAGATCAATGAGAAAAGCGGGCCAAGATGGGTTTTCTTCTTGATTCAAAATCAGATTTCCCGTCGAGATATCACCTTGCAACAGTCCAGCCTTCATATGCAGGGATTTGTAACCTTCTATACAGCTTTCCAGTGCAGAGAGCATGGAAATGGGCGATCTGGCCTTGTATATAGCTGTCCCATAATCACGCACGACAACACGACGATGAACCCGATTTGGCACATCAAGGTTTGCAAATTTCGAAGGGGAGCTTGAACAGGTGCGTTTACTGGCTGGCTGACCAGCGCCAGCATGGCTGGATGACCTCTTGCGGCCTACTGTGTTTGTTGGACGGCCCGTTCTTACCGTGTCCGCTGTGCTCGCAGACGGCGACCTTTCAGAGTGTGTCGGTCGGTAATTTGCAGCTTTCCTCACATCAAGCCCCCGGCGAATGTTGTCACGGATATTGTCAATTCTTCCGTCTACCCGGACTGTTTCATGGTAGTAATACCTAGCCACATTGACTACGCCCTTGGCTGCTGCTTCACGTAGAAGTTCCCCCTCTTCATCGCGCTCTGGATACTGCCAGGAGTCTTTGATCACTAGTGGTATGTCGGCCTCATCACCTTCGCGGTGAGCTTTCCAACACGTCGTAGCCCTACCAGCAACACATTGGGCGCGCCGCACAAGTTTATCAATCACAAGGCGTTCGCTCTGGCCGTCACGCACGATTTGTATATATCGTCTACCATCGGACGACGTAAGAATAGTAGGATCAAACCCGAGCCGTGTGTGATCCATATGCAAGAAACCAAGCATGGACAGGACGAACTGTTGCCCGTCTTCGTTGATATCGAATGGTGATGAAGCAATGACCCCAACGCGGTCGAACGCCCATAAGCGCATAATGGAACCACACAGCGAGAATCCTAATGCAAACAGCCTTGTGTCTTGGGCTGTTAGGACTTCCCTTGCATAACGCCCCAAATCATGCCACGTCCTCGACGCAGTATCTGCTTTCGCGTTGCTTTTCAATTCGCCCAATACCATGACATCCGACCAGCTATAATTGGTGTTACCGTCCGTTCTCTGGACAAATCCAACATCTAGCTTTCGATCAGCTTTTGATCCCCGCAAGGGTTGATTCGGCTGCGCCAAAATTGTACGAGTTGTAACTCTAGGAAGCCCGGCTTCGACCGCAAGGTCATGGAGAAGACGGACCTGTCCTCTCAGCCATTCTAAAACATCTTTCTCTTTAGCATTCACCGGCCAATGCTTCCAACCATTGTCTTCCTTAAACAGTGGCTCTGGTCCTCCCTTGCATTTCGCGTAGACGGTCGCAGCGGTATCCCGGAGGCCTTCCATTTGGCCAAAGAAAGCATCGTGGAATCCGGGTACACCGATATAGATTGGGCCGAGCTCCTCCTTTAGTATGCCGTCAAAATTGCTCCGATGCTCAGAAGAATTAACCAAACTGCTTGTCGTGTGTAGGAATGGTGTTTGATCAAGCACTGGTAAGGCTGACGGTGGGGGTGTAGATTCGCGGACAGTAGCATATAGTTGGTCCCAAATGATGTTATCCGATTGCTTATTCAAAACTGCGTTGAGTAGCGACTTGAATTGTTCTACCTCAAAATCATCGGAACTGATCAGAACATTGAGTCGTAAGAGATCGCTAAGTAGGTTTTTTCGGCCGTTCGCTGAAGGGAGCCTCCGCATGTCTGGTAGAGCTCGTAGTGCCGAAATCAAGTCAAGTATCAAGTTTTGAGTGTCTAGGATCGCCTTAGTTGCTGATTATTATGCCATTGCACGACGCAGTTGACGGGTACCTTCAGCGCCAAAAGAGTCCAAAGAGTCCAGTGTTACGGCCAGACCTAGGTTTTGGCATGCTTCCCGGAAACTGTTCCGAAATGCATCCAGATTTCTCCCAATAGGAGCTGCATTGCTTGTGTCTGGCCGCGTAAACGAACTGTTAGAGTAACGATCGCGCTTCGGTTCTTCCTCAGCGTCTTCTCGTGGTCGCTGCTCTTCTTCAGGTGGTTGTCGCTCTCTGTTGGGCCGCTGGCGCGATTGAGTTACTTCCTAATAAGTCGCCAGATCATTAGTAAAGTGGGACGTAGTTGTGTAGCTTAATGCCTTTGGGGAACGGGCCGCAATTCATTAAAAGGAGGAATACCTGATTCGGATACCTTTGACTGCCCTCACCCGGCGATTCGTCTTCAAATACGCGTGTAGACCGAAAATTGTCGACGGCTGCTATCTCTGACTGTAGTTGACTGACATGTTGGTTGGTCATTGTAAACAAGCGAGGTGGACAATTCCCTCTATTTTGAAACTCGGTATCTGAGGATGAGGTCCAAGCAAACAAGCCCAACTGTTTTCGGTGTCAAGGCAGGAAACATGCCTAACCTAAGATGGGTTAGTTCTTCCTTTTCCTTGCTCACGTGATAGATCACATGTGTGGAAGCGTGGGGTCTGGTATTCACCCACAGGACAGAAGAACCCATGTTCCGACAACAAGCTCTAGGGGCCCAGGTTTACCGCCAAGCTTGTTAAATTGCGCAGAAATCAGCTACAATACTCACTCGGCTCCTCAGTTCCCAACAACCTCCGTCCAGGCAGCAACATTCCTCGTGGCTATGCTAGGCGCCGGTATTTGAAGTGATGACTATAGGTAGCCGATCTCTGATCGATTCCCGTAAGTGAGCGGATACTAAGGTTTATGGTAGATGAGATAAGTAGGTGGCCCGAGGAAACTGAGGCAGGTGAGCCGGGAGTGAGAATCTTACCCCATCTATTCTTCACTCACCCTAATCTCATCCTAAACTCACCCGGGCGGCAGCCACCCGACTTCTATCCGCGTTGAAGCCACACGCCGGCTGGTTAGTAGTATGGTGGGTGACCACATGTGAATCCCAGCTGTTGTATGTTTTTTGTTTTTGTACTTCCTGCCTCCAGTCATTCACCCGAAGCCCTGAAGCCCTTTAATCTTCATCCACCTGGTTACCTAAATTCGATATTGGACTTGCCAAGCCCGCCCCGCGAAATCCGCCCATCCTGCCCCAACCTGCCAAGAATCGGGACGGGTTATGCTTTCTGATAACCCGCTGGGTAAGCTCAATAACAAGCCTTCTCGGCGCTGATAAAGTAATTTGTGAATCAGGGAGATACAGCTGCTGAAGGGGTGTCAGCTTATTTATGTACATATTGACGGGATTGTCTTGCAGATAGGTGGTTATTGGCTACCTTGTATTACACCATCAGGTTCAGTTTGATTCGATTACATGTAAGTTTTAACCTGATGGAGCCTGAGGATGTACTTGGTTCAGCCTGGAATGAACTTAAATAGAGCTGCGATTAATCCAGGTTCAGGTCCATCATCTGGAAGCTAAGTCAAACCACGCCGAGATCTAGGCATTATGTAGAATACGCAAGACATGTTGCTTATACACCGAAGGAAGGAGTAAAGCTTGTACTACTATCCGGTGGAATTAGACCAATATAACTTCATGTATCTTTCTGCGGGTTACCATAATGATTCCAACAACCAAAAGTAAGAGCATACCCGGCGGCTATCTCTGGAACAGTTGCGACAAATCAGGAACACTCACGTTCTCTCTCTTTCTTGTCAACCGGAGGAGGTTCCTCCTTACTAATGGGCTACCCTTCAGAATCAATGTCCTACCATACATGGTTAGAAACACAACACGACATCTCTTTGAGAAACTCACAAAGGGGGACGTCTGCAAGGCGCCCGGGGCCACTAGACGACGACAAGCAGCAACCCGAGACAAGAGGAGGTCAAGTTGCTCAATGAATGCAACAAGGCGAAGAGTGACAGCGGCATCACGAAGGATGGAGAGCTCGGTCTTAACATCCATCGCAGAGGTCAACAGAGGACAGAACACGGCGAAAACGATCCTCTGTACTGTCGCTGTGAAGGAACCAATTGCGCAGGACATTGTCGAGGGTATCACGAAGGCTCTCATCAGCAGAAGGTTGAGAAGGGATAGAACAGGCGAATGCCCGAAGACGAGGAACAGGGGGTGTGCGGCATTGTAAAGATGTCGAAAATCTGAGGGGTGAACTACCATGACAGTGAAGGCAAGGGTATTTATACATACAAAGGCGGACTGTGCCTGCGCTAGTGACCACAAAATTCTACAAGTGTTGATTGGTAACATAGGCGAGACAATGGCGAAAATAAAAGCACAGGAATGGCGTTGAGAAAAGGAATTGATGGTGAAGATGGATGAGATTTAATTGTCCCTGAATTGGTGAGAACGACATACATTTCGAGACACGAATTACCCCAGAGATTTGCGCAAGAAATTCGGTCCCTTTCCGCGTGCCAATGGACCCACTCACCGCCTTACATCTTGGTAACCCGCAGGGCGCGAGATCGCTGGCGCCATTTACCAGAAGCACATCACAACAGCGATCCAACCTAGGCGTAACACCTGGGGAAAGATGCCTCAACAAGACACCCTATATCTGGTACTACTAAGAGAGAGAAAGAGGTGTTAACTGTTATAAAACCTGATGTTGCGCCCATGACATATGTGAGCGAAGCTCAGAGATTAGTTGCGGCGGGCAAGAGTGGGGTAAGGTTGGTAGCCACAGCAATTACTCAGCACTAATTGTGCGGAAGATAAACAGGATTTCCTCGACCGCTCTGCGGACGCGCCCGCGGCCACGACTATATTTACACTTATCTCTTTCTCTCTCTGCATTTGTTTCAGGACAAACTTCCCTTTTCGCCATCTTGACACTGGTTACTTATTCGACAGTGAGTAGAATGTCTCAACAGGAGATAGAGAAGCTGCGCCGACGTTTGGAGAACGAACAGCGACTGCGCGAAGAAGAACAGCGACTGCGAGAAGAAGAACAACGACTACGACAGCAAGCCGAGGAGCAGCTGAGGCTTCAGATTCAGAACACTACACTTCCCGAATTCCTCAATGCCTGCCATTCGCATTTATTTCTTAGTTTAAAGATCCAGAGAGACAAAGACTCGTCGACAAAGGGCAATCCTGCGAACGCCGACCGTAAGCTCCGCCCAGCTAGGATTCAAGAGTGGACCAACTTTCCGGACGAACAAATTTTAATATGGAACGACCTAATGAATACTGATTTTACGACTGAACGCTATTTTACACCTCTAGTGGTATTGACGGAATATAGAAAAGAAGTGCGAGGGAGAATACTCAGTTCAGAGCTAGACCTGAGTTACTTTGAATGGCTAATAGTTAAATCGCGTGTCGCTTCCATGGTCCAGCAGCTATATACGAATCCCCAACTTCAATAAACCTTCAATCTGAATGGAGATATCACTTTTGAAAACCACGCCAACACCCTAACAGATGATTCGACCATAGCGGCGGATATGAGCTCTCTAAGCCTGAGCCAGATGCACCCTCGTCACTCCAGCCGCTTGGCTGCAAAATCGGCCAGTGTTGGTGCTTCAGCCCAAGCAAAGAGAAGCCAGAGGGCAGGTCAGCCTAGGTCCAGACCTCGAGCAGATCAGTTCTGTGTCTATAATAAGGGCCTGGGAGGGAAGGTCCCGGCATTTATCATCGAGTACAAGGCACCCCAAGGTTCAGGCTCCCAAGGTAAGACCCGGAAATATTGCTCTCAGCAGTGCCTTTTGGGCTTGGCCAAGAGAGGAAAACTAGATCGGCAATGTCCGAATGTATCAGATCATGGGGTGGATCGACATCTACTGACCGCAGCGGACCTTATTCGTCGTTTAGACCAACAATTTTTCAACGACAATCAGCAGCTTGACACACGGCTAGGGTGCGAGTCGTTGCATGTGCACGGGAGTCGCGGGGCGCTTTTTAAAATCACATTGTGGTCCCATGGGTACACCTTTGTGGCAAAAGGCACACCAGTCGAATTTGTTACAGGCTTGGAAAATGAGGAGCTTATTTACTCACGCCTTTCTTCAATACAAGGGAGATACATTCCAGTGCTACTTGGCAGCCTGAAACTTCGCCACCCATTCTCCTATGATGGTATTGCCGAGATTGTCCACCTCATGTTCATGAGCTATGCCGGCAAAACCCTTGCAAACTGCCATGATTCTGATCGCTGTCAGCTTATGCAAAAGGCCGAGAAATCCTTGCAGGAGATTCACAAACTCGGCGTGCTTCAAGGTGATCCGATACCTGGCAACATGGTCGAGGAAAATGGTAGGGTGATGTTCATTGATTTTGAGCGGGCAACGCTGCAGCCCCCACGAGCACCACTTGGAGGTATTTCACATAATCACACACGCGGGCAAGTAAAGGGCCCAAAAGGTCACAGTCGTCATGACTGTTTCGATCGCGAGAGACAACGCATGAGACGTGGACTATACTAATGAGCCAATTGATCCTTAAACCCTGTAAATAGGAGGCTATTCCGAGCTTGCTATTATTAAGAGAAGAGGGTCAGAACAACAAGGACGGTTCTTATATACTGGGAATTCACAGGTCCTCGCTTTACAATGACAACAAATCGCTCACCCGCACGATGGACCCCTTCCGCATGGACTCGTTGGCCGCGATGCCGGTGGCAATCGACCACGCCCCATCCACGTGTGATGCAGCCCTCCCCAAGGGATCAGCGCCTGGTGTTCCAAACAGATCCCGCAGTAGCTGAGGATCGCCTCCCCCATGGCCTCCCTCCCCGGCGGGCACGTCGATTTCTACTGGCTTCCCAAACATAGGCCGCAGGAGAATGGACCGACGGTCAAGAGCGCCCTCCAGGGCCTGCTCGCCCCCCGAGTTGACATATGACTGCTCTACCACCTCGACTTCGAGGCGCCCTTTGCTCCCAGTGAAGTTCACCCGGAATCCTTCCCATGGGGCATAGGCCGTTAGGCTGTAGGTCAGCACCGCGCCGGACTGATACCGCACCATCACCCCCATGGTATCTTCGATGCTGATGCCATCCCCAAACACGCTCTGATCTCGGTAGTACCCATCCTCCCATTCGGCATCGGCGTATAGTGCCTTCAACTTCTCATTACCCTCGAGATCCAACGAGAACGGGTCTTCCTTGGCCACCTCACTCCCTCGGGACCGCGAGTAGAACTGCGTTTCACCCCGTCGCTCGGCATTTTCTTTGCCATAAAAGCGCAGATCTCCCATGGCAACCACCGTCTCAGGCCGGGTTCGCAACCAGAAGTTTACCAAGTCGAAATGGTGAGTCGACTTGTGCACCAGGAGCCCACCGCTGTTCCGCTTGTCGCGATGCCAGCGTCGGAAGTAGTCCGCGCCATGCGAGGTATTCAGTACCCACTCAAAGTGCACTGCATTCACCTCCCCGATCGCCCCGCCGGCCAGTAGCTCCGCGATGCGCGTATTGTGGGGCGCATACCGGTAGTTAAACGTCACTCGAATCTGGCGCTGGGTGCGTTCTATGGCATCGAAGATCTGCCGGCAGCGAGGGGCATCGATGGTCATGGGCTTTTCGGTGATGACATTGCAACCCAGCTCAAGCGCACGCACGATGTATTGATGGTGGGTACGGTCGATGGTGGTCACGATCACCTCGTCCGGCCGGGTCTCCTCAATCATCCGGTCAAAGTCCCGTGCGTGGTAGGTCGGGATCGAGTCATAACCCATCTCTTGAATCCGCGAGTTCGCATAAGCCAGGCGAGTGGTGTTGGTGTCGCAGAAGGCGACGAGCTGAGCGGTACTGCGAAAGTCGCGCACGATGGCTGTGTAGAAGAACATGGCGCGGCCGCCGGTGCCGATAAGCGCGTATTTCTTCATTGTGTGACTTGGGAAGAGGTGAGGTGGAGGTTACAATGGGTTTGCACGGAAACACCAATCTGTCCATGGATCGAATTGGGTTTATATGCGATCGGGCAATGCTCGCCCGAACCGCAGATCGGGCACCCCCGCACCCACATGGACCTCCTCTGGGCAATTTCGCTGCCGGAATTTTTCCATCAACCGGATTTCAACCGAGATGCGGGGAAGGCTGGGGTCGAGGAATCCGGGGTAAACTGGCAGATCAGGCGACGAAGGAGGTGATGCGATAGCCGCGGCAGTCCTCTGCCCAGCCCACTGCCCAATCCCGTGGTTTTCGTCGGTTTATCCCCGTCCGAAGGTCGATAAATACACGGACGTCGCCGAACGGCTGGCTGGCTTCCAGACATTCCAGCGCATCTGACCATGGCCATCCCTGCTGAAGATCCTCATGACGCCATCACTACTGTCTCACCCCCGGGCCGTGGCACTGGGAGAGAGAAGGCGGCCGACTTTCTAGCAACCGTCAACGAAGAGCAACGGACCTTCACACCCGAGGAGGAGAAGGCGGTTCTCCGTCGCATTGACTGTCGGATCCTTCCTCTTCTGCTCGGGGCGTACTTCTTCCAGCAACTGGACAAGTCAACGCTTTCCTATGTGTCCATCTTCGGCCTCGTCGAGGATGCCCATCTACACGGCCAGCAATACTCCTGGCTGGGGTCCATCCTGTACCTTGCCCAACTGGTCATCCAACCTCTGGCGGCTCTGCTGCTAGTCAAGGCGCCCACTGGGAAGCTCATCGGTACGGCTGTGTTTCTGTGGGGGAGCTCGTTGGCTATCATGGCAGCGTGCACGAACTTTGCCAGCCTTCTGGGGCTGCGGCTAACCTTGGGGGTGTTCGAGGCCATGATCGGTATGCTTCTTCATCCAGCCCAACGGGATGAAGGCTAACAGGATAGCACCCTCGTGTGTGGCTGTGACGCAAATGTGGTGGCGTCGAGGCGAACAGACTTTGCGAACAGCGCTGTGGAGTGGAATGAATGGGGTCACCTTTGTGGTATGCTAGACACTGACCGCCGTCGAAGACTGACGTTGTTGACCATTGCAAGGTCGGAAGCCTCTTCACGTACGGCCTGGGTCACATCCATAGTGACACTTTGTTTTCCTATCAGGTCGGTCTGGAGTCATCCCGGCTTACACAATTGTCGTCTAATGCAGCCCTATGGTAGATCATCTTCATGTTCTGTGGACTCCTCACCGTCGCCTATTCAACTCTCGTTCTTATCTTCATGCCCGACTCCCCCATGGAGGCCAAATTCCTGAGTGAGCGCGAGAAGGTGATCGCTGTGGAACGCCTCCGGGCCAACCAAATGGGGATCATCTCCCGCGAGTGGCGGTGGGACCATGTCTGGGAGGCAGCATATGACCTGAAGACGTGGCTTTGGTTTCTGTTGATTGTCTCCATATCGTACGTTCTCCATCCCTACAGCAAGGTCACGCTTGGTGCTAACCTGCGTAGGATCCCCAGCGGCGGCATCAGCACGTTCGGCAACCTCATCATCGAGTCCTTCGGATACGGATCTTTCCAGACCATTCTCTTCAATATCCCCTTTGGCGTTATCCAGATAGTCGCCATTCTGGGTGGAGGCTGGCTGGCTACCCGCTTCCAGCGCAAGGGATTGGTCATTGCCGGATTTGCTGCTATTTCTGCTGTCGGTACGCTGTTGATGCTTGTCGTGCCGCGAGAACAGAAAGGCGTTCTTCTATTCGGGTACTACTTGGTAGGACTCTCCCTTGCCAACATTGCGTTATGCTGATACCGGTCAGGTGTCGTGTCTTGCGGCCATCACCCCGCTGGTCTATGCGTGGGAGGCGCAGAACACGGCCGGCGACACCAAGCGAAAATGCACGTCGGCGGTGGTGCTGATCGGGATGTGTGCGGGCAACGTACGATTCCTGCTTCCTGCGTGTTTGCCTCAATACTAATGGGCTTAGGTTATTGGTCCTCAACTTTACTCCACCTCGCAGGCACCTCTTTATCGCCCCGGGCTCATCTCCAATCTCATTCTGTTTATACTAGTGGGAGTCCTTGGGATGTGAGTATCCATCAGTGTAGTGAGAACGAAACTAACCCGCGCAGCCTCATCAACCTATACCTCATCTACCTGAATAGAAAGCAGGCACGGAAGAGAAGAGAGTTGGGCAAGTCCGCGCAAATTGTGGATGAGTCCATGCTCAGGAAAAAGACCGTAGAGCAGGGCAAGGCGCTCGAAGTGGAGGATGTGAATGCGCCAGCAGCTGAAGGGGCCGACAAAGGGTTCTCAGACACCACTGATTTGAAGAACGAGGATTTCATTTTTGTATATTGAGATCTCTTTTGGTGGCATGTTGTCTTACGCCCTACAAGTGTGATGATTTGGAGTGGTGGCACCTTTTCATGCTGGCTTATGGTGCATTTGCAACCTATCTTTCCCACTAGATTCCCCGATCTCCGTCATATAGTACAACCCTTATGCTGGCCATGACACACATCGTGCACCTTACCAGGTCCCCTACGGGCACCAACCCTAGACCCTCAAGCCGAGCTGCAGCTTCCACTGTTGCAAACCAAGTCATCGGAGCAGTCGTTGTCCGAGGAGCAGGAAGCACCTACATGATCAGCGCAGTCCGTCAGTCAATCAGGCATCCACATACCTTCGCAGTGTCCCTTCCAGGAACAGGTCGGCTGAGCAGCCGCCGAGCCGGAAGCGCAGGTTCCACTCTTGCAGACCAGGGCGTCCGAGCAGTCATTGTCGGATGAGCAAGAAGCACCCTGGCAGTGGCCCTCCCAGGAACAGGTGGCTGTCGCGGTGGCAGCACTAGTCGTCAGTGTGGTCTTGGACGCCACCGATCCCGAGCTGCAGACTCCACTGCTGCAGACGAGGTCGTCGGAGCAGTCGTTGTCGGAGGAGCATGTAGCACCTATATAATCAGCTCCGTTCAGTCGATCAGTCTAGACTCCACGTACCTTGACAGTGTCCCTCCCAGGAGCAGGTCGAGGATGACCCCGAGCCAGAGCCAGAACCAGAGCCAGAGCTGGACCCCGACAGCCCCAGCTTAGAGGCAAGAGCACCGACAAGCTTGTCGCCCATGGACCGCAGGGTGCTAAAGTTGGTAATGTAATTGTTGTTCAAGGCACTGCTAGGCACAACGGCGTCCTTTCCGGTGAAAACGATGTCTAATTCCATTAGTTCACTCATTCAGGTCCGATCAAAGAGTACATACAAGTCACATCAGCAGGGACGTGGCCATTCGCACCGTCGAGGTCCTCATTAGGGAAGCAAGTGCGGGCCATCAGCCAGGAGGCTTCGCCGGTGACCTCGGGGTTGTCGCCGTTCGAGTCACCCAGGATACCGTAGTACATTTTGCCGTTGCTGGGATTGTCAGAGTTGCGCCGTTGAATTACTAACGGGGAATAATGTGGCACTCACCAGATCACAGCAGCGAGGTTGTTACCCGGCAAAGCCTTTTCGTTGGCCTTGAGGAAGTGGTCGGGGATGACGATCCAAGGTACCTCGTAGGCCGCCAGGGCTCCCCAGTTGGTGCCCGGTTGGCCGTCACCGTTTCCCTGGGTATGTCAGTATGCCCTGGGGATCATGGGGGCAAGGGATCTCACCTTGCAGTGATAGTCCTTGCCATCACAGTCGACATCCATATCAGCGACCCAGCTGAAAGAGGCACCCTTCACCACCATTAGCGATCTTCCCTTATTCATGGTGGATGGGACAGTCATACCTCGCTGAAGCTCGCCCAGTCGCTGTGAATGGTCGACAGGGGAGAATTTTTGTCCGTGTTCACTGGATAAGTGGCCTTCGCTGGCACGACACTGGCCTTGGCTGCGGCGGCTTGCAGCGCTGAGACAGGCAGGGTCGTGGCCGCAGCGAAGAAGCTGGCCGGAGGGCCCGCATTAGGGTGGTCGTATTTAGATCCGTCTACGGACTGGGCCATGCTGGAGCCGGCGAGAGCCATGACGGCCAGGTTGAGGGTGGTTTTGAGGGCCATGGTGAGGGGTCCGACTTGGATGAGATGGTTGGATGAATGAAGTGATGATGATGATGATGATGATGATAACACAGATTTACTGGGCGGTTGCGGACTTTATATCCGCAGCTTCAGAATTCCGTCTTAAAATTGCAAGTGAGGTGACTTTCTCTCACTTCAGCTTTTCGGCGCCATGTGGATTTTGGCCCCCGACTATCAGGGTCCGGCATGGGCCATGCATGGAATGTCTCAGGGACAAGGAACTAAGACTTGAGCGACAGCCCCAGCACACCTGCAAGTGGACTATATCATCCTGCAGATGATCGTTGCAGATTATTGCTTTTGAAACTCCGGCGGAATCCTGTCCCACTCATCGGGAAGATAATACGCCCCGATGCGTGCTGCGATGAGTGTTTGTACTAAGAGCGAATTCCTGTTTCGGTTAGTTCGAATAGATGCATAGATTGAGCGTTGCCTAGATTATAATTTCATTCAATTAGAGAGTCGTAGAACTGCCTAGAAGAGGCAGGTAGTTCCTATGCTCGCCTGCAGGGAGCGATGGGGCCAGCTAGATAGGACCACCCATAACACGAAATCCTATACCTGCTAAATCGTAAATCCCTCGTCTGGTTACAGTTCAGTCTCCAACTGTCTCAATTACCTTTCAAACTATGTTAGGGTTTGAACCTGTCAACCCAGAGCTGGGAGCCGGCATTTTGCATATCTGTACAGATGACTCCGCATCGGAGGTAGATCGGACTCCCCTACCACAATGCAAAACCAAAGAATAGAATAGCCGACCTAATAGACAGTCTAAGGATGCAGCAAGTGAAACAAGTCGTCGACCGATCCAATAGATAACGGCGAGACCAGCACGGCGAGCAGGGCCCAAGCACGGGCCACACGTGGGCTGATCCTACTTCAAATTCACGCCCTTTACCGGCAAACGGTGCCGAATGCCCTATCTTTCTACCTATCTACATCCGAGGAGTAAACAATCCTACACGTCCGACCCTCCATTCTGCCCTTTAGCTGACACCACATGACACAATTAGTATACCTCAGCTCCCCTTTCCGCCCGAACCGTTTCATCTACGCCGTTAGACCCTGTCCATCATCTGCAGGAACCGCCATACCTGACACCCTACCTTCCTATTTCCTACTTCCTACATAACGGGAGCAAGTACTACTAACAAACTGAAGTAATTCCCCGACCAATCCCCGTCCACTTTGAATCCCCCGGCAAGTCGAGCGACCAGTTGCAGCCGGCAGGATTCGACGAAGGATTGGGAATACGAACCTGAGGGCGGTGGGGGCCATACTACATACAACACTAGGAGAGGAGAAAAGGTTCTGAGTATGAAGGAGACCGGTTGGTACTCCAAAGTTGGAGTTGGGGTTGGAGTTAGAGAGAATAGGTATGTTGGAGGTTGGCCACGTGGGCTATCTGATCGCTGGATGACTCTTGTTGGTGGTTGTGCCCGGGGAGGAGATAGGGAGGATGAGGGCGAGAGTAAAAATAGATCCACGGTCGAGGGGCGGGATGTCTTTCCTGAACCCTGGGCTGACCGCTTGCTGTATTTGGCTGTGTCAGGCAGTATTTGGGACTATACCTAGTTAGGGTGCTCAGCTGTGCAGCTATTCCCGATTCAGACATAGGTATTTGAACGGCTGAAGAGGACCAATCCGGTATGAGGGTCAGGATTGAACATCACACGGGCGCGTTCGTTGTATATAGGGCAGCTATTTAGGAGTGTGAAACAGCTTGAGTGATATTGAATACACGTTTAAGAGAATTGGCCATACAGGCATAAAACCGTAATATTATCCTTTACTTCGGCGCTTACAGAGTGCGGAGTACTATGGCAAGATATATATATAGTCAACACCACGTTCCAATAACTAAGTACTCCACACATAGCGGAGTGTGTCATCTACAGAATTCAAATTAAAATTGGATGAGAGGGGGATAACAATATCTCATCCTATCGTGATTTCCACGATCTTTCATGTTTTATTTCGTTAATTCTCCAACGAGTTCCTTGTCAGGTGAAAGTTGAATTTTTCTGAGATAGAATGGCATACTTTCCACAGCATCAGAAGCCGGCATACTCCATAGAGACGCTAAGAAAGTAGAGAGTAGACACAGGTGGTGATGTCTGGCTAAGCAGTGGTTCTGTAAGCAGAAGCTACAGTGCATACAACATGCAGACAGGATTGCTACGACTACGAAACAGCAGCAGAGTCGGTGTTCAAGCAGCTTGATGTATGGATGATAACGATCCAAATCTAAAATAACATTTGTCTATCATCCTGGCAAACATGCAAGCGAAAGTTTTGGGGAAATATATATCACGAAGAGAAGACCAAACACCAATCACACTCGGAGCGCCCACCGAGAACGCCTACGCGGGATTCATCCCTTACAAGGCAGCAAGGGCGAGGAAGACGGCCACAACGGCACCGAACATGGAGCCGGAGACGCTGCTGGCACCGCCGGTGTACAGGGCGGAGGAAGCCGCGGCGGCCGAGCTACCCGAGGAAGAGGAAGACTGGCCCGAGGTGGCAGAGGTGCCGGTGCTACCGGAGCTGCCCGAGCCGCTGGAGGAGCCGCTGGAGGAGCCCGAGGAGATGACACCGGAGGAGGGACGAGCGGAGGCGGAGCCGCTGGGGCGGGCGGGGTAGGTACCGTTGCCGTAGGCAGTGCCGTTCACACCACCACGACCGACAGTGAAAGTGGGCTTGGCACCAGCGGCACCAGCGGCAGAGGTGGCGAAAGCGGAGGTCTGGGAGCCAACGGCCTTGCTGCCGGCGGAGGCAGTGGCGGACGAAGCGCTGGCGGAGGTGGACGAGGACGAGGTGGAGTTGCAAGACAGGTCAAACAGGGGAGTGGTGCTGAGGGTGCTGCCGACGATACCGAAGCTGGGGTTGGGGGTGGTGGTGGTGGAAGCATCCTGCAGGATGTACCACCAGGTGTTGGTGTTGCCGAACAGAGGGCAGCCGACCTCGTCCCAGTAGATCTTGGCGTTGGCAATGGAGGCAATGGCCTCACCCTCGGAGTCACCGCTCACGGGCCAACCGGTCTCGGTGATCCAGACCTCCTTGTCACCCGCCACGGACTTGGTCTTCTCGACGGACTCCTGGAAGAGCGCCTTGGCGTCATCGATGGAGTTGGACATGCTGCTCTGGAAGAAGGGGTAGCCGTCAAAGCCCAGCCAGTCGACGGCATCAACCACGCCGGAGTTGGAGCTGTTGGTCCAGGAGTCCCAGGTGTCGACGTGACCAATGGGGGCATCGGCCAGGGCGGTACCGGCGATGGCCTCACGGACCTCCTTGATGTAGGTGACGAGCTCATCGGGGTTGACACCGACACCGGCGTCGGCCTCGACACCCTCGACGGAGTTGCGGTAGAGATCCTCACTGCCGACGGAGATACCGACGACGAGCTTGCCGAGTTCTTCGCCGTAGGTGGCGATGGCGGACTTGAGGGCGGTCAGCTCGTTGTCCATGCCACCACCCGAGGCCCAGAGACCGAGGAGCAGGGAGGTATCCTGGGCGATGGCGGCGGGGATGGCCTCGATGACATCGCTGGTGCTGTAGGCTTGCTGGGTCAAGTTAGCAGGAGGCTCCTGTCGTGGGGGAGTTCATCAAGGCTTACGATCATGGTGTAGAGACGGGCGCTGGTGAAGCCGGAGGTGCCGACCAGGGTCTTGGCGACCTTGAATTCCTCCTCGAAGTCGGCCTGGAACTTGGAGCTCTCATCGGCCTTCTTGTTGCCGTAGTTGAAACCCTGGTAGGCGGCCTCGACGGTCGCGAGGGACATGGCGAACGCCGCCAGCTGGGCGAGCTGCATCTTGGACAGCATCTTGTAAGGAATGTAAGGGGTAACGAAGGGATGTGATTAGGTAGAGAGAGTGGGTGTCAAAAGAACGAATGTAAGGAACAAGGGTGATTGAAAAGCAACCCGAGTTCTGTGATCAAAAATGGGGGAAGGAAGGAAGATGAGGGGAAGAAGAAGAGGAGAGGAGCGTTCGGGAGGAGAGGAGAGGACGGCGGAATAATAAGGGAGGCAAGCGTGGGATTCTAGACCCTGCTCCAGCCGGTGTTGGCTGCACCCGGAAATTCGGCAGCCCCGTCATCCATGGGGCTTCCAGGAGATGCTCCCAATCAATGCTGTGCGTGCCTGGACTTGGCCCGCCACTCCACTGCTGCCCGGTGGGTCGGTCTGCCACAGTGGCTGCCACATGGTCCAATCAGGAATGTGCGTGGCGAAATGACAAAAGACCGCAGTGGGTCCGACGGCCTTGGCCTTTGTTGGTTGGTCTGGGCCGGGGGGCCAGGAAATTGACACCGCCGGGGGGTGGCGGCGAATGGGAGGGGCGTCTCCCCTGGCTGCAACGGGACCATCGGCCAATCGACTCGAGGTGCCCCTCCCGATGACCCAAAGTGACTCGGATAAAAATAGCAAGCTATTCTTAGGGCCAATGCTTGTTCTTCACTAGCAGTCCAGAGTCATCTCCGTACTACTAATAATATTCCCTACTAGTCGTTGGTAATTCCACTACTATCCCGTCGACACATTCGAGCCCCTGCCCCTGATTCTCTTGCACCCTGAGGGGTGGAGGGAGCGGAACGGGGGGACAACGGAAGAGGGGGCTCGAGGCGGGCGGCCTCTCATCGAGACATTCCTCGGGGGTGACATCGAAACCCTGGTCTGCATGCTGCCAATCTCCAGGTTTAATGACGGGTTTCCATAATTGGCTCCGATGACGCGGTCAGGCAGAAGTCGATGCAGGAACCAGGCTGGACAGGCATGAACAGGGGTTTCCCCGCAACTTTGACCTAAACTCCTTCCGGCGACGTTTGGCTGACCGCTGCATCCTCTCGTTGTCACCTTGCATCAGCAGCCGATCGGGGGGATCAGAACCGGAGGTATCATCTGTCGGAATTGAAACTGAAACTCGACCCCAACAGTTGCATTCCAGGCAAGGCTGACTCCACGCGGGTTTCCGATCCCGTCATTCCTGATCTCACAGCTTGTCCCCCTCGATCGTGTCCCACCCGTCCTCGATCTGTACGACGGAGAGCAGTGCACGACTGCCTTTTGGTTCGGTCGCTCGGGCAATTATGGATGGATGTCCGTGCCTGAATCGGGCTTCTCTACTTGACCATACGCTGTCGAAGGGCACTCGGATGGAGGTTGGGTTGATCCGACCGGGGGGCCTTGCTGACCAGGTCACTGTGTTTCATCGCCAGAGACGAAGGATCATAAATAAGCCTTGGCCCCAAGAGTCAGCCAAATTCGAGCTTCAGAGCAGCAGACGCTTCCTGGGACGTATGTCGAGTCAGCTTTGGACAGGAATTCACTTTCACTTGCCAGCTGCACCTCTTCCCAGCCCTTTCCGGTTTTTGAGGGCTGCCATCCGTGTTTGATGAGTAGTAGACGAGTCTCTGACCCGTTTTCATGCTGGCATATGTCTCCGAATGCGGTGAGCGATCTTTGCTGACTTAACTGCACCAGAGAAAAACTACATGTGGTGATCGAGGAATCCTCATCAATATCGCCGTGGTATCAGAGATGCCGGCTTGATCGGTATCATAGGGAGGGGCACCGATAAAGTGCCTCTGAAAAAGATGCGACCGTGAAAATCGCCAGTTTGACTTACCGCTACCAGATATGAGACTTATTCATGCCCCACGCAACAACTTTGGAGAACACGATACTGGGGATCATTTGCAATACTTTGCCGAGACCCGGTTGTTTACTATGAGGCATCCAGTTTGTCCGTATCGCAAATCACTACTCCGTAGTGGGAGTGACCCGATATATTTGACTGGCAGCCTTGAGCCATCGACTGAATACACACCCGCAATATGATTGCCAACTACTTCTCGGATCATCGCGCCGTCAAATGCTGTCGAATGCTACAGCTCCCTGTGTGCCTCTCCAGTTGTCCAAGTCCTGCAGGCTTTCCGGTGGGATGCGATGATAATTTGGTGCTATGTTACTATCCTCGTTTTTGGTCCTTTTGAGAATCTTTCCATCGGTACTGCGACAGCACGAAGGTCTAGGCTGGCTCTCTATCTTTTCGATGGCTTTGAGATAGTTGCAGGAGGCAATGAGGAGTTTCGATGGGCCATAAGCAGCTGCTCTGGCGGCCTGGAATTTTTAATCCGTAGGATGGCCGAGTTTGGGCCGATGTCTACGGAGTACATTGCTATGGGATAAAGATTCTCACCTTTCTCGACAGAACCATTGGCACGTTGACTACCTGCGGACTGAGCGCAGGACAGCAACCCAATCTGCAAGGACCTACTCATCTGAAGGAATAAGAATCACAGATCCTACCCAACGATGGTACGCAAGGGTGTGAATGCGACCTGTCCGATCGCGGAGAAAGTCGCAGCTTCTCTTCACTTCTCTCTCTCTGTCTCTCTCTCTCCCTGTTTTTTTTTTTTTTTTTTTTCCTTTTCAATGTGTACCGTGATCCACAGATCCATTTGGAATGGCATTGTCACGACAAAGGATACGCAGCTCCTCCTGCGTGTGGAGTACAATCCCGTCGAAAGGCACTGCGGCCTGAGGCCATATGGCGCCAACCCACTCAGGCATTAAGGCACCAAGGCACCCAGGCACCCAGGAATCGAGCACCCGATACCGGGCTCGTCACGTGCTGCCGGGTTTCTCGGAGGGTCTCGCCTCGCAGTCTCCCCACAATTGCCAACTTCCTTCCCAACTTTCAACTCCCGAGGCTTCCTGAAAACCCTACAGTGCCACAGTGGGTACCTGGATGGAACCTGGGTTTGATGTTCACACCTGAAACTCCTTTTCAGAAGGGGCTTGGCCATTTAACTTTCGCTTCAACGTCGGATCCTAGGTACATCCCCTCCGACAGCCAGCAATGACTGCAAGGCGGAAAACATGGCCCGAGGATGGCGGGAGCACGTGATGGGAGCCAGTGCTGGTAGAGCTGTCATCACGGCCACACCCGTCTTACGAATTCGAGAAGACTTCCAAGCCGAAGAGCAGAAGAGAAAGATCAACACCCACTGCTAGGAAGCCACGAGAATTATGGTGGGAAGGAAGTCGTTATGTTGCAGCATCCAGTGGTTTATATGGTGCGCGGTGGACCCGCGGATCGTCAGCCTCTAGATACGAAACGGAGCTAGAACCAGAAGCGAAGTACACCATTGGTGATAGCACTCAGTCAAATTGCGGGAGTACGTCATTCCCTGGAGACATTGATTAATGTGCGCCCATTGAGTTCCCTATAGCATGCTGCCGTTAGACACAAGAGGTGCTCGGACTATCTCGCATGAACATGTTCAGCCAAAAGTACAACTGCAATTGACGATGTGCCTGGCGGATCAGCGCATGCCTCTGTTGTCACAATGCTGCGTACTTGGGATATGATGATCCAGATTGTCCGAGTCGACACAGCTGGAGTATCCGTAGAATCTGCTGCATCCTCCATGGATGCTTAATTTTACGCTGGCAAGTGACAATTGAGATTGCCTAGGATCTGGGGTCACGATCGGGCAGATCGCATAGGAGATGCCCTTGACACCATGGCTGTTTATACCGAGTCCATGGTTTTGAACAGTGCATTATGGGTGAATCCATGGCTGTCGCTCACTCCTACACATTCCCACAAAGTGCCTCTTCCCAGGTGTCGTACGACTGCCCTCTTAACGAAGCCCGGCCGCTCCCGACCTATATAATTCAAACACCCGATTGCAGAACATTAGCTAACTCCGACCTGGATTGATTGATGGGAGGGATTCAGGCCCGCCGGGTCAGCCCACGGGGTCGATAGATTGGCTGACCGTCCATGCCGGGCAATCTCAGCCGAGATACCTTCAGAAAGTAGAAGCAGGGCGTCGTGCTGACCACCAGAAGGGACCAGGAGCACGACCAGGAGCCATTGCCGAGTCTCCCGGATAATTGATAAGCGAGAGACGCGGCGGAGACTTTCACCTTTGTGGAAGATGATCGACGGAACCCGGCCTAGTGCGTTTCAGTGCCCGTTAAGCTTAAACCCCAGGTATTCAACCCTCCAGGCATTCACCAACCGTCTTATCAGCAGCTGCAGGATGCAACGGTCGTACCTGCATGAACTCGTCATCCTTGGTTCCTCATCATCACAATAGATGGCTCCGCTGCAGGCAACTGTCAGGCTTAACCCTTTGTGGTGCATCGCCGAGGTCGATCCCTGCTCGGTTGCATCCGAACCGGCGGACTGCCGCTTTCATCAATTAACATGAGTGTTTCAAAGCGCTCACGGGTGGGGAGACTTACGTTGCCAGCTGCCGCTGCAGAGCCACCAGATGCAAATTGGGTGCATATATAACGAGAGTCAAACCCCAGCAGTCCATCTTCCATTCACACCAGTCTCTCTTTCAACCAGTCCCTCCTTACCTCTGGTCTTTCCTTCATCATGTCCAAGTTCCTTCTTTGGACCGTCTCTGCGGCGGCCCTCGCGCGTGCCGCCACCCTCGAAGAGGTTTGCACTACGGCCTATGCGAAGGCCGCCGTGCCCGTCTCCGGCCTGGTGCCGGGGGTGGTGACCAGCCCTTCCAGCGTCACGGCTGCCCCGGTCTACAATGAATCCACTGCCGGTTCCAACTACTACCCGGCCGGAACCTACGACTACTGCAACATCACCATGACCTACTCCCATGCCGGCAAGGATGACAGCGTCCTGCTACAGTTCTGGATGCCCACTCCCGATGACTTCCAGAACCGTTGGGTGTCCACTGGTGGTTTTGGTTTCGCCATCAACGTCGCCTCCAACGTCCCCGCTGGTCTCCCGTACGGTGCCGTTGCCGGTCGTACCGACGGTGGCTTCGGCAGCTTCGACACCCAATTTTCCTCGGTGTTCCCTCTTGTGAACGGCACGGCCAACTACGACGCTCTCTACATGTTCGGCTACCAGGCCCATCACGAGATGTCCTCCATCGGCAAGGCCTTCACCAAGAACTTCTACAGTATGACTGACAAGCTCTATGCCTACTACCAGGGATGCTCCGAGGGTGGCCGTGAGGGCTGGAGTCAGGTGCAGCGCTTCCCCGAGGAATGGGATGGCGCCGTCATCGGAGCCCCCGCGATCCGCTATGGCCAGCAGCAGGTCAACCACCTGGTGCCCCAGGTCGTCGAGCAGACGCTCGACTACTACCCCGAGAACTGTGCCTTCTCCGAGATGGTGACCCTGATCATCGACGCGTGCGACGAGCTCGACGGCCGCAAGGATGGCGTCATCTCCCGCACTGACCTCTGCCAGCTCAACTTTGACCTCAACTCGACCATCGGCAAGCCCTACTCCTGCGCCGCCAGCACCAGCATGGGCGTCACCACCCCGGCCCAGAACGGCACCATCACCGCAGAGGCTGTCAAGGTCGCCCAGACCATCCTCGACGGTCTGAAGGACTCTGAGGGCCGCCAGGCCTACTTCTGGTACCGGATCGGCTCGGAGTTCACCGACGCCGAGACCTCCTACGACTCGACCACGGGCACCTATGGCATTGATATCTCTGAGCTGGGTGGTGAGTGGGCGACCCACGGCCTCCAGCTCCTCGATCTGGACAACCTCTCCAACCTGAACAACGTCACCTACGACACCCTCCGTGACTGGATGCTGGAGGGTCTCCAGCGCTATGAGGACGTCCTGCAGACCACCTGGCCCGATCTGTCCCGCTTCCAGGCTGCCGGCGGTAAGGTCATCCACTACCACGGTGAATCCGACAACAGCATCCCTCCCTCCTCTTCCATCCGCTACTTCGAGTCCGTCCGTGACATCATGTTCCCCAACCGCCACCTACAACGCCTCCGTCGAAGCCCTGAACGAATTCTACCGTCTGTACCTGGTCCCCGGTGCCTCCCACTGCAACACCAACTCCCTGCAGCCCAACGGCCCCTACCCCCAGAACTCGCTGGGCGATCTGATGAACTGGGTCGAGAAGGGCGTGGACCCGGTGACTTTGAACGCGACGGTGCTGAGCGGTGACAACGAGGGAGAGAAGCAGCAGCTCTGCTCGTGGCCTCTGCGTCCGTTGTGGAAGAACAACGGCACGGTCATGGACTGTGTGTATGATCAGAAGTCGATTGATACCTTCTTGTATGATCTGGATGCGTATGAAATCCCCATCTACTAGATGGTCGTGAGGATTGACATGTTTCTTTGGGGAGGGGGTTTATACTGTGTATAGCTGTGTAGAATATTGAATATAATCTTTATTCATGCGATTGCTGCCCTGTTGTGGGCACTAGACCGGGAAAGGCAAAGGTTAGTAATGCTCTGTAGTCAATATACATGCGCGAGTTAATGGTTGCAATCCTGCCTCATGTGCCCCCTGATCATTTCCCTTTGTTTGATCCTATTGTAGTGATGGGAATGTCAACGATGAGAGAGCAGGGCTGAGTGAGAAGTAAACGTGACTTTATGCTCGGATCCTAGAGACTACTTAGACTCGTTAAAGCGTTAACAGAGTAAAGAGTGAAAGGCTGTATCCATTGGCAGACGAGATGTTTATGGAAGATGTGAGGGTTTGGGACAAGAGTGTGTTTCTGCCTTAGGCAGCACATATGTGAACATGGCCTGACGAATGAGGCCACGAGGCATCACCTGGTAACAGATATATCCCTGCAATCTCTGGGGTGAGATGTCTATAGACTATGCTATCATTTTTGAGAAATGTATCCATTCGAGGCGCTTGGTACAGTCCAGTATGACCCATTACACTTGTACCTGCTCGCTATATTTGGTCTTCAGACAATATACCTAAACACTATATTGAGTTGGATCAAAGTTGATCCACTTTCCGGCCCGCGGATCGTTCTGGCGGGGTCTCCGGCCAATCAGCTACGACCCTGAAATGTTGTGTTACTCCGGCGTGATCACTCAGTGTTCAACGTCAAAAGGAAGGAACCTCCCATCTGTTCCTTCTGAGCCAGTCATCTCCGTCTCTACAAAATGTTGACTTCTCGTTGGGGCCTCAAGCGATTCTATCCAGGCTTACATTATCTCATTGAACGCCGTCCTAACTCGCGTTTCCATCGAGTTCTACTGAGAACAATGGCTTCCTCTCAAGGGATGCCTCCACGAAAGTTTCCTACCTCAGGCTACGTAATCTTGAATCCTTTGGAAAGGATTGAAGAAGAGGACCTGCCCCTCTACAAACCAGAGAACTATTATCCCGTCACTATTGGCCAAGTGTTTGTGTCTCGATACCAGGTGGTCTCCAAGCTTGGATACGGGACTTCCTCCACTGTCTGGCTTTGCCGGGATCTGCAGTAAGTACTTGGAAGGACATGCATTTCCCCCTCTAATCTGCTACAGAGAGCAACGCTACCATACCCTGAAAGTATGTGCGAGGGGACAAAGCTCCGATCGAGAGATTACTATCTCCGAGCACTTAGAGCAATCCAGCGAGACGACCGGGAAAAATATGCTCCGTCTAGTCCTGGACTCATTCGAGGTTGCTGGACCACATGGGACCCATACGTGCTTGGTTTACCACCCACATGGAATGAGTTTCGCGGAGTTTCAAGATCTGCTCCCTGATAAGAAGTTTCCAAAGGACCTGGTCCAACGAAGTATCCAGCTTACTTTGATCGCATTGGCTTGCATGCATGAAAGCAACGTGGTGCATACTGGTACGTCTATACCATCGGATCGAGAGGAAGGTCAAACTAAGGAATGGCAGATATTTCGCCGAACAACATCCTTCAAGGACTGGAAGGTGACGGTATCTTATCTGAAATGGAAGAAGGCGAAGTAGAAAGACCGATGGCAAGAAAGGTTCTGGACGACCGTACTATCTATTATTCCCGCCCAATGCCTCTTTGCGCAGGGCTGCCGGTGATCTCTGATCTCGGAGAGGGCAGAATCGGAACCAAGCACACTGGTGACATAATGCCGGGTATCTATCGCGCGCCAGAAGTCATCTTGGAAATGGAGTGGGATAACAAGGTCGATATTTGGTCCACTGGTACTACGGTGGGTGCATATTATACCAAGCGAATGATTTCGACTATAGTGGGATTCAAACTAACATGATGAAGACCTGGGATCTTGCAAAGGGCCATCACCTCTTCTTCGCCAAAGCAAATGGTGTATTCAGCGATGAGCAGCACCTCGCGGAGATGGTGTCTTTGATGGGCCCTCCCCCGCCAGAGTTTCTACGGAGGAGCAAGAAGTGCGAGGAATTCTGGGATCAGCAAGGTATGCCCCCTTTCCATCGGCCTTTTTTTTTTTTTTTTTTTTTGTTTTACTTGCTCCGTTCCTATTGAGTCATCTATTGATGTAAAATCTAGGAAACTGGAAAGGGTCTATCTGCATACCAGAGCAGACCTTTGAGTATAGAGAGCTGCAGTTTTCCGGGGAGGGCAAAGTGCTTTTTCTCAACTTCCTGCGTAGAATATTTCGATGGCTACCGGAGGAGCGACCCAGCGCCGAAGAGCTTGCATTCGATGATTTTTTGATGCAGCCCATACTGGCATCAAGGAGGTCATCTTTTCAAATAGGGTAGGAGTCAATTATCCAGGCATTAATAAGAAGTGTGGTACACTAATATCAACTTCCTACGTTCGTTGGAGCGACATTTGATACTCCGTAGACCTAATGGCAAATGTCAGGTACCACGTAGTCCAAAAGGAATATCATCTCCCTTCCTCGCCCTGGCATAGACGGGTAGAATGTCTCGAGCGGTAATCTTCCGTCACCTGTCGATGGTCGTTCTACGGTGGAAATGCGCTATACCTGCCGGTACTCCGTAGATTCTTTCGGTATATTGTCGAGTAATATCCATTTGGCTTTCTCTTTGACCAAAACATAACCAACCTCGATACACCCCGACCGTCTCAAATACCAGTTAGAGCCAAGGGACGACGACCAGATAAACCGCAAACTCAGTCCCGACCATGTCGATATACGTTCCGTTACCGTTCGTGACATGGATTGCACCCTGGCGATGTGTAACATCGACGACCACGGCAACCACTGTGGATGGAGGCTTGATTCGAGTCGCTTTGGGGAGTGTAGTCCACTCTATGCCTTCGCAGGTATTGTCACTTATCGTTTTGAACGGGCATCGAAAAGCATTAGTACATTTCATTCGCTTGTGCTTAGAGTTGAGCAAACCTTCTGAGCAACGACTCCCAAAAGCGCTTCCCGTGGGATGGGATCGAGTTTGTAGTTGTCTATCTCGTTGGCCCTGCGTGGATCCTTCTCTAGAGCCTATAGTCCAGTATTACTTCCGTTAGAAATGGAACGAAGGGAGTCCGATGGCGGGCTGCGACAGACAATTGCAGTAGAGGGTTTTCCGGTGCTTTAACCCGGCAGGGCGACGACTTTCTTGCCCTCCTCCATAGAAAGCTCATCGATATCACCCGTCACGGACAACAAGGGAGGATCTTCAAAAAATCAGCCCTAGGACATCTAGCCAAGGCCTCAGATGCTCTACCTCTATTCAACCCATCCGCATAGGCTTTGAAAACACCCAGTTCCAGTTCATCCCACGTTTCACCCAGTCTAGCTGGTAGATAGACCCGCTCCTCCTCGCGCATGTTAGCGATGGATGCAAGTCCCAGGCCAGCGGCAGAGAGAACGACCCCTGTGTCTCCAAACCTCATCCGCATATTCCGTAGTGATTCCAAGTAGATAACCCTTTGCTTCGCACCTTTGGCATCAGAGGAGGGTCTCCCGCTGGTCAGAAGCTGCAGAGCCTTCTCGACCCGCTTGATCTCCGGGTCTTTGGGATACGTCCGGTGGGCTGCGTTAAGGATGCGCACTTGATGAGCTTGGTCACCGCTTCTTCGGCAGTCAGACCCATATCGGCTGCTTCTTGCTGCTGGTGGAAAGGGGGATCCGCATTCAGACAGATTGTCCGGGAGAAAAAGGTCCAAATCAGAGTGATTTAAGGACCGCTATGAACGAAAGTGGGTATTGCTGTCAAGTCCGCCCGGAGGACCTGGGACCCACTGGCCCCACAGTCTACGAGTCTTTTTTCACCATCACACGAGTGATGCTATCGGATATTGTACAGCATTATGCAGAGAGATTCCCGATGTGACTCTAGGGGTTTCGAATAATAGCCTACCTGGCTAGCACGTTTTCGCTTCAGGCTACAGTGGATAGCGTCATTTAGGTCGTGGTAGATCAACCGTGATTTATCATTATTCTTGATCTAGTAGGGTTAGGGCTAGCATGTTTCCGGGTAATGACCAAGTTGCTCCCGGAAGCATCTGCCGCAACCACCCGGCGGAGACCACGAATACACCATCTACGAGGCATACAACACAGATGAGAATACCACCTTTCGCGAGCACCAGCCGCAAGACACCCACTCATCGAGCCTTATCGTCGGTGGTGGTCTCGGCGTCGCGCCCAACGGACTACACGTCCTCGAGCGCCTCGACCCAGATCTACTACACGACGTAGTCCAACGAAGATACATGGTAGACCACAGCAACCTGAGAACCAAACACGGCCACTTGCTCATGAGGTTGCCCTCCTCTGGAACCTGTCCATCATCCAACCGCTACTCCCCGACACATCCCCTCGGAATCAGTCGTCACGCCCTCTGGCAGGGTCTACGTCGCCGCATCCCCGACGCCATTATCGTCAACAAACGCGTATCCAGCGTAACCGCCAACCCGACAGGCCCCAACACCATCACCTTCACAGACAACAGCCCCCCCATCCACGCAGACCTGGTCATCGGCGCCGACGGCCTCAAAAGTATCGTCAAACAGGCCTTATTTCCAGAATCAACCGAAGATCCCTACCCTCCCCACTACGAGTATCCCCCCTGCCCCCACCACCACCAGCGACTTCCCCCTCATCCCCCGCGGCTCCATGACCTTCCTCTTCAGCGGCACCGGTTTCTTCGGGTACTTCTACGCCACCAGCTCCCCTACCGCGCCCTATCGGTCCTCCCTACACCACATCTCCCCCCCCCCAGGCGACACCCTAGCGTGGTGGACCACCTACTCCCTCCCTACCCCTACCCCAACCCCTAACCACCCACCTCCGTACCCGATACGCATCCTGGACCGACCCAGTCGTGCAACACATCCTCCCCACCCTCTCCGTGGAAAATATCTGGCCGGTATGCACGTCCCCGTCTCTACCGACCTGGGATCGCGACGGGGTGGTGCTAATCGGCGACGCGGCGCATACCCTCCCTTCTACGTCGGGACAGGGATGTTCGATGGGACTAGAGGATGGGGAGGCTTTAGCTCTCTTCTTAACACATTATCTTCGATGTAGGGCGGTTTTGGGAGTGGGTTATGTATGTTGGGATGTGGGTTGTTGGTGAGTTATTCTCATGGAGATTGGAATGGGGAAGGAGGGGGGGGGGGGGGGGATGAGGCTAATGTGTGTAGGGTTCTTTCCGGGGTGGGTGGGAGGATGGCAGCGGGGGGTGTTTGAGTATGATTTGCCTGGGGAGGTTGGGCGGGTTCTTAGGAGGGATAGTGAGTGTTAGGGGGGGTGGGTTGAGCAGGGTTTGAGTTGGGGTCTGATGTTGGATGGTTGTGCAATGACAGAATGGACAGGCTGAGAGCAGATTCATGCAACTTGTTTCTTTTTGACTGTCGTCTTGGGCTCAATCTAGTCAATATACATGAGTCTCACAAAAGACAAAGCTATAATAACAGTGGTAGGCTTAAATAATCCAAGGGTGTACTAGACAGACTCCTCATGCACAGCTTCTAATTTGGCCTCCACAGTTCGTTCACCCACAGCCGCCCCATCGAAGATCACCGCCACCTGCTCCAACGAGTATCCCTTCGTCTCCGGGTAGAAGAAATACGCCGTGACACCAAACACCAGCAGCACAACAATAAACACAATATAGTACCTCCACTCAATAGCATCCATGGCAATCGGATTGACAAACGTATTGAAAAACATGCCAATAATCGTGGCCACCCAGGTCACGGTCAGACCGCGGGATCGCAGACGATACGGCCAGATTTCGCAGGGGTAGGAGGTCAGGAACGGTGTTCTATGGAGACAGTCGTTAGTGGTGTCCAGGCTAAGGCATTTGGCACTTACAGAGCAATGCAGTAGCCGGCAAAGAAGATGAACAGGAAAGGAATGACAGCAGCACCGGTGGCAGCATGCTGGGTCACGGTAAAAGAGCCGGAAAGCGCCGTGACGAGCACGTAGCTCACGAACATGATGGCTGCAGACGCCAGGAAGAGCGGACGGCGACCCAGTCGGTCGATTAGGAACGCCCCAACCGCAGCAAAGACGAGATCCCACATCTGCAAGCACGCCGAGATGAGCGTCTGGTTGCGGACACTCGTGATGCCAACCGAATCCAAAATAAGTGACAAGTAATACGACACCACTCCGTTTCCTGACCACTGCGCAAAAAAGCCCAAACTGATGGAGATCATCAAGCGCCATCGGTTCCCCGGAGTCTTGACCATGTCCAGGTAGCTGGCGCTGCTGTGGGCCTCCTGCTCCGCTCGGATAGTTGAGCTGATCTCGGCGAACTCGTAGGCCACAAGAGGTGATGCCTCGTCGCCGGCGGCGTGGTACCGAGTGAGAATGGCGCGGGCCTCCTCGTCGCGTCCCACAGAGATCAGCCAGCGCGGGCTCTCCGGGGCGAATAGGAACCCCGGCAAGCCGACCACCGGCACGAGAGCTTGTAGAACCGATGGGAGGCGCCATGACCAGGAGGAATCATACGTGCGGGAGGCAAAAACAACCCATGCGGCGACGGTACCGCCAACGTACCACCCCGACATGAACAGCGAGTTGAGGATGCCGCGGTGAGTGGGGTACGCGACCTCGTTAATCAGTAGAGGGACGGCGTTGCCAAACAGGGCAGAAGCAATCCCGAGGAAGAACCGAGCGAGCATGAATGCCACCGCATTAGGAGCAGCCGTCTGGAGCGCGCAGCCCAACGTCAAGAAGCAATACCCAATGTACACACCAGGCTTGCGTCCATGTTGGTTAGAAATCCATGCTGCCGTTGGGTATCCGATGCCACAGCCGAGCCAGTAGATCGCATTCAGCCAGCCCAGCTTGGCTCCCGTGGGATTGTGCATAAAAGCTTTCCACTGGGTCAGGGCTTCGAGGCCGTTCATGAGAGACCCGTCATAGCCGTTGGCGGACGAGAACATAACAAGAGAAAGGATAATGAGGTTGAGGCGCACCAGATGGGGCTGCTTGTACCATGCCGGCCCGGGTGGAAGAACCGCCGCCAGCTGGTCCTCCCCATCCGGCTTGCTTGCAGTATCGATCTTGCTGATGCCCATGGTCCGAACGGTGTGGAAGAAAGGAACATAGGAGCGTGGACAAGGGTTGGGATGGTCCGAGTTATAAGTTCAGATAGACTGCCGGGCGACTGCCGACGGCTCGTCATTCGTCGAGGCCTTGTAGCAACTTCCTTCCCGTGGCGTTTCCGAGTGACGATGTTGGCGCACAAGACCATGATCTTAGTGTGTCTTACCCGGCGTAATACTTCAGGAAATCCCAGCACTAGGGAATCTCACCACTCCTAGCGTGGCGGATATACCCATAGCCACCACACGGAAGCCCCAGGCCTGGTCACCAGACCTGAATCCCTTGACGCACGGGTTTGCTGGGGAAATGCATGGCAGGAGTGTGGGGAGAACCGGGGATGTCGGGGTTGGGGCATCGGAGAGAAGCCGTTGATCGAGCGGAGAAACGGAGAAAAGGAGAAACGGAGAATTGGAAGGAACTAAGAGCAGTCGAATGGGTCTGGATCCCGCCCGGCACGCAATCAGAACCCTCGGTCTGGTGGAGCTACCGACTCCGTCGTCCGAGTCGGGCCATTCATCGTCCATCCATGCATCTCACGGGATGCAACTCAGGAGAGCGCAACCACCGTCCACATGTCCAGAAATCTCACCGATGATGTGTCGTAATGGGACTAGGATCAGCATGCCGGCAATAAATCTGCGAGCCAGCGCCCTGCTGCTCAATGTTCCGACCACACCACTACTCCAGAGGACGTTAGCAGACCACAGGCATCATGCCGTACGTCCACGCTGCTGCCGCTGGGACGGACAAATCGTTTGTCCAAATTGAAAGCGCCAACATTGAAGACCTCATAAAGCAACTGACCACCGATGAAAAAGTGGCTCTGTTGACTGGTACGTTGTCCGACACGACGGGAATTCACCACGCTGACAGCTATCGGTGGTAGGCGATGACTTCTGGCACACAGTTCCAATTCCCCGGCTTGGGATCCCCTCAATCCGACTATCCGATGGCCCGAATGGCGTCCGCGGCACTCGCTTCTTTGGCAGCGTGCCAGCCGCGTGCCTGCCCTGCGGGACGGCCATCGGGGCGACCTTTGACAGAGACCTCGCCGTGAAGATTGGGCATCTGATTGCTGCGGAAGCCAAGGCAAAAGGCGCCCACGTGGTGTTGGGTCCTACGATAAACATCCAACGCGGTCCACTGGGTGGACGCGGTTTCGAGTCGTTCTCAGAAGACCCGCTTTTGTCCGGTATCATGGCCGGATATTACTGCAGAGGATTGAAGGGAAAGAACATCATTGCCACACTGAAGCACTTTGTATGCAATGACCAGGAGCACGAGCGGATGGCAGTCAACTCCATTGTGACGGACCGGGCGCTGCGGGAAATCTACCTCTTGCCGTTCATGGTCGCCATCGGCCTGGGGAAGCCAGAGGCTATCATGACGGCATACAACAAAGTGAACGGCATTCATGCATCGGAGAGCCCGGCGCTTCTGCAGGACATCCTTCGAGGAGAATGGGGCTGGGAAGGCCTGGTAATGAGCGATTGGTAAGGACGAAGTAATTTGCTTGCTGCATCCACGTATTCCATCTGGGTTAACTGTCGTCCGCAGGTTTGGAACATACAGCACATCGGAAGCCATTCACGCCGGGCTGGATCTCGAAATGCCGGGCCCCACGAGATGGCGCGGCGGAGCGTTGACACACGCGATCATGGCGAACAAGGTCCCTATGGCCACCGTCAATGCTCGCGTTCGGGCGGTTCTTAAAGTGGTCCAGCAGGCCAGCCGAGCAGGGATTCCTGAGCGAGCCCCAGAATTGCAGCTGAATCGAGCGGAAGACAGACGGCTCCTGAGGAAGATCGCATCCGAGGCAGTGGTTCTTTTGAAGAACGACGGGGGCATTCTCCCGCTCAACAAGACCAAAAGAGTCGCCGTCATCGGCCCTAATGCCAAGATTGCTAGCTACTGCGGAGGCGGCAGTGCAGCGCTCAACCCCTATGAAGCCGTCACTCCATTTGAAGGTATCTCAAACTCAGCGACAGGTGGCGTCGAGTTTGCCCAAGGTATATACGGGCATCAAAACCAGCCGTTGCTGGGGAAGCGCTTTCGTACCCAGGAGGGCCTTACTGGGTTCACCTTGAAGATCTTCAACGACCCACCGACCGTCCCGGGCAGGATCCCTCTGGAGGTGCGACGCGAGACCGACTCGATGGTCTTCTTCCTCGATTATCATCATCCAGAGCTCCAGCCCGTGTGGTTTGCCGACGCAGAGGGGTACTTTATCCCGGACGAGTCAGGGCTATACGACTTTGGTCTCTGTGTCCAAGGGACGGGAAAACTCTTTGTAGACGGGAACTTGCTAGTCAATAACGCCGATGTACAAAGGCCAGGCCCGAGTTTTCTCGGAAGCGGCACCGTGGAGGAAAGGGGGACGATGGAACTTGTGGCCGGGCAACAGTACAAGGTCCACGTGCAGTGGGGATGTGCGAAGACCAGCAAATTCAAGGTTCCTGGGATTGTGGACTTTGGCCATGGGGGATTCCGCTTCGGAGCGTGTAAACAACTACCGCCTCAGGCAGGCATTGAGGCAGCAGTGCAGCTGGCTGCAAGCGTTGACCAGGTAGTCCTCGTGGCTGGGCTGAGCGCGGAATGGGAGTCCGAGGGCGAGGATCGCCTGAGCATGAGTTTGCCTCCATATACCGACGAGTTGATTTCCCGCGTTCTGGAGGTAAATTCGGATACGGTGATCGTCATACAAAGCGGGACTCCCGTGGAGATGCCATGGATCAAGAACGCGAAGGCGGTACTGCACGCCTGGTATGGAGGCAATGAAACTGGCAACGGCTTGGCGGATATCATCTTTGGCGACGTGAACCCGGTGAGTATCTTCGCCCCATCTCACCTTTGCCGTACTAACTCCCCGCTGCCTACAGTCCGGCAAACTCCCACTCACCTTTCCCCGTCACATCAAGAACAATCCCACGTACTTCAACTACCGCTCCGAGGGCGGCAGGGTCCTGTATGGCGAGGACGTCTATGTTGGCTATCGGTTCTATGATGAGATCGAGATAGATCCGCTGTTTCCATTCGGTCACGGCTTGTCGTACACCACGTTTGAGCTCTCCGATTTGTCCCTCACAAGGGAGTCAACCACACTGCAAGCCACCTGCACGCTGCGCAACACCGGATCCAGGGCTGGCGCGGAGGTAATCCAATTGTATGTGGCGCCAGTGTCGCCCCCCGTCAAGCGCCCAACCAAGGAGTTAAAGGAGTTCCGAAAGGTTTGGTTGGAATCCGCAGCAGAAGAGGCCGTGACAATTCCACTCGATCTGATCCGCGCCACAAGCTTTTGGGATGAGAAGAGCAGTAGCTGGTGCAGTCATCGCGGCATGTATCGTATTATGGTGGGAACCAGTAGCCGGGGAGTGTTTCTAGAAAGTGCTGTGGAGTTGGATGAAACGACCTTCTGGTCGGGTCTCTGAAATAAGGAGTCACCATGGGATGCATCACATCATCCATTACCTCTTGACACGGTCCGTGTCGACCCAGGTTTGTAGATGTATGGTCACCATGCCTTCGCTGCTGTCCAGACGGGACAAGATGTCGGTCGATTGTCGGAGATACTCTGCCGCTCGTTTCGCTTCGGGGTCCGCTGGGTGAAACGGGCACACCAGAAGACTCGCCGCAATATCGCGCACTTTATGTGCCAGATGTAGACCATTCGCTTCCAGATTAATCTGCGGAAGGCTGTAGAGTATATAGAAAAGCTGACGGCAGAGGTCCTCCCGCTGAAGCCACAGGGCCTTGGCATCTGCAGTGGCCTGTGGGGGGGGCATTGATACCGATGACTGCATCTGTTCGTGCGCCTGGGCTGTCTCGAGTTGATCGATTAGCAGACTCTGTAGCCACAGATGCGTGACATGCAGATTCGCTCGCATCGAAGCGAAGTGTGATTGTACGTCTGCCCCACAGCCACTTCCATCTCCATGGGTGGCCATTTCCGCATCTAGGGGCTGCCATGCCCGTAGAGGAGGTGGGATATCCTCCAGTAAGAACCGCAGGCTATGAAGACGGCCCTGGAGGTAGGCAACTTGCAGAGTTGGATTGCGGGCCCTTACACAAGGGCACGGCTCGGCCGATGGCTCCGGGCACGGACTCCGGACCGCAGCCCAAAAAACGCGTGAATGGAGGATGAAGCCCGTCACCAGGCAAGGGACTGGGGACGGTGGCAGGAGCACTTGATCCTCAAAGATCATTTCGTCATCCACCTCGAGGGGCATCAGATCTTCTGGATTGATGGAATGGAGCAGGATGGGATCCAGGTACCACAATCGCTCTCCTAAGACATTTTGTAGTTGGTTGTGGCTGGTCATATCAGCTGCGGTGTATCCCGCGACGTCCGGGACCTGGCACTTACACAAAGCCATAGAACATCAGCCAGAAGCCCTTTTTCCGCAGCTGAGTCTCGATGCAGTTGAGGCCATCGTACTCAGAAATCCGGTGCAGGTTCAACAGACGAGCGATCTGTGTTGCTTCAACATCCAGCATGCGGGACATATTGTGATCCCCCCACTGGCGGAAGGCGGCGTACAGCAGGTAGGAGATGGCAAATTTCTGAAAGTTGACCTGATCGAAGTAGGTCGAGTCCCTTAGCCGCATGATCTTGTCATAGCAGTACCGGACCATTTCCTTCCGCGATGGAAATCGCAGGGGTGGATGATAGGATTGATAGAGCTGGAATCTGCTGGGCATGGTTGCGATGACCACCGCGGCGATAGCCGTGACTAGGCTGAGGAATCCGCCGTCCTCGCAGTCACGGCTTTCTTGCAAGGACTGGTTAAAAGAGGGTCGGTGCACGATGGGGATCAGGGGATACAGATAGTCCAGGTAGTCCTGCATGATGAGGGTAAAGAGCCCCCGGTCGCATAGATCATCGGTGGGATATTTGATGGCCTCCGAATCCCTATTGTCTGCAGGCACGGGAGAAGATACCCCTGGGGCCGCACGCATACGCTTCCTGCAATCATATTAGAATGTACCTTGGACTCCTAGGCATCCTGGCCAGCGTACCGTTTCTTCGGGCCTCGCGTCCGGGAGGGGGACAGGAAGGTGCAGGGCAGGTTCAGCCGGGCGCATCGGCCACATCTGGCTGTCGCCTCAGAGGATGACGGAGGCGGGTGGCATTTGACCTTGCGCTTTCTGCAGATATCGCAGGCCTGGGTCGACAGGTCCACGCGAAGGGCCATGATGCAGACACCGACAGGAGCCAAGGGGAATCCGGCCACGACGGTTGCGGTTTGTCACAATTGCACCCACCGCCTGAGGCAGTCAGGCCTAGACGTAGAAAACCGTTGTGCGATATACTGCTGAGTCAGCTCGCATAACCCATGGTTTATGCTGCCACCCATCCAGGGTGGCCTCATCTCTACCATCATTTGTCGCTGGCAAAGGAAGGCAAATGAAGGACATTACCCAGTAAAGTCAGACACAATTCAATTAGTGCTCTCGGATAACAGTAGTCATCGTCCCCGAGTGGGTTGAGGCTGTTCAACGCCCTAGGCTTCACGTCCCGCAGAATATATTTTGATGGTCCCCTGCCTAATGGGAGTAGTCTCTGCACGGAAGGGCGAGTTCGCAGCGACAAAAGGCCTCAAGAGATGAGAATCAAGGTATGACTCGATGATATTCGACCTATGGAGTTCTAGGCCAGATAGATGGAGAAATGGGAACCAAGGTGTAGACAGAGACTGGGTCGGAAGGCAGGTTACATTGCCAAGCTGTTCGCCCGCTCCAAACATCATCCCAGTGTCACAGTCCCAATTGCCCATTGCCACCACGGCACGTTCCGTCTCAAGAGATGTCTAGCGCTTGTGATGGTTCGATTACGGCGACTCGATTTAGGGGGATCCCTACAAAGACAAGTGACCCAACCAAGTGACTAGTGTGGACATTGAGCCTCCCAGGAATTGAGGTGTATGGAAGGTTACGATACGGGAGAACGAAAGGATTATAAGGATCTTCATAGGGATCGCACAAGATTATGACCTGGGTCAGGAAATATTAGATATGATAGGAAATTAGACCATGAATCAATCGTTAGCTCGTAGACCGATGCATATAAAACCCATCACGCCGTGATATGCAGCCGTCCCGGACGGCGGCAGAGATTCGCTCATAAACTCCATAAATGATCAGATGCATGCGGATTTAGCTGTCAGTGTTGGCACACGTGAAGCTGTTGCTGTTGGCATCGTTGTGGATGGCCGTGCCCGAGGCATACAGACCCAGGACACACAGCACGAGACCGAACACGGCCACCGCCACATTGAGCACGAACAGCGCGATCTTGCGGGGGCCGGCAAACCACTGGCCGTAGTTGAGATGCAGCCAGTAGATGCCGCTCAGACCGTAACTGAACCAACTGGCGAAGAGGGCACTCTGACCACTCCGTTAGCTGCGGCACCAGAGAATAATTCAAGGGTTTACTCACAATTAGACCATTGAGATCACTGAACACGGGGATGGCCTCCGCAATGATCCACGCGACAACCCAGCAGACCACGCCAAGACCGATCCAGATGGCAACCGAGCGCCGGCTGCGGCTGTGGATGAGATCGGACTTGTGGCAGGCCCGGAAGTAGATATACTTCAGACCAATGTGACCGTTCACCACACCGGCACCAACAATCTAGAATCATCAGCGACCATTGATAGCGAAGAAGATCTGCCGGGAACACTCACGGTGGGAATGGCAACACCATAGGCAATCTTCTTCAAAAGAGGACCGGCAGAACTAAGGGCGGGGGATTGGACGTCCTTGCCGACATAGTAGTAGATGACGCAGGCAGCGGTCACGTACAGGGCAATCTCAAAAGATTGCAGCATGAAGAGCGACTTCTTGAAGTCCTTCGGGGTCTCCATCTCGGCAATCAGACCAAAAAAGGCCACGTGGGCGCAATAGGCGAAGACGATGTTGGAAACGGCGCTGAAGGCCGTGTAGAGGTTGGTGTGCACGGTCGCTTCGATAATGCGACCGGGGTGCTTTTCCACACCGACACCAATCATGGTGACCATGACCGCGCTAAAAATACTAAGGAAGGCTGAATGACATGGCTTGTTAGCCCAGACTCGTACTGGAGACGATCGGGAACAACTCACAAGCAAATGAGATCAAGGTCATGCCCTTCATGGTGCGGGGGATGGAGAGGACGATGCAGATGACCATGCCGATGACGCTGAACACGATGGAGCAGGTACCGTGATCGGTGATGGTGTTCATCATGACCCGGAAAGTCAGGAGATGGCTGCCCATGACGAAGATACAGAAGAGGAACTGGCCCAGGCCAAAGAGTTCGCGGCCAAAAGGGCCCATGAGGATTTCTCCGGCATCCGCGAGGTTCTGAATGTGGGGGTACCGCTCCCTGAACAACCCAATGTTGTAACCGGTATAAGTGGCGAGAATTCCGAGGCCAACAATCAGGATGACGGCCCTGGAACGAATTAGCCGGTTCACCTGTGAAAGACGGTGGGGAAAAGCTTACGGGACGAAACCCAGGGTAGCCACGGCGGCGGGGAGGGACAAGACACCTAGTGAGACGGACTCACAGATCATCACTGCGGGGGGATTAGAGTTTGCTGGGACCAACAGGGTAGGATCGGAGAAGCCTTACGCAGTCCACATTGCCTATCTGACGCATTAGCAGGGGAATTGGGCAGGCGGGGATGAGCGAGTGCATTCGATCACATACCACCACTTCAGAGTCTTATACTTGATTTCGGCAAACTCTTCGTTTCCAAAGGCATCAGACTCCTCAAAGCCGGGCTTGATGTTCTGTTCCACCTGGCCGAGATCATCCTTCTTCTCGTCGATGCGATCCGTCGCGTAGGGTGGGGGACTGTCATGAATGGCCTCCATAGTGATGAACAGGTGGTGCACTGGGAGGATGGAAGGTATAGGGAAGACGTAGGGGCGAGGAGGAGGGAAAGAAGAGAAAGCAGGCGAGGGAGAGGGGGGAATATAAGGAAGACAGTGGAGAAGTCAAGACCCAAAGAGAAGGATTGAGTTTCGGGGTGGGCGAGGTGACAAGCCGAGAATTCTGGGGACACTTAGTTGAGGGGGGCCCGCGGCTGCTGTGGGGAAACCGCCCCTCGTGTGTTTCTACCTTCTCGTCCTCAGGTTCCAGGAATCCAGAGGTTCTGCAGGCTGCTCGGCCCCGATCCGAGCCGATGACCATTGGTTATTGGTCATGCCCCCCCGAAGACGGCCATTCCGGACCAATCAGATGCTCCGACTCACGTCCATGGATGTAACGTTGCCAAGCACTACGACTTGGTCGCTCCAGCCGGACTCTTCGACCGAACAGAGTGCATCATGAGCTCATGGCTTCCTGCATGACCCGCTAGATGCTTCCCCGCAGCGCAATCGCGTGTCAAACTGGCACCAAACCATGGAGATGCGGGCAGGTATCAACCATGTGGTTTACCTAATGACAGTTGGTAAATGACAAGGCCGGTGCCCACCGCACTAGAGTAGCCCAGATCCGCTAAGCAGCTTGGGGCTTAGCAACACACCGGTGGCCGACTCGGTCCAGGAGCTTAACGTTAAACTGAGCACACCGAACACCTTCAAAAGCGGACAACCTGGCTTCACTTTTTTTCGTACCACGATGTAGGTGCCATATAGATGGATTTATTTCTTTTCTGTATACAGAGAAAGAAGATGACTACTATGGCATTCTTTCCATGATTGAGTAGAACACAGTTATTCTCGCCGTCGTGGCAATAATCTCTGCCGGGCGGCGGTGGGTGGACGTGGACAGAAGCGAGCGGGCAAACAATGGCCCGGCCAAGCAATGCAGGTACCCGCCACCCACCAATGCGACGAGATTAATAAACAGATGATAGTTAACTAACACAGGGCTTGGTCGCTTTATAACCGGCAGGATCATCTATCTATGGGCCCACAAGTTCGACAAACAATCCAAAATATTTCTGTTGCCTGTTTTACTTAGATGAGCGAAAGCACTACTAGTTATGGAGACGGAAACCTAAGCTAAATGTTAGACTTCAAATGAGATAATCAGTCTATCAGGCGTATTTTGGAGAATGAGATAGTGGAAATTTATAATACTATCAGATATTTACAACTGATAGCCAACTGTTCGTTCATCACTCTTTGATGGGTGAAATAAGATACAGCAGTCGCGGCCGTACGCCACGCAACCGGATTATTCAAACCTCTTGGTAACCACGATGCTGGTGCGCTCCGTCGTCTGTTCGCCTCAGGTGTCCTACCGGAGTAGCACCAGCCGAGTCCGGGCCGCGGTGTGAGATCTGATGGGGCATGACTCGGGCCTCTTGAAACTCGGCTATTTTTCATCCCCAAGAATGGTTCTCGAAGCGAAGAACACGTCGAGGACCCAAACTTTGCCGGTAGCGCCGGCAATTCAGGCCTCTTTCGAATGCTGCATACGAGAGTACCCGGCCAGAGTGGCCGGTGTAGCGCCCCTCTCCTGGTGAAAATGAGGGTGGCGAATTCGAGCCACAGATGGAACATTCTAAGAGAAAGGAGAATTGAGCATCGGAGTGTGCCGATGGATCGGCTGCTATCTCCGCCCCGCACCAGCCGGATCGACGTGGGTCACGTGAGCTCCCCCACCGTGGCAGTCGTGGGGATGGCTGCATCCTTCACCCATCATTTACCGGAGACAGTACTCTTTAGCTGTTACTGCCTCCATTCCTGATAACTTTGCATTGGTCCTCTTCTCCGAGAAGTAGCATCATGCATATTACCAAGGGGTAAGCTAGCTTGTGCTGCGGGCATTCGCTGACATCTGCGGGAGCCTCATCTTTCCCTCTCTCTTACCACTACCATGAAGCCGCGTCGCTAATCTTCCTTCCTCCAGAGCTACTGCTCCTGATTGCAGGAACCTTTCACTCGCAAAAAGATCTGAATGCCGTGCCCCGTATCGCCCGCGTCCTACATGATACTCTAAACCCGCTTCTCTCCCGCCGGCACGTCCGACAACCCCACGGTCGAACTGCATTGCTCTACGCGGCACAAACCGGGCAGATTGGGACGATCTATCACCTTCGCACCACTTCAGCCTCTTGCGGAGCTTTGAACACCGATCAAGGGGGCAATAATATCGATTATCTGCCGACCCTTGATCCAGATGGGCGCGACTCGCAGCAGTTCAAGCTTCCGCTACTAGCTTGGGCCGCTATTCACGGTCATGTTCCGGTCGCGGAGCTCTTGCTGGATAGAGATCTTGCTGGATAGAGCTCTTGCTAGATATGGGAGCGTTGGCTAATCTTCAGACTATAGCGAACCGAATCGCGCTCGCACGCAACGGAAATTGGCCACGTGGAGGCTGGCAGGCTGCTTCTTGGCCATGGCGCAAGCCCCATTCGCAGGACTGGCTGGCTGATAGAACCGCGTTGATGTGGGCGGGTTCCCCTCGCCTCCAGGTGGCAACGGAGCTCTGACCCACTGTCTCTTTGCTATCCCATTTGGCACAGCAGGGTCGCCAGGATATGGTGGTATTCCTCAAGGCGGGACACCAGTTCACCAGCGATCCATACACCCACACGTTTTCGCCGACAGCCAGACCCGGTCCAAGCGGCGGTACTAGTAGACATGAAGGAATTGTGCGACAGCTTCTAGCCCGAAGGGATCTGGATATCAATTCCCAAGATAGATGCGGGAACACGGCGATGACGTGGGCATCCAAACAGAACAGTAACGAATTGGTCCAGCTGCTGCTAGAGCACGGGACAGATCTGGCGTATATGCATGTCCCGGGTCCAAGAGCCTTCAGACCAGCTAGAGTCATAGGTGGTACTTCTTCCACGTGGTCTCCGTATCGCCAATGGTTGATTTCATTCCGCCCGGTGGAAGGCTTGAGACCTTATCCGATGGATGGCCAATTCGGCCTAGACGGGGCTATGTTTCCCATAATAGTATGTGTGGTTTGAGATTTTCATCCTTATCCCAGCTGGGTTCATTGCATAAAAGTGGGTAGCATAGCTCAAACATAGCATAGACACCACTGGTGAAGAATCATGAAGTCCTCTGACATGATCCAGCTAGGCTGGCCGAACTTGACTGAATCATCTAATACAGGCTGCATTGACTCCAAAGGATGCAGCAAGATAAATTATCAAGAATGAACATCACAGAGGAATGCCGTCGACAGAGTTCGTCCATAATAAAGCGATCCTGTCACACTAAGACTGTGTGAAGTGCCTCATGAAGAACCCAAAGACAACAATGAAGACCTCGTGCATCAGCATGAGGTTGTCAAATACCTGACAAAGGGCCTGGAAAGAAGGGTATCGAGTAGCGTTGCAACGGCAAATAGCGATGCCGGTAGACAGACCGCGATCCGGGACATCCCTTGATGCCTGAGGCACCCTTCAGAAGAACTACGCTTTCACCCGTACCAAGTACGACTAGAGATGCAGTCACGTTCCATGTCCTCATTTATCATGACGTGTGATGTACATCCCACAGTATATAACTCATCATCCATCGGGAAGTATCTATGGAGGTCTGCACATCCCAAGCCTGCGGTAGATTTTTAACCATAATAGTCCCAGCACGGCAACCTACCAGAAATGTCAGGTCAAGTCTGCTCGGCCACCGAGATAGTCAACTACTGCCTAGTTATTGGGTAGGCAGCGAGGGGGTTTGGTCGCTGGGTGGCCTCTGTCGATAAGAATTCGGAATAAGGCATCCCTTGACGAGCGCATATTCACTGGGAGAAAGGACAGATATAAATAAAAGCCTACGGCATGACATGGCCTGGCTGTGTGGTTGACTGCTCAACTATAGCAGACAAAGGCACTCGCAACCGCACTTTTGACGTGATGACACCCTTCCATTATGACTGGAACAAAGAGAGGCTTCCTATGGGCCGGGAGCTGTGTGCTACCATTGCACATATCTTAGATGTGGCCGGCATTCCGAATGTTCTCTGGGGCAAATACATGATCTTTACCTACGACATGGGCCCTCTGCGTAATGGATATGACTGACTGGGACAGAAAATTGACCAACGCCAGAGGTGGCTAGAAGAAGCCCAGGCTGAAGACGCGAAAAGGGTCCGGAAGGTGCCGCCACCACCGCATGAGCGATACTACATCACCAAGTACGACGACAGCATCTCCTTCATCATCCCCGATGACCGGATCAATGATGCGCGCGATGCTTTGCTCCTCGCTGGATTCCCCCTGTGTACCACGGGATGCGTGTGCTTTGATTGGAAAACACACGAGATGGTTCCATGGCATCACTTCCTGGGAGAGAATGGCAACACCGCGGAGAACCCCGCCTTGAAGCTCTTCCGTCGCTCGGACGTACTCTTTCGCTTTCCAGACCCTGACCTCGCCCCCCCAGCACCCGACGACCCCTGGTATATGTTGACGAACGATCCTCGACTCCCCGCGGACGATGAGGAGCGGCGGGGTGCCAACCCGGAAGGCCGGTTTGATGCGGCCCTCTGGCCGATCAAGATTCCAACTGCGGTGAAACTGTACGAAGCCCTGATCCTCCTGCGCTGCCGCGATAACGATTATCACAGCCATTCCGACGGCAGTTGGACTGGGTGGTCAAAATACCTGGCACGGAGTCTGGTCAAATCGGGTCGTATCACGATCCCACAGGTCGGAGAGCTCTACCGCGGAGTCATTGAATGGGACCAGGCCGATCGCCTTTGGTTTTGGGATGGACAGCCATCGCTGCTGCGCCAGCACCTCTGGGAATCGAAGGCTTGCCTCCTCCCCTTCCGGACCGCTGCCCCCCTGATCTTTCCTTGCATCGCCGGCACCATACTCTGGATGAACACGGCGAGATCTACGCCAAGTTTCTGGAATATTGTAGCCGGTTTGGGGACGATGTTCGGTCGGATGGCGAACACCCCAACAAGAGGGATGGACAGGAAGCAGAGGACCAAGGGGAGAGTGCGTAGGTTCAAAAGACCAGGCATGGAACTCTGAGCGGAAGATGATTGATCTTGTCTGTTCTATTCTCTGTCTTCCCTGTTTTCTTCTAGCAGAATCGAAATACATCCAACGTACTTCTTTTGGTTCATCCTTATCATCACTTGCTTCAGGCGACTATAGTAATGGTATCATATGTATGGGATGCCCCAGGAGGAATCAAGTACTTGCTCAGCTCTGGCTATGAAATTTATTGTGCATTCGCTATCGACACAGAAACCTGTTAGTAGCTAGTCGTAACCTCAATTTTGTCTCAGCTTTTTCTCGATCATCCTCTCACTAACCTGACTCTGCCCAAGAGCTGCTGGACTAATATAGTGGAAGTAGGACAGTAGCTACAGACTCTGCGTATCTAGATGTGTTCATCAACAGGTCGTAGTTGTAACTTACTGCTCCTGTCACTGTTCTCTCAACGCTTCTTTGATGCACCCTTCGATACGCTACGGAGTAGTCCTTAACCCCGTTTGAGCCTCGTGCTACGTTGGAAGGACAGCAGACAACAGGCAACAATATCTGATTCTATTCTCTCCGTTCTCTTTGGGCTGCTTACATTCCTAGACCAATCCTGCAGGCGAAGGAAAGAGCTCGAAAACAAGGATTGGCCACTGGGATCAATATCGTTACCCACGTTATTGTGTGTCTCACAACATCTGTCTGGAATCCAGGCCAGACCGTCATCGTCTACCATACTCTGAAGGATTTGCTCTACAATTAGCAGAATCTTCCATCCTGCTTCATGAATTACAGTATGTCAGAGGCTGTAAAAGCATTCTCTTGGTATTTCTCTATAACCCTCATCACCTTACGACATCCAAAAGCGATATAGTCTGTCATCATATTCCCAACAGCATGATTGCCTAATACCGCGCTAATACCAAGCCTCCAAGACTACAAGTTCCAATCTTGGATGCCCAGACCAATGTAGCGCCACGATCCTCACCAAACCACAACCCTCATATTCTGCAGTGCATCAGGTGGACGTAGACCGATGACCACCATCCCACCCGAAGACACAGAGTTCATTCATCCTTGAAGCTAGGAACATGAGACGGTGTCCCTGTAGTCAAAGACCGCTTCTTCTTATCCACCAGAGACGCTGCCCCTTAATCAAAGGCCCCCTCTTCTCTTCCCACAAAAATAATTAATACCTCGCTGGGTTCAAAGCTGTCGAAACCACACTGCACGGATCCTACACGTCAATTCCCAACCAACCCACGTCAGTCCACCCTCAAGTCACTCCCAACCTGTTTGAGGCGATCTCCCAAGGAAAGGTCCAGTAGCTGCGATCTGACGTAGCCCGACAGACCACTCGAGCCATTTCAAGCCATCTATCCTCTCGTAATCCTCATACCTCGCTGGGTACAAAGCTTGAAACCATGCCACTGACTACTTGTAACCAAAACCAAAGAGCAGCATAGGAAGGCGGCAGAGACTTTTCTTTTCTCTGCACTGTGCGCGCTGAACAAGAGCATGTCCCGTATCTAGTCAGGCTGGAAAGGTTCCCTGGTTGATGTGTAGGGATAGATATTATATCGCTTCCGGCGTCTGTTCGAACGGCCTTTTAAACGGGATTCGTACTTGACTGTGTGAAAAGCCCGAAAGGCAGCGACGGTCATTCGTGACCGTACACAACAGCAGGATGGGAGGGCAGCAGAGATTTCCTCTCCTTGCAGTGCAAGCTGGAGAAGAGCATGTCCCTTGTTTAGTCAGGCTGGAAAGGTTCCCTGGTCGATGTGTAGGGATAGGTAGTATACCGCTTCCGATATCTGTTGGAACGCCTTTGTAAACGGGGTATTCATACCTCGCTGGATACAAAGCGCGAAACGGCAAGAATCATTTGTGACCGTACCCAAGAAACAGCCATGGGAAGGCAGCGGATGGATTTTTTGGTGGCATTGTGCATGTTGGAGATGATACCTCGTGCCTGGTCGGGCTGGAAAGCTTGCCCTGGACGGACATCAATGAGGGCAGACATCAATAAGGGCAGATATCAATAAGGGCAGATATCAATAAGGGCAGGCATGCTAGTGTCTGTTCGGGCTCAAAATCTTGCCCTGGACAGACATCGACGAGGGCAGACATCAGTGAGAAAATGCTTCAGCAAGGACAGCCATCGGTGAGGGCATGTACTGGTAACCAACAGGCAAGGCAGATTTCAGACCTCGGTGGTGACAGGCCTAACAGTGCATTCATACCATGCTGGGTACAAAACTCTCCAACCGTGGCCTGGTCACTTGCTTGTCCAGCCAGCTTCGCAGGAGACGCCACTTCCCATTCAGCTACTATGCGAGCAGCGAGTGACGGTTCCATCCCACAAGATAATCACCTAGTGATGCACATGAACATCAATACCCAGGGTACGGGGCAAGCCGCAAACCAATTTCAATGACCCAGTGGTGGCTAAAGCCTGCCATTTTACCCAGGTGATCAGCGACACGAATGGAGAAGGTCAGATCATGATACGCTGCATTTGTTGCGGATGCGTCTCTTCCATTATGCTGTTGGACTGGGTTTCAAAGAATCCACCTTCTGGTCTCTGGCCGATGTCGCATATGCAAGAGCATTGGCTATGACATGGCATCCGCTGACCAAGATAGCTAAAGGCCAGTACTAGAAGGTTGGCCTTGCATTCAGTGTTGCCTGTTTGATAGGCTTGATGTGGTCAGCTGCGTGTCCATATGGAAGGCCAAAGTTGGGCGATGGTGTTGTGATATATATAATGCGGATGGAGAATGATGGGAAAGGGGAGAAAGGAAGGGTTTATATAACTTGCCTGGAGGCAATCGCGGAGGCAATATCGGAGACACCCGGCTTAGGGCACATCATCGCGTGGTAGTGGTAGTAGGCAGCCTCCGACATTGGATTGGAAATCTCCGACTCTACCCCCATACGAACAGCCTGTACTGCCTATTGGAATGGTCTAGCAGATTTGCCGCCTCAGAAATCCAAGCACCCACAATTTGGAGGGACATGGCGATCAGCACCAGCACCACCTTCGACAATCTCCTATATTCAACCGCCTGCATTCACCCGTCCCACCCATCACCGGCTCCCCCCTCTACACCCGATGGATTCCAGTAAACCCACCACCACCATGCTCATTACTCCTCGGGCTCACCCTTCAAGCCCAATACACGCCACCTACACGTTCCCCTTTCACCCCCC